GTCTCAGTTTTCCACCAACACATTTTCGAAATGAGACCAGTGAATTGGTGATCCAAGTGATGAAAAGAAATTTGGCCTGGACAATAATTACAATACTGTAGCAATTATTGTAGCCATTGTTAATGAGTTAATGATTGTTTGTAATATTTTGTATTTTATTCTGTAAAACATACTTCAAGTAAAATTAATAATAGCTGTAGTTATTTTGTACATTCAACAAGAGCTTTGAATAGTTGTATCAAAGAAACATACAGAATATTTTTGCATTTACTTTATGTGTTGGTGAAACAATCTTTTGGTTCTTTTACATAAAGTCATATATTTATACATCACCCAATATATATGAATGATTTTATAAGTAATAGTTCTGACCACACACTCAAAACATGCTTCCAATTTGTAATGATATTAAAAAATACAGGTTTAATACATATTTCATTATTCAGTGATATTATTCATAGAAATATATATAAAGGAAACTGGGCAATTTCTTAAAGATCCATGTAAACCAAATATTTTTCACACAAAAACTATGGCCATTATATTTTAATATTTATGCAAGATTATTGATGTGATTTAGTTAGGAGTGCCCTAATTACCGAAAATATATTAACTAGATTTTTAATATGAATACTGAAAAGGATTTAGTGCAGATTTACTTTCACATTTATGTCAGAGATGTGGACATAAGCTAAGGTCATGATGTGCATGAACAAAACAGCCTCTGATGTATGAAAATAAAAATTACGATTTATGATGTCTCTTGATATTTTGCACAAAACTTGGACAGTACAATGGAAACCATTAAAATTCTATTTTAATTTTCAGTAATGTATATTTAAATACCATAAGCATTTGACAAAATAATAATGCAAGTTCTATAGCAATATATATAAATTTGGGGACTGAATCTCATGTGTTTATGTGTTTCAAACAGATATTTATATTTAGATTACAAAATGCACAGTTCCTTTTCTACTCCCTTTATATTAGTTGCATGCTGCAATTTTATTTCACATATATTAATTTCTTACTTTTCTTTGTATTTCCTGATCAGAAATAAAGTTGTATAGTCAATTTCATGGTTGTGTAATTCTTTAGCTTCATCAGTGAGGGAAAGAAAACCTCAGAGGTGGTTTTAGTATTAAATAGTTGAACATAGACACGTACATGCAAGAATGTTCCTCCATCACAGTCATCTGCTCCACGAGCATTGCCCACATCACCATCCTGCTTGCACTTTAAACGCTTGATTAGCACCATATTTTCTTTACCATGATTTGTTTTTACCTATAAGAGTCATTTAGGAAGTAAATCTAATGTGTTTTCAGTGTAGAGGGTTTCAACATAGATTCGATCCCTGTAAATTTCATTTGAAACTAAACACGTTAGCTGAAACCTTTTCACTGAGGCACAATAAAATCATGTAGGCAGATATTCTGTAAGCATTATTCAAACTGACATCTCTGGAAAAAATGAAGGGAACTTTGTAATGTCATGTACATACCACTATTATGATGTCACGAAGTTCGACAGAGCAGAAGTCTGTTCATTGTGATGCATAAGACATGATGGCACACTATGTGATAGAGCAGCTATAAAAGTCAAGCTGTCTTTAATTCGGTTTAACCTTACTGTGCCCTCACCTAGAGTGTTATAATGATTTTTGTGTTTTTTATATCTCTCTCTCTCTCTCTCTCTCTCTCTCTCTCTCTCTCTCTCTCTCTCTCTCTCTCTCTCTCATGCCTTTATTCCATCCTCCAGTTAATGAACGATCATGCTCTTATTCCATCCTTCTCCAGTAAATGAAAGGTCATGCCCTTATTCGATCCTACAGTTAATGAATGATCATGCCCTTATTCCATCCTTCTCCAGTTAATAAAACATCACACCCTTATTCCATCCCACAGTTAATGAACGATCATACCCTTATTCCATCCTTCTCCCATTCATTGAAAGATCATGCCCTAAGTCTCCTTAGTTAATGAAAGATCATGCCCTTATTCCATCCTTCTTCGGTTTATGAAAGGTCATGCCCTTATTCCATCCTTCATCAGTTTATGAAAGGTCATGCCCTTATTCCATCTTTCTCCAATTCATTTAAAGATCATCCCCTTATTCCATCCTTCAGTTAATGAAAGATCAGGCCCTTATTTCATCCTTAAGTTAATGAAAGGTCATGCCCTTATTCCATCCTTCAGTAAATGAAAGGTCATAGCCTTATTGCATCCTCCATTTAATTAAAGGTCATGCTCTTATTCCATCCTCCAGTTAATGAAAGGTCATACCCTTATTCCATCCTTCAGTAGATGAAAGGTCATGCCCTTATTCCATCCTTCTCCAGTTAATGAAAGGTCATGCTCTTATTCCATCCTTTTCCAGTTAATGAAAGGTCATACCCTCAATCCATCCTTCAGTAAATGAAAGGTCATGCCCTTATTCAATCCTTCTCCAGTTAATAAAAGGTCATGCTCTTATTCCATCCGCCAGTTAATGAAAGGTCATACCCTTATTCCATCCTCCAGTTAATGAAAGGTCATGCCCTTATTCCATCCTTCAGTAAATGAAAGGTCATGCCCTTATTCAATCCTTCTCCAGTTAATGAAAGGTCATACTCTTATTCCATCCTTCTCCAGTTAATGAAAGGTCATGCCATTATTCCATCCTTCTTCAGTAAATGAAACATCATGCCCTTATTCCTTCCTTCTCCAGTTAATGAAAGGTCCTGTTTAATTGAAGACTGTCCTTATTCTAACATTTTCCATTTTATTGAATGATCATGACCTTATTCCATCTTTTCCAGTTTAATTAAAAACTATGCCTCTTTTACAAATTCCTCCTCTTTAGTGAAAAGGACATGCTCCAATTTGATGAAAGATCATTCTCTTATTAAATAATTCTCCAGTGTAAGTAATGAATTTGCCCTTATTCCAAATTGTCCAGTGCAGCAGTCACAGTGTCTGCTTGCAATGAAGCAACATAGTGTTCCCTTTCAATTGTAATCAGCCGTTTAGTGCAGACATCACACTGCTACTAAATCACATCAAAGGCCTACTATTTCCCTCAAATAGATATGCTATCTACAAGCACCTAACAGAGAACTGCTAATCTTGAGTTGGTTAAACGAGTGGTAGGAATATTAAAGCGTGAGACATTAGGGGATCCTGGAGTCCATTATTTATAGTAGAGGGCTCGTTCAGATTTATTTAAGATTCTGATCTCACATTCACATTAAGCATGCTCCATTGTAGGTTCCTCCTAGCACACACACTATGCCAGCATGGGCACATTTGCCTTTGCTTGTGTATATATTCTTATGTTGATTCCTTCAGGTGCTTTTCCAGTGTGTAACCAAACTTACTTACATATGCCTAACAATCCTAGATAATGTACAGGGTTTTACGCGACACACAAATGTGCGTCCAGTACACACAAATGTAAAGAATGGACGTAGAAAAAAATTATACTGTGTCCCAAGGGACACATGATCTTTGATTCATTCCAGGCTCTAAAGTAATTATCAAAACGTACAGTACACTACATCATTTCATTAATCTACACGACCCTTATATTACCCTTGTAAGGACCCTTAAAATTAATTATTGGAAGTCCCCTGAGCCCCCACTTTTGTAAGTCAAGGTACAACCCTGATGTATAAAGTAATGACATAGTAACTCAGTTTAATAATACCAGCATATAAAAGATAATGATGATGATGATTGATTGATTGATGATTGATGATGTGACCGACTTTTACAACATGACAGAGTGCACGTCTGCAAGGACAAATATATGAGGGTTTATATGAAAACATATCAGTGAGATCGCCAGTTGGGATTCCAGGTTAGAATTGGTCCCTAGTCACCTATCTATGTCCTACAGTGACTTTGTTGATAATGTGTCCATGTACAACAATGGTGTGGATCATGGCGCATTATATCAATCACGTCATACAGTTTCGAATATTGCTGTGTGCAGCTTTAAACAACAAAGAGTTTGTGGCTTACTTCACAACATTTCATCTTCAGGTGGGTGGAAAGCCAAATGTGCCATGGGTTGTAGATGTTTATGATTATTTACAACAATGAAACTGATATGTTGATGACGGACCAAGGCTAATAAGCAGGATAAATCTAGAATTCAAACCACGATCAGTGGCATTCTTCATACAGAGGGAAAGGTGAGATAGCCTAGTGGTTTGATGCCCAACATGGGTACAATGTGTGAAGCCCATTTCTGGTGTCACCCACCGTGATATTACTGGAATATTATTAAAAGCAGTGTAAAACCATACTCACTCATTTATACAGCTAAGGGAGGCATCTCTGCATAGTGAGCTCCTGCAAATTATACAACTGAAACAAGAAGTGTGTTATAGAATATGTAGCAAGTCACAGCAGATACTCTTTGAAATATCAGTGTTTTTAAATCCAAAATGAAAGTCAAGGGGTCCTTGTCCTAACACAAATGGTGAAAGTAAAATATTTAGATCACTGGATTCAAATACTATAGCAGCAAACAACAAGGACCCAAGGATACTCCTTATTGTAGGACACTGCATATGCTTGTTATAATGCTTCATGAGGATACAAACATCGCAGATCTGTGACTCCGCATTTATTTGTTATTAGTTGCAAGTCTTGTGGAACTTGTATTTGTGTCAGTGTACCCTCTCAAGCATGGAGATAGTTACATGAGTGTTTGTGTCATACTCATATCATGTGCCAGAATTCTTGCATTTGAAAAGTGTAGGAAGAGAAATATTGTCAAATTGAAGTCCAACAATGATTAAACATATTTAGGCACTCATTTAAACACAGACATACAAAAACATAAAAATGCATTTGATCTCAACTCTGTGAGGGATGTGATATGACACCTGTATATTCATGGAGAGCAAATAGTACCAAGAGAATATAAATAGGGGTCACAGGAAAGTGCTAACCCTCACATAACTCTATTTGCCATCCTTCACCTGTATTTCTGCCTTGTCTCCCCAGTGCTGGCTTTGTCATCTTCTACGACTTCTTGCTGAACCTGGATACCAAGATAACAGCAGCCAGACTCATTGTGGGCCTTCACAGCAGCACAGCCAAAATGGGTGAACCAACATACCTCCCCATGGTGTACACAGAACCGGCCACCAGACAACACCAGTATGTCGACATCAGCAATGCTGTGATCGGTGCCAGACAGCCTGTTCCAAGGTGAGTTTGTATCTAGAACCTGTCACCAGATAACACCGGTATGTCGACATCAGCAATGCTATGATTGATGCCAGACAGCCTGTTCCAAGGTGAGTTTGTATCTAGAACCTGTCACCAGACAACCTCAGTACATCGACATCAGTAATGCTGTGATCGGTGCCAGACAGCCTGTTCTAAGGTGAGTTTATACAGACACATACCAAGAACCTGTCACCAGACAACCTCAGTACATCGACATCAGCAATACTGTGATTGGTGCCAGACAGGCTGTTCCAAGGTGAGTTTGTACCTAGAACCTGTCACCAGACAACACCGGTATGTCGACATCAGCAATGCTGTGATCGGTGCCAGACAGCCTGTTCAAAGGTGAGTTTATACAGACACATACCTAGAACCTGTCACCAGACAACCTCAGAACATTGACATCAGCAATACTGTGATTGGTGCCAGACAGCCTGTTCCAAGGCGAGTTTGTACTTTGAACATGTCACCAGACAACAACAGTATGTTGTGATTGGGGCCAGAGATAGATTCTTGAAATACAGTTATCATACTACCCAAGGTGCCCTACCCAAATGTAGGACCATAAACAGTATATAGAGTCTATTGAACCTTAAAAATCTTGTGGTAAAATGTGTATCTCATATGTATCAATATTTCACTGAAGCCTTGTATTGTTTCTCAGTTTTGGAATCCTCAGTTGACAGCTTGTAGGATTTGGACAGAGGTACTCTATAGAACTTTAAATCAAATCATGAAAGGCAGCCCAAGATGCCCGAGACTCAGCAACTGCTCGTTCGTCCAAGTAATCTTGTTTGTTGTAGGTTCATGTCAGTTCTCTGATTAGCCTCTATGTGTTCATCGGCCATCTTCTTCATCCTTTCTTGTGCTCTAGCCTTGGTGTTCCACGTGTATGATATGTTGCCCCAAATGTGTCTACAGATGTCCTCCCCAACAAGACCTGGGTATTGTGCTGTAGCCTTGGTGTTCCACGTGTATGATATGTTGCCCCAAATGTGTCTACAGATGTCCTCCCCAACAAGACCTGGGTATTGTGCTGTAGCCTTGGTGTTCCACGTGTATGATATGTTGCCCCAAATGTGTCTACAGATGTCCTCCCCAACAAGACCTGGGTATTGTGCTGTAGCCTTGGTGTTCCACGTGTATGATATGTTGCCCCAAATGTGTCTACAGATATCCTCCCCAACAAGACCTGGGTATTGTGCTCTAGCCTTGGTGTTCCATGTGTATGATATGTTGCCCCAAATGTGTCTACAGATGTCCTCCCCAACAAGACCTGGGTATTGTGCTCTAGCCTTGGTGTTCCACGTGTATGATATGTTGCCCCAAATGTGTCTACAGATGTCCTCCCCATCAAGACCTGGGTATCGTGCTGTAGCCTTGGTGTTCCACGTGTATGATATGTTGCCCTCAATGTGTCTACAGATGTCCTCCCCATCAAGACCTGGGTATTGTGGTGGAGCTGCAGTGCCAGGGCGGCCCAGCGTCAGACCACGACACACAGCGACTCATCACACGGGCGTGGACCAAGATTCCACTGTTTGATTCTAATGGCAAACTGCAAGCTGGCAGATTCAAGATTCCATTTAGGAATGTCCCAATCAAACCTTTCATGACCTTCACCGAACTCAACACAGTACCTCCAGTAAGTTAAATGGTGTGAAATCCGAGCACCGTGTTATATTTACTGACATTTTACATGCTTGAACTTCTTTGAAAATTCAAAGGATTTGAGGGAAACTTTTAAATGAACAAGTTTTGGTGAGGTGAGGTGAAATGAAATGGGGTTTAACGTAGCGTTCAAGATTATTGCACTTATATAGAGATAGTGTGTGCGTGCGTGCACGCGCGAGCGCCGCAGTTTAACATGAATACCCCACTCAGACACAGTATACTGACTTTGAGCCGACCAGTCCTTGTTTTAGCCCCCTAGTGCCATGCACCAGACAGGGTAACAACAAGTACTATCCTTTAAAGCCTTTCGGTTTGAAGTGGCTAAGGATCGAACCCCGGACCTTCCACGCTCTACCACTAGACCACGGAGGTGGTCCAAACACATTTTGAATTTGATCATTCCTCATTACTATTTCTACATCTTTATATCTATGAATGCTTAAAGATTAAGAATTTCCCTTGTTCAACAAGTGCCTTAATGTTAATCCAAAACAAAAGTTGTATATTTTCATGGGTACAATTTTTAGTCATATTTCTCACTTTTTTTATGAATGAAAAATTATAAGTGATGTCATTAAACCATATTCAAAGAAGGGAAAAGCAAATATTACAAATCAGACTAACATCTGGTCTCTGAAATGAAAATATTTTACAGAAAAAACAGTTATCAAATTATCTAAAAAATATATAATAAAAAGGAGCCCAGAGACTCTTCATTTTCCGGAAATGCAGTAATCTAGACTTGCATGCACTGTCAGGCTCTGTATGACAGACTAATTACAAATATGAACAACAAATTCAAACATTTTGGGACAAAAGGGTCATAAAACCACCTTCAGCTCTCTCCGTCAACATGAATTGCAAATAGAAAATTCTTCATCATTGACAAATACTTTTCTCCTTCCCCATTGTGTCCATCCCATGTTTTCAGTATGCCGATGCAGAACTCTTCTATCGTATCGTCCACATGCGTGATGTGCCGTCTCAGTCTCAGTCTACCATTGCCGCCAACAACAGGGATCTCTACAGTCTGGCTCCCCAGGTAGACACACAGACTGTCTTCTGTAGTGATTGTTGTCCAGCAATAGTGGCAGTACACAGTTATTGTAGTGTTACTTGAAGTGAGATTATATGAAGAGGACCAAGAATTAACTGTACTCTCGGAATCAAAACTCTGAATTACTTCCCTTAGCCTTGTCAGGATCTGCTGATTTTGGATTGAAGACAAGTTTTCACACAAGTAGTAAATGTGTGTTTGACATTTGTTGTTTTGGAAAATATTTGGAAACACTGACTTGATCATTGAGCCTGTTGCTTTTGATTTGTGATTCCTGTTAGACCGAAATATTTATGTCTTCTCACCTCAGTTAGTGTTAAGAAAAAGAAAGTGCACTATCACAGAGTGACCACACTTAGATATTGTAGGAAGGCACTATAGCACTCACCATAGAACTGACAAACTTTGTAACTCACGGATCCTGCATAAAAGAACAGTAGGCATGTTCCGCAACAAAGAAATTAACTGATGTGAAGTTGTGATAGTTAATAACAAACAAAGAAATTAACTGATGTCAAGTTGTGATAGTTAATATTTTTATGAAGTACTTAATCACATAACCCATTCACCCTATGATGACATTGAATTTCTATGCTTGAATTATAACAACATATTTTATAATGAATTTAACAAATGAATTAACCATGTCTTATTAACAGTACTCTTCACCCCAGTAGTATGTCACAGATATGATATATAACTGCATTATAACTGTAAACAGTGAGCATCTTTGAAAATTCCAGATTTTTGCTGTAACTTAAAAAAATATTTACAGTGTTCACAATTCTATTATTGTCTAACAAGTAAATTGATATCTGAGTTTAAATGTTCAGAAAGAAATGTAACAATTGTTAACCAGCTTGAGGATCTGTACTTTGTATCTTTGCAGGGAGGGATGATCCTGCATCAGCTCCCTGTATCTCCCCACCAAATCCCCCCACCCCCCTCGGCCTCACCCCCTCTAACCCCCAACTACCACTCGCCAAGAAGAAGGTAGGGACATACATTTTTTTCAAACTGTAGTTGGCAGCCTCTAAGACAAATTCTGAATCTAAGAAATTTGTCTCCTAAACTGAAATTGTTTTGTTTTCATATAACATAGAATAAGATATTTAAAAAAGTTTTTACCAGATTTGAAAAAAAATATTTTTGGATATTTCGGGGAGATACAATGGCGACCAGGCAAATCACCCTCAGCTTGTAGTTATATAGTTATAGTTTCACGTCTTCATAGAAAAGAGTGTTGCAAAAATATGTATTACATGTTTGTGATGATTACATGAAATGTATGTATTCTGTTTGATGTTCTTTTTCTTACATGAATTTCATATCCTAATAATAATTCTAATAATAATTATATGCTTTGGGGCATGGATACAGCACAGTACAGATATGCAATTATTATTATTGTTGTTTCTGTTGTCGTGTAATTACTATTTGCTAGATCAGACACTATATTATAGGGCTGGGTGGAGTCCAAATTTACTACCCGGGTACCCTCCACCCTATTACCCGACCCTACCCGGGTACCCGCTGTAGATATTTAGAGATAGGTACAAACTGTCCGATTTGGAAAAGTTTGACCGTAGCCCTGGTAAAATGTATTGAGATACACGTGTAAAACGATCTGGTCATGCATACACTGAAGTTTACTGCATGGAGTTTTATCTTTATTCGAACATATAAAAGTCAGAAGGAATGGGTGCATTGTCAGAAAGAAATGGGAACAATAGTGACTTGTAGTGGAACCATAGAGTTTTAGATAATTTTTGTCATTAAACAATATATCACGTGACTAACCAAGGGTCCGGGTAGTCCTGTGGGTGCCCGAGTCCTACTCATGACCCACCCAACCCGAGTACCCCGAGTGACCTATCCCAGCCCTACTATATTAAGTGCCATTATTCAGTTTATTTAGTATCAACATAAGCCGAATAAATCAATATGCCATGCATTACAAAATGTTTACTGAAATGTTCATGTTTTAGGTCAATTTTTACCATATCTTGATGAGTTTTTGCCGTTTGTCTCTATCAGTGCATGTATATGAGTGTGTGTGTCTTGCAGCAGCCGACAGCAGGAGATCTTTCCGCCTATTAGATCGGGGGGCACGCCCCTGGAGCCCACCCTCGGGTTCCAGGTGGACCGCATCAAGCATGCGGACTCTGGGGAGGGCAAGGTCAGACTGACCGCCTACTACAAGTCTACTGGGAAGGTCAGTCCATGTCATGTCCACTGTGTGAAATATTTGTTCTTCTGTCACTGATATTTCACTGTCATTTAGCGAACACAGGTGGCTCTGGCGCTATTAAGAGTTGTGTCCCTTAGCAGTGCCAGGATCTGCTGATTTACCCAACTGGGCTTTCCTCCACATAAATCTGACATGCCGAGTGATAAAACTGAAATAGTGATATTGAACTCATTTTGCTTCATCAAGTAATGTCGAAAGAAAGAGTGACTGAGTGAGTGAGTGAGTGAGTTGGGTTTAACGCCACTTTCTACAGCATTCCAGTAATATCACGGCGTGTCAGCTTAATGTGGGAGGAAAGCCCAAAGTGACTTCGGTGAAACCCACCAGCACAGGTATGGTGCTGACAAACCTAGAAACATAATCAGGGCGATCCGGGATTCGAACCCACAATCATAGGTTTCTAGCGTGCCCAAGGGATGCAACTCTGCACAGCGAAGCGGGGCCTTAGACGACTGGGCCACATGTGCCCCCTCGAAATAAATAAATTATGTTACGTTAAAAGGACACATACTTCTTGTAACTTCTTTATGTTGCTCTGAATGTTTTATTTGTCTGTTTCAATTTCTGTGATGGAGGATGTGGCCTAGTGGTTCAAGTGTTGGCTTATCACACCAAAGCCCCATTAGTGGTTTCTAACACCATGCTTTTGCTGGAAAAGTGTTGTTAACACCTCATTCACTCACATGCTTTAAATGAAATTTTGGTCGATGTACAAGTACTTAATATTTGTATATAAGTTTTTGTCATAATATCGCATATAATATTTGTATGTATAGGTATAAGGTGAGAAAGGATAGCACTGACCTGGCTGGATTGGTGTGTCATCTTACCCAAACAACACAAATCAATGTCTTGCCGCCATGGACTTGATCTATATACATAATCAGTCAACACCTCACCCTCACATCATGGGGTTCAAAGAGGAATAAACATTTATGACCTGTGCCAGTTTGGGCCGTTTTCCAGCATTAAACTGTCAGGCTGAGATACTACTGAAATAGGACTGCTTCGATGGTCTATTGGTAGAGCGTCCTCCAAGAGAGTGTACAGTAATGTTCGGGGTTTGTTCCCTGGCCATGTCACACCAAAAGAAGTTAAAACATGGTACTTGTTATTACTCTGCCTGGCGCGCATCATTAGGGGCTAAAAAAAGAACTGCCCGGCTCGAAGTCAGTATACTGTGACTAAGTGGGGTATTAATGTTAGACTGCGGCATTGTATCTCAGTGGGCTGGCACTATAAAACGAGCATTAGTCTGGACTAGTACAAGCAACCACACACACACACACACACACACACACACACACACACACACACACACACACACACACACACACACACACCTCACCTCACCTCACCTCACCTCACCTCACCTCACCTCACCTCACTATTACTGAAAGAAACCCAACTCACTCAATTGTTTGTTTGATCATCGCATTATTTTACATCCAGGTTGTACAATCCAGCACTAGTCCTGTGACCTGCAGTACGACGGCTGTACGCTCTAACTTCAAGCATGGCTACCACGTGTTTGGTCAGCAAGAAGCAACATTCCAGGATGTAGCATTCCAAGGGGACATGATTCTTATCGCTCGATTCTATCTACGAAAGAAACTCGGAGGTTATGTGGATGACCTTTACCTTGAGCCTCACTCCCAGGAGGCATCTCTGTATGACGAGGAGGCTCTAATTGCATGGACAGCGATCCCACTAGTCATCTCACACATCAGAGGTGAGGACAGAGTTCGGAGGGGTCATAAAACAATATTATGGAAATCTGGCATAATACCTTGGAAAAGAGGAGGAAGTGCTTCAGGCTGATAGTGTATGAAATCTGTAAGAAAGACACTTAAGCCATCCATGTTTTGGTTGGACACAATCACAGGCAAAACTGGGATCATATGAATTTATTATGTCAATTATTAGGTTGTGTGTTTTCATAATCTAAAGCTGTATGAATCAATCATAATGGACCCCTTTGTACTACAGCTGACCTTCATTTTGCATAGAGGGGCAGTGGGATAGCTTAATGGTTGAAGCTCTCACTTATCACACCATAAGCCTAGGTTCAGTTCCCCACTTGGGTGGTACAGTGTATAAAGCCTAGTGCGTGTCCCCTGCCACAATAATGCTGGAATATTGCTAAGAGCAGCTCAAAACACTTCTCACTCACTCATTTTTGACAGCAAGGAAAATAACTAAAATACTCATACAAATTATCTCCCTTAGTTCTTGCGTCTTTTGATCTTACTCTTTCTTTAAATTCCAGATCTCTCCTCTCGAGAGCGCCGTGAGTTTAACCCTGCTCTCATGAGGATAAACAATGGCACACACACACTCAAACTCTTCGCCCCACCGGTACCCGAGGCATCTCGCCTCCCACTGGAAGACTTCAGTTTACATGATTATAAAAGATATGGCCGTGGATCGTTGAGAATTCATATTTTCCATGGCAACCCACGACCTGGCTCACTGACACCTAGCGACATTTCTGATGATCAGGAGGACAATCTACCAGAGGTAGGAATGTTGCAGTTCTTTTGCCAACAGATTAGTTTTGGTATGTCCATCGGAAAAGAGTTTGTTCTCCTCGTTAGATGTCTCTCTGCAGTGGCCATGATAGCTAAGGACTTAAGGCTGCATTAAGAAAACATGTTTCTGAGGCACATTTTTTTCAAAGTGATGAGAGCAATCAAACTTTTTTTCTTTTTCTTGTTGAAAACAAAAGTGAAGAGGGAGGAACACTATTTTATTTTGTCCTAAACCTAAACCTAAAACCTAAAGAATGACACTTCATGAGTCTTTCGTATCCATCCAACACAACAAGTTCAAATTTCAGTTTGTTTGCATCAGTTATATTTGACTGCTAGTGATTAATCCGTAAGTCAAATACAAATATAACAGTATATAAAGCGTCACTGTCACTGTCCCTGTCTTTCAAGAATGATCATGTGATCAATTACAGGTTATGAACTTATTATGAACCAGATCATTGTATAATATGTCAGAACAGGTCCCAGTATCTGATGCTGATGTTGCCCCGTGAAGATCCGGGGTAGAATAGGTCTTCAGCAACCCATGCTTGCCGTAACAGGCGACTATGCTTATCGTAAGAGGCGACTAACGGGATCGGGTGGTTAGGCTCGCTGACTTGGTTGATGCATGTCATCGATCCCAATTGCGTGGATTGATGCTCATGATATCAATCACTGGATTGCCTGATCCAGACTCGATTATTTACAGACCGCCGTCATATAGCTGGAATATAGCTGAGTGCTGTGTTAAACAACAAACAAACAAACAAACATGACAGTCATCTAATATGAGGATCAGGTGGGTTAAATGTGTGACCTGATTGTGTGTCATTGTACCCTGCTGACATGGGTCCTGCTCATGCTTTCAAACTCCCATTGCCCTGGCCCAGGTCTTGTTTTTCTTGCTGCTCTCATAATGCTGGAATGTTGCTGACTGTTGTGTTAAACAGCATTCACTCACCAACTCACTCCCACTGTGTTCCCACATGTTCAGGCAGCAGTCATGTATCATGATGACTTTGTCCCCAGTATGCCTGGCTGCCCTATGAGAGGAAGAACCCCCCCACAGAACCCTTCATGGCCGGAGATGGCTTTGATGTCTACATTGATGGCTGTCGATACCTGCCAGACTCAGTCACATTTTCTAAGGTCAGAAACTAAACAGTTCAAAATCAGAGGCCTGTTAAAGGGAATCAGTTGTGTAAAATCTGTTGGACCAAAAATATCTAAACCCTAAAGCTATAAAATTATTTCATAGTAAAACTATATCAGTAACAAATTGAACGGATCCTGATGTGTGCTACATTTAAATAATGAAATAACAGGATGGTGTTTGCTAGATCAAGTGTGACTAGTTTAGGGAATGAAGAATAATTAATTTGTATTACCTGAATTTTGGGGAGGCAGCATTGAAAAGGCCTTGAATTTTTGTATGGACCCTGCTCTCTCAGCTGTGACTGGCTGATGAAGTGTGATGTAGTACCCTGCTGGTAAGATATAATCTATGAAGATCACAGGTTATGTGTATGTTCCCAGGTCGCCGGGCGTATCCTTGACCGTCGCTATGACGTGCACGGCAAGGACATCTCGACCGGGGTGAAGCTGGACAGTGACAGCTACAACCCGGTGTACGAACACAAGGAGGAGTACAGGCTGCCCACCGCTGCACCCTCCTCCACACTGCTGCTCAAGGTAACACTGCAGGGAGCTTACAGTTACCCATAGAACCAGAGAACCTTGACTACATGCTGATTTAGGAGATAAACATACTGTGTTTGAAAATAAGATTAATCTTAAACCAAATTGATAGTCTCTAAATTTTAGCTTGAAGTTTCAAATGATTAATTTGGAGACTATCACTTCGGTCTAACATTAATCTAATTTTCAAATACAGTACGTTTATTTCCATTCTACCATGACCGATTTAAAATCCAACTCCTTTGTTCCGCGTAATCCGGCATGGCACGAGAGGCGAATTGAACATGTCTGTGAAAGGGGTGGTAGGTGTCTTTCATGTTTTTTTAACATTGTAACGTGAAAAAATAATCATCCAAAGAAAAACAACTATTTGTTCAATGCAACAGATTTTTATGCTGTAACAGCTTGGTTATATAAACCCTCCAAACCAGCTTACTGTTTGGTGTGTAGTCCTGTACCCCCTGCCAACACAACATGGAATATCCGACATGGATTTCACGTGCCTCTACCCCAGCATGCAAACAAAAGAGTGACAGTGGTGGCCCTAATGCAATGATTTGTGTAAATGCAACTAACTTGGGATTCCTTGGAAATTGTTTTCATCATTTGGGACAGAGGATATGTGGCCAAGCAGTTTTAAAGTATACCAACACGGATCACCAGCAGTGACAGTTTTGCAGGGACGCTGGTAGAAAGCAGGATTCTGGTGGTTCAGTTTTGACATGTATTTTTCGAAAGATGGAACAGGGCACGAGGGAGTATGAGTGGCCTAAATTTGGGGTTTTACCTGACTCTTATCTTGCAAGCCCCCTGGATGACTTTTGATTGATTCCGAATGGGTCATTGTAATAAATTCTATCCCAACATCGTCTGATTTGACCACAAATGATTTGTATAAGTGCACAGTGAAGCAGTCATAATATCAGATGCATTTTTCAATCCAAGTTGATTATGTCTTATTTTATTGATTGTCCAATCAAATTCAAGTATTTCATATAGTTATTGTAGAATATAGAATTGTGCTTTGTTAGATAATTATACACATAGATTAGGCCTCACAACAGACCCACTTTCAGGGACAATCATTAAAGAATGGCTTATGAGTTAAGTGGCTCTATAGATTATCTGTCCATCATGAAGTTGTTGCAAAATTTGAGGGACAGATAATGTATTATTCTATCATGACTTCAAGAAATACTCAAATTTATTTAGACAATCATTAAAATCACAATAAAATTAGACATCAATTTGGATTGCAAATGTGTCTGATTTTATGACTGCTTCACTGCACACTTGCATTCATGACAACACTGTTGCACTACAACAGCACAACAGCCAGTAAGAAGCACTGGCAGATGCAATAGTATATCAAAGAACGGAAGTTTTGTGGTTCGAATTCCCTGGCTGTGTCATAAAAAGGATGTTGAAAGATGGTACTTGCTGTTACCTTGCCTCAGCATTAAGTGGATAAAACAAGAACTGTTCAGCTCTGAATATAATGTGTCTGAGTGGGTTATCCATGTAAAACTGCAGCAATGTATCTCAGTGGGCTAGCACTATGAAACCAACATTACTCTGAACTAGTAGAAGCAGCCACATGCTAAATGGGTGCAGTAATCTTGAATCTGACATTAAACCACATTTCACCTCACCATTAGTATGGAGGTAAAGCAGATTTCATTTGCCGGAACAGGAAATAGTCACCGGAGGCTAAGTCTGGGCTGTACAGTTAAATCACCCACCCTACAGCCCAGACTTAGCCTCCGGTGACTATTTCCTGTTCCGGCAAATGAAATCTGCCCTACGTGGAAGATGCTTCCAGGATGACGAGGACATAAAGGCTGCCACAGAGGCATGGTTAGAGGGCCAATCTGCGGATTTCTATAAAAGTGGTATCAAAAGCTTGTAGGACAAATGGAATAAGTGTATTGAGGTGAATGGAGATCATATTGAAAAATAAAAGTGCAAAAGATATTCTGCGACATGGTCTTATATTGAAGTTGCAAAACTAATTGAACGCCCCTCATATATGTGAAGTTTGATGATGGACACGTTTGAAGGACAATTCTTGTGATGGATAAATGGGTGGTAATCATGAGAGGTTTGAATAACTTGTTCCAGATATATACCATGGACAAGTTCTACAAGAAGCTGACTGTGGTCGGGTATGCTACTCTCAACCTCTTTGTGGAGTCTGGGTCGGAGAGACAACCAGCTATAGACAGACAGGGCTTACAGGTAGGACTTACACCTAAACACCCAGGGAGCGTTGTACAAAGCGATCTTAGCGCTAAGGCGATCATAACTCCCATACCTTAACATAGACATACAACAGTCATAGCGCTAAGGTTGTTTCGTAGAACATCACCCAGGTCCATCTGACTGTACAGGCTTACAGGCAGGACTTACACCTGTACACCAATTTCTGTCATATTACAGGGACTTGAACTTTGTTTAAGGAGTAATGCGTAAGCCTGTTATTGGCAATGAATATGCAAAATGAACATTAATGATGCTTTACTATTTCCTTTGATATACTTTATTCTTATCCTCACACAGCTAATTGTAAAAGGAATGGAAAAAAATGGAATCAAGGGGCCAAAACATGAAGTATCAAGATAGAGCTTGAGAGCATCTGTATCAGACCTTTGCCATTAGTTTGTCAGTTGTGGACCTGTTTTTCAGGTTGGTTTGTCCTATGACTGAGTTATTGGAGACTACAACAAATAACATGAACTCACCAATCCATTCGGGGGCATTGGTGGCCCAATCGTCTAAGGCTCCGTGATTCGCTGTGCAGAGTTGCGTCCCTTGGGCACGCCAGAAACCTATGATTGTGGGTTCGAATCCCGGTTTGCCCCGATTATGTTTCTAGGTTTGTCAACACCATACCTGTGCTGGTTGGTTTCACCGAAGTGGTAAACTCGGAGACCTGTATCACTTCAGGCTTTCCTCCCACATTAAGCTGCCACGCCGTGAGATAACTGGAATACTGTTAAAAGCGGTGGTAAACTCAACTCACTCACTCACTCACCAATCCATTCATTGTTTTTAGAATCAGTAATGTAGCTTAACACTGTGGCTGCAGGTGTCCCTCAACACAGGTGCCCACCAGCTGAGGGTCTACAACCAGGGACCTAACGGTGTGGACCCGTTCTCCGACACCTCCATGAGGACCAACAACACCAGGTTTGTGCCCTGTACCTCCATGCTGGTCCGCATCACCAAGGTGCCTAAAGGCCCTCAGGGAAAACCACTAGAGGTAAGGGACTGACCAGCTGATATTCTGGGAGGAGGCATGGGAGTTATATTAAAATAATTTGTTCTACAAAGTACTAGGGAAAAAAGATTGCCTCAAGTTTTATGAAAAACTATAATTATTCACAGGACATGCTGAATGTCTTGGAAAAGATTACTTGCAAGAAAAAATGATATTGTTTGGCACTTTCTTTTTTTTTAAATAAAATGCAGGTTTTGATGCAGTGACTACAGAATATAAAATGATCCCTCCCTGAGTAAGAGCTCTTACACTAGATGAACAATATACTGGATTAATACTCCTCTCAAAAGAAATACACATTTAGACTTTGTCATGATAGTGATGGTCTTGCTTGTACTTTCAACATGCATTAGATGAACATTTCAAACCGATGGTATGAATTCCTGTAATCGAATTGTTTACCATCATATTTGTTGCAGTGCAGCAAAGTGCCTCAAGCAGACTGGCTTCGGTTGGGCCTGTGGCAACCACGACCGAAGTACTCAGACCGTATCTACTATTCCATGAAGTGTCTGCCCACGAAGGGCGAGAGCAAACTGTTCCATAGTTTGATGAAGAGGACGCCCATCTCTGTGAGGCAGGCTGTGGCCAGGAACACACAGGCCAAGGATAGCTTCCTCCGCAGCGACAAGAACATGGAGCAGTACATCAGGGTGAGGATATGCTTGGTGAACTAACAGAGCACTGTTGGGTACGCACGGTGAACTAACAGAGCACTGTCAGGTACATTTGGTGAACTAACAGAGCACTGTCAGGTACACTTGGTGAACTACAGGGCACTGTTGGGTATGCACAGTGAACTAACAGAGCACTGTCAGGTACACTTGGTGAACTAACAGAGCACTGTCAGGTACACTTGGTGAACTAACAGGGCACTGTTGGGTATGCACAGTGAACTAACAGAGCACTGTCAGGTACACTTGGTGAACTAACAGAGCACTGTTGGGTATGCACAGTGAACTAACAGAGCACTGTCAGGTACACTTGGTGAACTAACAGCACTGTCGGGTATGCACAGTGAACTAACAGAGCACTGTCGGGTACACTTGGTGAACTAACAGAGCACTGTCGGGTACACTTGGTGAACTAACAGAGCACTGTCGGGTACACTTGGTGAACTAACAGAGTACTGTTGGGTACACTTGGTGAACTAACAGCACTGTCGGGTATGCACAGTGAACTTACAGAGCACTGTCGGGTACACTTGGTGAACTTACAGAGCACTGCCAGGTACACTTGGTGAACTAACAGCACTGTCGGGTATGCATGGTGAACTAACAGAGCACTCTCGGGTACACTTGGTGAACTAACAGCACTGTCGGTTACACTTGGTGAACTAATAGAGCACTGTTGGGTACGCACAGTGAACTAACAGAGCACTGTCGGTTACACTTGGTGAACTAACAGAGCACTGTTGGGTATGCACAGTGAACTAACAGAGCACTGTCGGGTACACTTGGTGAACTAACAGAGCACTGTCGGGTACACTTGGTGAACTAACAGAGTACTGTTGGGTACACTTGGTGAACTAACAGCACTGTCGGGTATGCACAGTGAACTAACAGAGCACTGTCGGGTACACTTGGTGAACTTACAGAGCACTGCCGGGTACACTTGGTGAACTAACAGAGCACTGTCGGGTATGCATGGTGAACTAACAGAGCACTCTCGGGTACACTTGGTGAACTAACACCACTGTCGGTTACACTTGGTGAACTAATAGAGCACTGTTGGGTACGCACAGTGAACTAACAGAGCACTGTCGGTTACACTTGGTGAACTAATAGAGCACTGTTGGGTACGCACAGTGAACTAACAGAACACTGTCGGGTACACTTTGTGAACTAACAGAGCACTGTCGGGTATGCACAGTGAACTAACAGAGCACTGTTGGGTATGCACTGTGAACTAACAGAGCACTGTCTGGTATGCAATGTGAACTAACAGAGCACTGTCAGGTACACTTGGTGAACTAACAGAGCACTGTCAGGTATTCATGGTGAACTAACAGCACTGTCGGGTATGCACGGTGAACTAACAGCACTGTCAGGTATGCATGGTGAACTAACAAGACACTGTCCGGTATGCACTGTGAACTAACAGAGCACTGTCGGGTATGCAATGTGAACAAACAGAGCACTGTCAGGTACACTTGGTGAACTAACAGAGCACTGTCAGGTATTCATAGTGAACTAACAGCACTGTTGGGTATGCACGGTGAACTAACAGCACTGTCAGGTATGCATGGTGAACTAACAGCACTGTCAGGTATGCATGGTGAACTAACAGAGCACTGTCAGGTATGCAAAGTGAACTAACAGCACTGTCGGGTATGCATGGTGAACTAACAGCACTGTCGGGTAAGCTTGGTGAACTAACAGCACTGTCGGGTAAGCTTGGTGAACAGATCACAGTTGTTTTGTCAACTACTTGTCCAGCCTACATTTAGTCAAAGGGAAAATTCCCAAACAGGGAAGATGGTGCCTCATAGATTGATGTTCACCTGGGTTGCGTGTGTTACAGAATCAGCTGACAAAGTCCATGGATACCAAGCCTCTGGAGCAGGACCTCAACTTCATCGCTGAGTACAGCCCCAAGCATGGGGTCAAGGTACAGACTTTTGTCTATTTTCCTTTGTCCAAGTCTCTTGCAACAGATTTGTGTTGTTCATACCAAATTAATTATCTCTTTTAATGCGTTTTCATTAAAACATATCATTTGGACCTGCAAATTCCCTGTAGAATCTGATACTCAATCTTATCTGTACTTCATATGAAGAATTGGATTGTGAAATGGAAAAATCTATTTTATTTATTTATCAAGAACTACAAAATTACATACCTTGCAGATACCAGTAGAATCTTGCATCAGGGATGGTTGGAAGACAAACTTGGGGTCCCTCAAGTGCAACAACTCATCCCCGAACTTTTATACATGAGTTAGCCCCAATGGGCTGATGCATGTGACACTATGTAATGTTGTTGCATTATTTGTGTGCTTGATGTTCCTCATCGTTGTTTGTACTACAGGTGGCTTTAGACAGCGCTGTCAATCTGCCGTGGTCCAACTTTACCCACTGTCACATGTGTCTCAACCCACCAGGAGCATTCTACTTGGTGAGTGTAAAGAGGGCTCTCAGGGACTGAGACACTGTTGTTGACCTGCTCATTAAGGGACTGGTATGATAAGTGAGAATAGGACTTCATTTCAACACATGAATAGCAACACTAAATGTGTAGCTCAGGGTTAACATCAGTCGAAACAAATGAAACATACAGTTGTCAAGAAGCATCTTTCAGGGGGCGGTCGGGGAGCCTAGTGGTTAAAGCGTTTCCTCGTCATGCCGAAGACCCCGGTTTGATTCCTGACATGGGTTCAATGTAGGAAGCCCATTTCTGGTGTCCCCTGCCGTGATATTGCTGGAATATTGCTAAAAGCGGCGTAAAACCAAACTCACTCACTCCACTGTGTTGATTTTCACAGAAGCTATAGATAAAGACCCGTACAGTATATAAAAGTAAATCTTGGCTCATAATTAGATCGTCTCTTGGAAATAGTTGTTATTGTTCTTTTTCACTCATTTTAGCCATACTACTGTTAGCCCACAATTGATTATAGCAGAAGCACACAATTTGCAGGTGTAAGAAACTATGTGTAGTTATCAGCCATTTGAGTATGTCTGACAATGTTCATACATGTCTGTGGTCCACCTCCGTGGACTAGTGGTAGAGCCACTGTCCTGAGATTGGAAGGCAGGGTTTTTGATCCCAGGCTGCGTTATACCAAAAGATGTTAAAAGATTATAGTTGTTTTTACCCTGCCTGGCGCTCGGTATTGAGGGGCTAATACAAAGACTGACTCAGAGTCAGTATACTGTGCCTGAGTGGGATATATTCATGGTAAACTGTGGCATGGTATCTCAGTGGGCTAGCACTATAAAATTGGTATTAGTCTTGACTATTATAAGTAGTCTGATACACTCACACACATGCAGCGGTAGAAACTAACAGTTTTAGTCCACTAGTCCTTATGATGATAACATATAGCAAAACCCTTGAAAATGACAAATTTCTACCAGTCCTTATGATACCTTAACTATTGGGCAGTTTGGACTATAGGACTAGTGCCAATTTCTAATGCTGACACGCATGCATAGACTCGCAAAACAAGTGCAGTAATCTTGATCTCTGTAAAGATCTGGTTTAGAAAAGGTCTTCAGCAACCCATGCTTGCTGTATGAGGCAACTATGCTTGTCGTAAGAGGTGATTAACGGGATCGGGTGCTCAGACTCACTGACTTGGTTGACGCATGTCATCGAGATGCGGTGTGTGACATCATGGATCATTGCTCAGGCTATCAACCAGCCAGCAAGCACATGTATTTTGTCCTCTCTAACCAAGTTTCCCGTGTTCCATGTTACAGGGAACACCACATGCAACCTATGACAAGTTGACATTCACAGAAAACCTTGACCTTCGTAGCACCAATACGTCACCTGCCTGGAGAGATGGGTTCAAGGTCAGTATAAACCCTTAACTTGCTCTATTCAACCAGTATAAGATATGATATGATGCGTTGGCATATGGTTCTGTCTCCAGTGCGCAGGTCACAATATCCCCAGGGAGCTGAGAATGAAAATCCATTGATCCAATAATGGTCTCTAGCGCCATGAGCTTTCACTTGGTGGATGGAATGTGGTACATTATAAATGGACTATATTACTTTTTGTTTCTTAGAAGTCTTTTATTTAAACATTTGTGCAACCTATAACTTAAAAAATACTGCATAGATTATTTTCAAATTTAGCAAAGAGTTTCCATACTATTAGAAGAGGTACAGTGCAAAGTTTGATTTTGATTTTTGGATTTGAACTGCTTCATGGATTCTTTTCCAATTGAGGGGTACAGATTCTATACCAATAGGAGAAGTGCTGGGCATTAGTTGATTTTCTGCGAAAATGTTGCTTTCCTTTCTTGTTTTGATCTTAGAAATATGTCAAAAGTCGGTATTAGTTAGCCCTGATCACTTTTTGCTTTGTTATTAATGTTATTAAGTATCTATGCTCTATACCGGGTTATTATCATGATTATGGTAACAGTTAAAATACTGACCCATTGATGATAATGAAGTTTATTGAAAAACATATATAAGACCCTGTTTACTAAAAACTGATGAACTAGCTGTAATGAAGCTTGTTTTGTATTCAGCACTTTCCGCGCCGCTCGTACCATCGGTTCCTGACGGCCGTGATCCACCTGCAGGAGGTGTTTGTCACTGTCTCCCGGGACAACTACAAGTATGGTCTACTGGAACAGGTCAGTGGAGGTCAAGCCATGACATTACCTTTGTTTAGGAACAGTATTCGAAATAAGTGCCTGCCTATAGGCCTGTGGCAGGTAGATTTCATATCGGGCCCGTAGTTTCAAATTCGAATGGGTCCTTATGGCCTACAGTAAATTTATGTCTTGATTTATCTGTCACAATAAGCTGCATAGCTTTTTACGATGAGGGCCTGAAGAGTTTAGTCAGGGCCTGCAGCTTCTGAAGGTTATGGGTCCTGATGGCATCCTGACAATTTTTTATTTCAAACACTGTTTAGGAACCTACTGAGATGTCTATTATTGTTTTCAGAGGTTCAAATATTCGTACATTGACCTCTAATGATCCTCATTGCTGGGTTGAAGTCTAAGTCGCCTCTGATTGGGTATTTGTCACCTGTATTTTAACCTGTACCTCCTCTGAAGTAGGTCTTTGCAAACATTATTCTAAACTCGCTTACAGTTAGTCTGTATGAATACAAAAAAAGCCATGCTTTGGAAATGTTCGAAATTATTAGAGCTATTTTTCGCAACTCTTTTCCTGTGTTATAGGCATGGACAGCAGTACAGATGTTCAAGGACAAGTATGCCTACACCACAACATTCCAGCTGCCACTGTTTGCTGGCTCACCCTCCCCACAGATGCTCAAACAGATGGCTCGGGAGCCGTGTCGGGAGTGGATGGAGAGGAACATCAGGAACAATACTGTGAGTACCAAGAACAATACTGGCACAGGGAGGGAAGGCTTTATTACCAGGAACAGGGAGGGAAGGCTTTAGTACCAAGAACTGTACTGGCATTGGGTGGGAAGGCTTTAGTACCAAGAACAATACTGGCACAGGGTAGGGAAGACTTTAGTACCAGGAACAGTACTGGCACAGGGAGGGGAGGCTTTAGTGCCAGGAACAGTACTGGCATAGGGAAGGAATGATTTACTACCAGGAATAATACTGGCATAGGGAGGGAAGGCTTTGGAAACAGGAACGGTACTTGCACAGGGAGGGAAGGCTTCAGAAACAGGACCAGTACTACTATTGGGAGGGAAGGCTTTGGAAACAGAAACAGTATTGACATAGGGAAAAAAGGCTTTAGAAACAGGAACAATACTGGCATTGGGAGGGAAGGCTTTAGAAACAGGAACAATACTGGCATAGGGAAGGAAGGATTTAGTACCAGGAACATTACTGACATAGGGAGGGAAGGCTTTAGAAACAGTAACTGTACTGGCATAGGGAGGGAAGGCTTTAGTACCAGGAACAGTACTGTAAGTACAATGCCAGTGAGGAAGGAATGCTGTGATTACAGTGAACACCAGAAACAATTCTTGAGTGCAGGGCACAAGTTTATTATTACCAAGAACATGACTAGATCGAGAACAGTAGTTGAGTTTGCATGAAACAGCTGGGACGAGATGGAGAAGACTATTGGTAATGATGGAGCCTGTCTTACTTACAGATCAAGTTGATAGAAGGAGCATCCATATTTGTGCGAGTCAGTGACGGAAGACGAGAGGATGAGCTGATCACTGATATCCCCACAAACAAACTGGTCAGTTGATTGTAGAATATGATACACTCTCAGAATAAGTTTATTATATACAAATTGCAGTATGGTTCAATCTGCTTTGACAAGGCAACCAGATAGTGAACCTTTTTTTAACTAAATCATATCTGAGGACATTTCTGGTCCAAGCTGAATCTTGAGATATGTTTAAATCAAAGTCCCTTTGAGCCTTTTAGTTTATGCTAATTTGAATTCCATGTACTGATTTTCTGAATATTTGGTATCTTACATTTACTACTCACCTTTCAATAGAGATACACACTTATTCATTCTATGTATATATATTCATGTAATAAGAAATCAGTTTGGTGTAGCCTGGAAAAGTTTTTAGGCCAAATAATGTGTATCAAAAGTTGAGAAGTATTTTCTAGTGAGGTTTGAGAAGTTAATTCTAGCTGAGACAGGAACAAGTAGAAGTTTGCTTCGAATACTATCATAAATATATGTGACGTCACTACAGGTTGAGATCAACATGGACTACATCCCGAACGGTGTGAAGGAGCAGTACTCCCGAGAGAGGCCTGGCCGGCCGACGGCCACGCTGGTACCCACTGGGAAAAGCCCGGAGCAGTTTATAGAGGGCCTCAGCACCAAGTTCAAGAGTGTAAGGATAGGTTTCATCATGTCAGCTTGCAGAAAAAGAGCTGTTTAATATAATGAAAACACATTACTTTATGATCAAACAAAATTATCATTTACAAGCAAAGAAATACTAACTGTTGGTAAATGGTAGATCACATTTGTGTATTGCTTGCATCAATAATTTACTGTTTTAAGCAGTATCCCCCTTTGTTAAAAAGTTTCCATATTATACTGATTGTTTTTTATTATGTTTCTGGTTAATTTTAAAAGATGAGGCAAGTGAAATGGTGTTTAACATCATGTTCAAGATTATTGCACTTATTAAGCGACGTGCATGTGTTTGTGTGGCTGCTTGTACTAGTTTGAACTGATGCGGAGTGCTTGCCCAATATATTATAGTGCCTTCCCACTGAGATACCATGCAGCAGTTTAACATGGATGCCCACCTCATACTCCAAACAAACCAGTCCTTGTTTATCTCCTAATATAATTTTGACCGCCAAACAGGGTAACAACAAGTACCTTCTTTTAACATCTTTTTGTATGTTGCGGCCAGGGAACCAACCACTGACATTCCGTTCTCTGGTCAGGTGCTATTTCCTCTAGAACATGGAGGCAGTCAGGGACACCCATATAAGATTCAAACTATGTGTGTTCTCAGGCAACCAGAATTAGAATTCTTTGTAGTATAACGAAAGTCAACATTCTCTGTTTCACAACAGTATAGTTTTGCAAGAGTCATTATTGCCCCAGAACCCATCAGGGTCTTCTTAGTGTTAACTGTGACCAGAATTACTGCCATATCATCCCACAAATATAATATTGTTTGTTACAGTTGGTGTACAAACTGTATGAAGAAGGAAACATCTCCAAGAACTAGACATCAGAGGATGGTGTAGACTAGAAGACTAGATCTAGCAACAGCTGCCTTCACGGGTAGTCCAGTAGCACAGATGTAACCAAGATGCTCAATCAAAACTGCCTCCGAATCCCAGAGTTGCCAGACAACCAGTGTACAGAGGGATAAGTATTCGCATGATGTTGCATACAACCAAATCATTGATCAGATTACTTCCACAGACAGGAAAGAGGCTTGACAAATCAGGACAAAGTCTTGGCCGCAAAGGCTTGACAAATCTGGACAAGATCTTACCACAATGTCAACCTGGGCGTACTTGAACCATAGCATATGCTAATGGTCAGTTTTTGTTTGTCATGCAGACAACTTGGTTTTGTTCCTCAGGAACAGTTTGTGAAGCCTCTTATGTCCTCATCCCATCCAGACATAGTATGGAAGTAAAATGATGGTTAGTAACCTCTCGCAAGATCAGTCTCAAGTTATGCTGATCATTAAAGGTCTTAAAATGTGATGCTGTTCAACAATATGGATGCTGAAAGAAGATGCTGATTGAACAGAAGCCACATGTTTCCATGGAAACAGGTGTTCCTTGATAACCATGGTGTATGATGTAGAAGGTGTAGAGACTGTGACACACCTACTGGTTGTAGGTATGGTGATTATTGTGTTCCGTCCAGGTGTTCTCAGGTTCAAGTCTTGCCACCACAGACTTTAGTGGGAAAGACGAATCAAAGTGATTTATACACGACTGTGCAATGGGGAAAAGTTGGAGTCTCTCAAGATCTGAAGCTGCCGTACAAGATTTGAATCTCCGCTTTGAACTGACAGTATTATGAAGTCTTCCAGTCAACTGTGTTTTTTGCAGAATTTGGTGCTCTGAGGGGTTGATGCTGCCAAATTTTAAACCTCTCACAGCATTAGAATTCAAGACAATTTTAAACCGATTTTGTTGTTTTCTTGATTCTGAACCTTATTTGACAAACATTTACCTGTGTGTGTGTTTTTGTTTGTGTGGGACCAGTGGCATTGGGATGTTTACTGGTGACAAGAGATCTATTCAATCTACAGAAGATGTGGGAAGTGTGACGTCACTGTTATAAGACACCAATAGATGCTGTTAAATCAACATCTGTAACTGTTGTTACACAGGAAGACCTTCAACATCAGTTTCAGATGGTACAGATGACCTTCAAATTAAGATATGGAGCAGAGAGCTAAATGGTCATCTATAATGACATAGGGTTAAAATTTAAACCAAATATTGTTTTCTCTTTTGGTTTGTTTAATATTTATTAATATTTATTTATTTTTAAACAACTGTCTATATGAAGAAACAGCTGTATATATAACTACATGATCTATCATGCCATGAGGACATTTATGTTATACCAGCCACCAAATGGTGCTGACATTTGTTAATAATTACAGTTTATCTTTAATCAGGCAACATGTATATTGAAGGTGTAAAATATAATAACAGTAATCCATGAACAGGAATCTATGATTATTAAGATATCAACAACAAAAATATGACATAGATTGCTGAATGCACCCTTGATTTGAACCAAGAAAAAGTCTAAAATCTAACATTAGACGATTTAGGATCATGTTGCCCCAGGAAAGATGTTGCATTCCTCTTAGAATTCTCTCTCTCTACCATGTCCTGTCTTAGATCTGTGTCTTACATATAGGTATCGTATTAAGTTCTCCGATCTAAGTTCTCCTTCCTGACCAAATACAACTGGAAGAGAACTTGAGTAAAACTTTATATGTTAGTTGCTTTGTTGCCTGTTCCAGGGCCCTGCTCCACAAAGGGATTTTAGCGCTAAGTTCATCATAACTCCCATACTTTAACATAGGCTTACCATCATCGTGTTATGGAACGGGACCCAGGTTTTTTAGATGATACTTTCAGTCCTTTAGCATAGTGTGGGTTTTTTCTGAAGTAGTTTGTGTCATGCTTTGTTAGTATTAGAGGCCAGGTAATTGGTAGATCATGTGAATGACCACTGACATTGTGGTATGGTCTAACAAAGTGATGCAGGCTATAGTGAGACATGTTTGCTTATACACTGTACATTATAGAGAATGTTGAATCTGAGGAGACAGAACGCCCCCTCATGGTACTGTTGAATGCAAATAGGTTCTTGTCTGCTCACACTCATCTTTGTATTTCTACAAAATATATTATTTCAGTAAGTTATCCATATTTGCCATATGAAGCACCGTTCTCCCCTGGCCCAAATTTAGACCAATCTGTAAGTTATCTTTATAAGCACCCACTACAAAGCCCTAAAATATGACAGTCCATATTTTCAGGCATATATATAAGATGTGTTACAGAAAATGCAGCAGCGCAGGAGTACATCATTGACTTGTAGCTGTTATCAAAAAGGTATTAGTTTCATCAACGTTTGAACTAAGTTTGTTGTGAAAACAGATTTAACTCTTTGTGTAAGGTTTTAATAAGTACCACCTTTGTAATCATTTTTAGAGCCCAGGGCGCTTATTACAGCGAATATGGTATGTCATATGTTTGACATTTACTTTCTAATGTCTGTCTAATGTTTATGCATTTGTTATTTTCTATGTGGAATAAATATATATATATTCGAGTAATCTGTGATGTACAACCTTCCCCCAACTTAAAAATTATTGTATTTTATATATGTATAAACAGATTTTATTGTTATTTGAAAAGATATCCAAATGCAATGTTGATAAATATTTATGGTTAATTCTTATATATTATGAAATGATTTAATATATTGTTTCTAGTGCTTAGAAGAAAGTTTTATTCTGAAAATCACCAAGATGCATTCCTGTTTGTTCAATTACTGTTTTTCTTGTATACTTTCCATGTAGTCAATAAACTGATCTGAACTCAGCACCCTGCCATGGAGCCTAGGCCTCTACCATGTACTGCTGCTAAACAACTTCAGAATAATATGCATGAACATCACACTTTGGAACACTAGCGCTATACATGCAACAGAATGGTGGAGTGTGAGGTGGTATGCATGTAGTTTATGCTGTGTGTATTCATCAGTGTGCCATCTCGACACATGCACTGTAGTTGTTCATGTCACAGATTTGTTTGTCCCTCAGAAATCATTTCTGGAAGTAATAGAAATGTCAGACCATAAACCAGGTCGACTTTCCACCCATGGTGTTGTTACTAAATGTACAGGTTACCATATTTTTGTTTATTAAATTTTCTGGTTTAACTTGAAAGATGTAGCAGCCCCATCTCCACCTCCCCCTGAATACTCCAAATCCTTCCCACCAGAAACATGTATGTATCATGTGCCCCTCAGGTGACAGCTGACCTCGACAATATCTCGCAACAAATTCCAATAATAAATACATAGGTTATCTTGTACACAAGCCTACTTCACATCTTGATTTTTTATTTGTCAATCCAACATTTTCTTAAATTCAAATCACATTACGACCTCGACCTTATTTGAAGGTCACCCAAAGACAGACATAAAAAGATCATTTATGGTGTTTTGTCAAAATTACAATTAAAAAAACTCAAGTTACTGTGTACACAAACTTACGTCTCCATACCATACTGACAGTACTTTCTGAATGAAACTATTTGCAAGTCAGTTCATTAATGAATGAACTTCTAAATGACGTGGCTGCTTAATGATTCCTTGTCTTTGCTGTTTGGTCAGACCAATTTATTTTCCCATTTTCCCAAAACGCAATAACTGTTGCAAAAGTAAAAAATAATGATAAAAAATGATGTTTGATTAAAAACATGCTTTCGTTAAACATGTCTGTGTTCAATCAAGCTGACACCACTTTGTTTAATGGATCTCCATGTAACATGTAAATCCTATCATCATGTTATGATCAGTTCAGACACCTGGGTTAGATCTAATTGATGCTTTTTTCAATAAAAGTTAATTGGTGTTGGTTATGGTTAGGCTGAATCCAGGAATAATACATCAACAGGAGCCTCTCAAATCCCTTTCTGTCTAGTTTATCAGAATCAGGCCTTAAAAGGTTTTGTGGAAGCTCAGTGTTATTTTACCTTTCTCCCCCTTAATTACTGCTGTCAATAGCTGCATAAAGCTGCGGGTGAAGTGTTAATCAATACTTGAGTCTCTGGTGGGTTACGTCCTTGTATCACGGCATGGCTGTACAGCCTGGTTACTGGCGCTGTAGATGTTCTGTGATACAAGCTGTATTTCATCATCATGGGGGAGGATTCAAGATATATATTACTAAACTAACCCTGAGGGGATTCTGGGTCAGAACAACGGAAACCTGATGCTTGGCCAAAGATCAAGTGGACTTTGACTTTGATTGTCATCATGTGGCTTATTGCTCTGGGGTAGAATAGGTCTTCAGCATCCCTTGCTTGCTGTAAAAGGTTACTATGCTTGTCGTAAGAGGCAACTAACGGGATCAGGGTTCAGGCTTGCTGACTTGGTTGATGCATGTCACCGATCTCAATTGTGTGATGTCAATCACTGGATTGTCTGGTCCAAACTTAATTATTTACAGACCGCCTTCATATAGCTGGAATATTGCTGAGTGCGGCATTAAACAAGAAACAAACAATGGTTGACTGGCTCGTTATTAGTCTACCATGACGTAAGCATTCCCTCACTCACTCAGTGGCAAACGATGATACTGCTACCACTAGCATAATTGCCATTCCCTTACACAGGTGAGGTGAAATGGGGATTCACATCACATTCAAAATTATTGCACTTATAGAGATATGAGTGAGAGTGGGTGTATGTGTGGCTGTTTTTACTAGCCTGTACTAATGCCAGTTTTATAGTGATAGCCCACTGAGATACCATGCCACAGTTTATCATGGATATTCCTCTCAGACACAGTGTACAGACTCCGATCCGACCAGCCCTCGTCTGAGTGCCAGGCACGGTAACAACAAGTATCATCTCTTAATGTCTTTTGATATGATGCAGTAGGGGTCATAACCACTGACCTTCCACTCTCCAGGCAGATGCTCTGTCCACAACACCTTGGAAGTGGTTCTTTGCCAAAATAACTTTGCGTAAGGGAGACCAGGTATGTCTTAGTATAGTATAAGTTGTAGCAGGTTCACGAGGGGTACGTGGGATTTTATGTGTCCTGCATTAGGTTTTATACCACAAGCATATAAAAAAAGATATACACTAGGGGCACTTTGACATCAAAAAAAAAAAATCATTTAATGTGAAATTAATACACACAAAAGACCCCTTCTCTGGAGAGAAAAAAATTATGGCACCAATTCTTGAACTCTGCTTGTCAAAGCTTAACTTAGATAAGCAAACTTTAGTAGTTTCTTAGAAAACATGTCCCCATTGCAGAAACTGCACTTTGTAAAATAACATTGATCAAGGGCTATAACTGTGTATGCTCAAAATCTAAAAACATGTTGCAAGGGAAGTAACTTTGAGAAAAAATCATTTACAGGACCAATTCTCAAACTCAATCTTGACAAACATCTTAGATAAGCTTAACTAAAAAAAAAATTTTCGGTTCCAATTCTTTAACTCATTTAGGATCATGACCAGTAATATCAGTTTGTAAAAAAAATAATTCTCAAACTTTGAGAAAATCTGTCCCCCTTTAAGAAGCAGACGATGGACGGACAGACGAATTCCTTTCCTATATCCCCAGTCCCACTTTATGGCATGGGATAAAAAATAAACTTAGAATACCAGTACTTCCAGACAAAACATAACTTACTGTTCTACAATATCAATCAGAGATTTATTGTCATCATTATGAGATAACAAATAAACATGATATATAAAATAAATAAAAAACATAAATGACATTTCACGCAATCAAAGTGCATGGTGTGACACAAAAACCTGTCTGTACCCAACAGTGAATAGCAATAACCACAGATAACAATTGCATTGATGATTGGCTGCACATTACTAGTTGTTAACTGTACAAAAAGTTGTATGAGAAAATCAAGGCATGTAGCTCACCTTCAAAAAATATTTTGTTGCATTGTATCTCGGTGAAATGTTAATATGTTTTATGATTTCCCAATATTGATTTTCGTTATTCATAACATTTCCCTTCTACTTGAAACACATGCAAGTGTGAGTGAGTTGGGTTTAATGCCGCTTTTAACAGTATTCCAGTTACATCATGGCGTGTCAGCTTAATGGGGGAGGAAAGCCTGAAGTGATGCAGGTCTCAGACGTTTACCACTTCGGTGAAACCCATGAGCACGGGTATGGTGCTAACAAACCTAGAAACATAATCGGGGTGAACCGGGATTCGGACCCACAATCATAGGTTTCTGGCGTGTCCAAGGCACACAACTCTGCACAGCGAATTGCGGCGCCTTTGACGACTGGGCCATCTGTGCCCCCATGCAAGTAAGAAGCCATATTGATTAATTTTGAAAATGGAGGCCATGGCAGCCATCTTGAAGTTTCAGCTTCATGTTTGCAGTCAATGTACTGCCATGAGATTAGTGGAAAAACAACCACGGTGTAGCTCTAACCAATATCATCTACAGCTTCACGGAAGGATAAATCACAAAACTATATTTCTTGATATCCAGCATCAGGAATCAGTTGTATCAATTGAACTATTAAGCTAATGCAACTATGTTGCAACTCAAGAGAGAAATAAAGATTCAAGTACTGCACTAGTTGCATGAAAGCAGATGCCCAGAAAAACGGGAAGTTATGAAAACATTAGTAGTTGTCAATATACCATGACAGACACTCACTTAGACCTTGGATCCTGGTGAGCTAAAACATGAATACAAACTGAATTGTAACAACTATCATCCTTCAAACTTAAAAACATACAAGTCTTTGAATGGCATTTAGAAGTGATACACATAAGGCAGAGAATTTATGGATGTCAACTTCTTTATTATGAGGCACACAACATTTTGGAGTATATACTTACTCCATCATCAGGTGAAACGTGTTCCTCATAATTAGGAAGTTGACATCCATGAATTCTCTTCCTTACAAACATACATTTTGTATACAGGAAGAATACATCTGATATATATTCAGTAACAGGAAAAAGGTATATCGGCGATTTATCCAATTGTGAATGACTTCATTTTACAGTTCTTAATAGCAGAGACCATATATCTATTATATGGTCTCTGTTAATAGTTAATCAAGCATGTTACAATGAAAGATAACAGGCAGCAGCCTACACTCTCTACACATGCTAAACATCAGGCGAGCCACTTGTGAAAATAAGGAAGACTATTGCGTAGTTATAAATCGGTTAAGCTGTTAGTCATCTATTAATGTAGCAACAACAAATTCATCATTTATTTCTGTATCCAAGGACAGAATGAGCTGGTGATTTTCTCTAGACATTTTTCATTTTATAGAGCATGTCTATATGTGAATATATATGTTCATCAGTGTCAAACCAACATGTTCTTGTATCATCAATATTGTGAAAAGATCATGGCACCCAGACTTCTCAGGCAAACAGACAGCTTTCACAATACAAAACCTTGTAACCTGTAGTTACCTGTAGGTAGCATCTAGTTGGGATACCAGCTTGCGTAATGCAATACAACTCATTTCAATTGAACTGCAAATACTCATCTAGTATCAAGGAAAGGTATGCATTGTAAGCATCTAGGCTTAGAAGAGCCAGTTTACATATTAAATCTGGCCTTTAGTTCAAGTATCTCCAACATGGTGAATGTTGAAAGACTGCTAAGGTACACCACTCCGTGGGAAATAAACCCAGCATAAATAGCGCAACATATCAATATCAATCATGATGCAAGGCACTAAAAAAAAGCGAACATACCTCTACCAATAAAAGCAAAAAAATACATGAAATCATGTGTTGTGACACTTTGTACAGATGATGTTATGCATTAATTACAAGCATGGTCATATTGATTCAATGTGTTATGTAAATAGGTCATCACACCCGTCACGGTGAACATGTATGTCTACTATAATGCATAAGCTAAATATCTACCCTTCCAAGAAATGCCCAGACACGCCTTAGCTTACCATTTTGTCATTTGTATGAACACAGATTCGCTGAATTACTTTTAAAATAAATGGGGAAGAAAGTATCAAAATTAACACAATTTATACTGTTTGGGTTATTCTTTCAGTTATATCCAGGGGTCTCTGCTTTATGTGTGGGAGTAAAGCCAAAACTGGTGCAGGTCCTAGTCACACTCCACTGCAGTGGTGACTTAGCATAACACCTCCGCCACAGGCTAATTTGCATATCACATGACCAGGCTTCACTTGTTCGTAAACAAACACGCTTTCCCAAATTCAGAACAGATCAGGCCTAATGCAAGCCTTTTGGGGCGATTAACATACTGTTTTGCATAATTACATGTATATAGATACGATACTGCAACAGTTAGGTGCATGACAATATATATTTCTCCATGAAAGTGACCGAATTGCAAGCTCTCCGTAGGGCTTCGATGACAGCACATGGTGCCATACACTCAATAGTATACTCAATAGTGAGTGGGTTTTACACCGCTTTTAACAGTATTCCAGTTATATCACAGCCTGTCAGTTTAATGTGGGAGGGAAGCCCGAAGTGATGCAGGTCTCGGATGTTTACCACTTGGGTGAAACCCATGAGTATGAGTATGGCGCTGACAAACCTAGAAATGTAATCGGGGTGAATTGGGATTCGAACCCACAATCTGCTGTGCCCAAGGGATGCAACTCTGCATGGCGCCTAAGACGACTTGGCCACCAGTGGCCCCTAATCAATATAAACAAAGTATAACTACGCAAATGGAAATAGGTTAACCATTCTATGACATGTTTATCTTGATTTGTAAGCTTTTAAAAAAACAACATGGAAAACATATGCAATATCTTGTATGGACTGTGGGTAGGAGAGTGGGTCTTAGAATGTTGACAAAACCAAGCATCAAAATTTAGGATGAAGTTTGGAAACAAGGCTTGAAAAGAACAAGCAAGGGATGCACTCTGCACACTGTGGCAAAGCTAGATGTCAACTATTGTTGATTGTATACCATTTGTTGGTTGTGCGTTGGTTTCACACTAAATTCTTTTACGTTTCAATTTGGGAATCGGCACAAAACAAAATAAACTATAAAAAAAGAGTCCTATAAAGCCTTAAGAAGAGATAGGCACTTGGACAGGTTTGTGTCATCAGAAAAAATTAATAAATGTGAAATTAATACACACAAAAGGCCCCTTCTCTGAAAATGAGCATCTCTTAGATAAGCTAACTTCAACAGTTTCTGAGGAAACTTTTCCCCATTGCAGATACTATGCACCAAGTAAAATAACATGGATCAAGGGCTGTAACCCTGTAAAAATGTAATCTAAGGGGCCAATTTTTGAACTCAGTCTTGACACGTATCTTTAGATAAGCAAGTAACTGCAGAAGTTTCGGAGAAAACTTGTCCCCATTTCACGCACTAAGTTGAAAAGCACAGGACAAGGCCCATAACTCTGTAAAAACTTCATTTACTTCACCAATTTTCGAACTCATTTAAGATCATGACTTGTAACAGTCAGTGTGTAAGTCTCTGACTTAAATAGTTTTTAAGAAAATTTGTCTTGAGAAGCGGATAGGAAGGAAGGACGGACTATACCACCACGCCACTTTGTGGTGAGGAATATTGACATAAACCCCATGTCAGAATTAAATAAGCAGTTGATGGCTGCCTTTAATTCTGTACAAAGCTCTGGGACACACGCTGAAATCCAAGTGTTAATCTACCGGTAGTAGAAATAAGTCCTCAAATAAATTGCTTCTGTGAATTTCAATTTGAAACTGTGCTACTGTTTCAACAACATAATATATATGTAATAGATCCCAAACAAGATGTTATCTGGGGATGATGCCACAGCTTGTGGTCCTGCTTCTTCACCCAGCTGTCTCCAGCTGGTGCTCTACAACCACCGGAGGCGGAGTATACAGCACATGTAGGCTCAGGACTCAATTTTTATTCACAACTGCTTAAACATTATAATCTACACCAATCTAGCAGTTAATTATTAGGCGATTATAAATTATTTTAAATTATAGATTTTATCTCAACTATCATCATCTAGTTGTCTGCAAGCACCTGCAGATGAAGACAAATGCTCCCTCCTTACATTAATGAAACACTGGGATGAATTAATTCATTCATTGTGGCCTTACCTTAATTACAGTGTCTCAGTTTCACACAAGGCACAATAGGGTTTCACATGATTTTTCTTTCACACACACACACAAAAATAAAAATACTTGCAATGACATTTTCAGTGCATAATGATCAAAATGTGTACTACCCGTTACATCTACAGTCCTGATGGCCCGTTATTACTATGTCCATTTTAAAATCAATTCAAAACATCAAAAGATCATATTGTGAAAGTGAACGAACAGCGAAAGAATACCAATATTCCAGCTTTATGTAGGCAGTCTGAAAATAATAGCATCTGTACCAGACAATCCAGTAATTGACATTCTGAGCATCAAACTACGCTATTTGGATATCATGACATTCATAAACCAAGTCAGAGCCTGACCACCTGATTCCATTAATCACAATATTTGGTAATTCCTTCTACACAGAGTGGAATTGGGCTGCAGGCGGTGGAACATATGGCCACAGATGGTTAGAGGATACTGACAATTATGGCTTGACAAAACAAGTCAATATGACCAAAACCAACATTATATACAGGATTGCAAGATTCCATGTCTTGTCTACTTGGAATTACCCAGTCGTGTCGTGTGTGAAACTGAGAACATGGCTGTTTTGTTTGTTTCTTAAAGCCCCACTTAACAATATTCCACCTGTATGACATCCTGTAAATACTGGTAATCCAGTCGGGACCAGTGATTGATGTTATGAGCAACGACCCACACCATATCATGTATGATAAATGCAGCCACCCAAGTCACGGAGTCTGGCAGCCTGATCTATTTATTCACCACTTACAACAAGCATAGGTTGTTGGGGACCAATCCTAACCCTGGAACCCATGGGAGACATGATTAAATTATTTGGTAGTCAGTTACTGCTAGACTGCTCCAGATTATAAAACATCGATAAGTAGACAATTATTAACAGATTAAGTTCCCAGTCTCTGTCTTACTGACCTGTTTTAAATTTCATTACTGCTGAAATGTGCTTAGGCCTGTTTCATTTCACAATTTAAGTTCACTTATATTATTATTATTTGAAGACTGATTACTAATTGGTAAACAATGACTTACATTCTAACATTTAAACAGACCAATAGTAAGTGATGTATAAAGATCTTATTTACTCAAAATGTTGCAACAACACAATAATCAAAAAAGAAGAAAATAAAAATGCTTAATTTAGACATCTTTCCTGGTATTTTTGTCTATTTTTACTGAGATGTTTCAACTAAGTTCAAATCAACCTTTTTCTTATGCATAATCACCAAGTTACCTGAAGGATATACACATGAGTAATGTAAAATATTTATTTGGCTGCGACATCACTTGTCACATACCAATATCAACACCTGATGTGCACCTGCTAACTTTGCCCCCACATCCCACCCAAAACAAACACCCAAACAAACAAACAAAAATAAAAACTTTGCCAAAATTCAACACATTTTAAATATATTTTTGTACAATTGTTAACTAGTTTTTTTGTTATGTCATCCTATAACAAGATTAATTGTCTATAACTGTATGTAATATACTTTAATTATTTTGTATAAAAATAATACTTGAAGAGAATTATTTTTGCAAGTTGTGGTCCATTGACAGGCAGACACGCATACAAGTGACGCTATGTGATGGAGTCATTTGTATGCGTAATGAGGGACCTGTCTCACATACGAAGTACGTCCTCTACCGCCTAGAGTTCCATTGTTGCACCTCTGAGGTGCTATTTGAACAAACTGTTGGTGTATTGGTCAATACACGGAGGAAAATATGATGAATAGCTAACTGATACCCCACTCTGAGTGAGTATAAGTTTATTTACTTTTTCCAGTGAATGTGATATTTACAAATCACAGCTGACAAAAGTAACAAATAGGGAATATTTGCCCAAAAATATTCTCTAAATCCTTCTTTCTCCAGACTAGTAATATCAGTAGGTTAAGAGTTCGTACCCCAGGTTTACATGACTCATGATTTTGATTTAAATTCAGGTCTGGAATTGTAAGAAATCCTTCACATAAACATCACAACATGCCAACATGAAAAAAGTTTACATGCATTCACTTGTAAATGAATCGCAATGTATCCGCTAATAGACCTACAGTTAAAACAAAGGAAACCATGGCAACAGGAAAGTGGTGTATATAATATAAAGTGTTCACCGGAAACAAGACTTGTACGCATGTTACCATCACTCTACATTTGACCGAGCTATGGGACACACATTCTGTGGCCTGGCCTCAGACAAATATTCAAATATGCTGCCTATAACAATATTCCATGAATACAGTAATACGTTTGAATCTAAAGTGACAAATAATATCAAGTACATTCAATATAAAACCGTAGTCACTTAGTTTCAAACCCTGCAAGATGAAATGCTAATATCGAATACTGCTATTTCTACTTTCATGATATGCTACAACAATCCTATCTCTCACAACACATAAGCTCAGGCACATTTCACAGGTTTGCATGATGGCGTATAATTGACTCCACAAGACACAGAAACTGGCAAGGATTATCACAACCATGTTGCATGACCCACATGTTCCAGCCATGACATCCTCACTTGCCACGGCTCACATGACTAATGACATGCGTCAGCTCCTCGTTCATTTCTGCTGTGTCATCACTAGGGCCCGAGGAGGAAGTCTCCTGGCGGCCATTTTGATGGTAGAGAGGGAATTTCTCATGGCGACTTCTGTAAAATCTCATCACAGATCTTCGCTCCAAGCGGAAACTGCTCAGAAATGTTATCTGAAAAACAGTGGTTGATAGCATTAGCTGTGATCTATGCCTTCAGTATTCAAGTTTACACAATTAATCCTTTAATAATAGTGCAGAAAAGTGTTACAATTAACATAAGAATTCAACACATAATGACAACATTCCAGGAAATCCAGCGGGTGAGGTGAAATGGGATTTAATGTCACAGGAGCTTATTTGGAACACTGTATTGGATACTTGCGCAAACATGTGATAGCCATGGGATGATATAAAACTCTCTAATAATAATAATACATACATACAGAAAATTGTCTATCTCTCTTACCACGAGGCAGCTAATAAGGGTGCCAAGAATGGCACCAGCTAGCACATCGCTCCAGTGATGCTTGTAGTCTGAGATTCGTGACAAACACGTGAAGAAAGCAAGACCAAAGGCAACGAGCTGCATAACTGGGCGGATCAGGTTAGTTCTGGCTGTAGTCAGTCGAGCCTGGAGATATGCCTGCAGCAGTAGAGAGGAGTGTTACGTAATTGTTGCATCACGTAAACCCATCAATATTGTTATCCTTGTTTATTTTCATCAAATGTAATGCCAGTCATCAATAGAGTTCTTATACAAATGTCGCAGGATGTAAATTAGCTGTGTCCTCAATGTCTGTTACATCAGCATTAGGCTCAGACAAATCAGTAGTCCCAGCAAGTGTAATTAAAGTTGAATTTGAATTTGTGTGCAGACTAAGCCTCTATAATGTACATCCACATCAAAGATAATGATTACCTTAATGACATGGACAGTGTCTCAGACATGGAACTAATACCAAAGCCTACACTTCTTCAGGATATTCCAAAGTCCTTACCATAAGGAAGATCATGCAGTAGACCGCGATGGAGGCATGGCCAGAGGGGAAGGACAGTCTGGCAACACACAAGGTTTTCAGTGAAGACAAAAGCTAGGTACAGAAGTTCACCTTCACTGGTTCACTAGGTGCTTCACATTTTGTTTGTTTGTTTTGTTTGATTGTTGTTTAACGCCGCACTCAGCAATATTCAAGCTATATGACGGCGGTCTGTAAATATAATCGAGTCTGGACCAGACAATGCAGTGATTGACATCATGAGCATCGATCCACACACAATTGGGATACGATGACATGCGTCAAACAAGTCACCGAGCCTGACCACCCAATCCCGTTAGTCGCCTTTTGCGGCAAGCATGGGTTGCTGAAGACCTATTCTACCCCGGATCTAGGTGTTTCACAGACTTTGTGCTATTGTATATTGTAAAAAACGCGGTACACATTTCAATATTGGTTATTGCCAGTCCGCTATATTCGAAACTATTTTCACATGAAATCCCCATGACGTTAAAACATAATATACTGCCATGGTATCTCCAAAACCGAAATATATTTGTACCAGTACGATCAGAGGGATTCATTTCATAGCTTATTTGACTATGAAGTAAAATGCAGTAGTTTGGAAGAATGTTTCATGTGTTGTATGCCAGTGTATTTTCTTGTTGAACAATGATTGTAGCTGTGGTATATTGTTTGTTAAGATACGGTAGATGCTCATTGCATTGTGTTTGGACAGTGATCAGTCGTCAGGTAGTTACTATATTTAGATATGAGTGTGGTGTGTAAACTTCCAGTCCGGTATACTGCGGACAGCTATAGTATGTTATGGAAACTTCTTTAATGTTCTAGTGCCGATGGTCATATGTCACTGACTTTTGCTATCACTACTGTATTTGTGTATTTGATACTAACCACTGCCATCAATTTATATATTGCCATGAATATTGTACTACCTATTGTACTACTCTTTGTGCACATGTACTTCACAGAAAACTACAAGTTCACTTTTCTACTGTATCTCAAGGATTATCCTTGAATTTTTTTCCTATGAGAGAAAATCCCACTGTTCTAAAAGCAATGAGATTTCTTTGCATGTGATGAGATTTTGCAAATTTTCAGGGACATTTTGTCTTCCCAGAGTGGAAACTGTATTTGATATTCGGTATTTGTGACACCAATTATGTTGCAATTAACGTTACTAGATTATAAAGATACATCCTCCTATATTTTCAAAAATTAATTATTCCACTGTGAATATTTAAAAATATTAGCATTAGTGTCAACAAAAAAATGCATTAGTATTTATATTTCTGTTCATTGTCTACTTTAGGAGAAAATACATTAATATTTATGTATTTCAGTTCATTGTTGACTTTAGAAGGAATTATTTGCGAGAACAATTATAGATAAGGCATGTTTACCACCATCAGCTGTTCATTTCGTTGGCATGCGGGGAACAACCAATTTCTAGGTATTCCACAATGTGTGTTGAGTTCGTAATTTAATATATTCAAAGCAATGACATGAAATAGTGACAGTTGTAAATAGTGTTACAGTACGTTGGCAAAAGATATATAATTTACATTTCAGTGCTTTTGGCAATTTTGCTGACTTTTTTCTGTCTGTATTGTGTACTGTATCAAAGACTGGGTGTCTAACCATATCAAATGAAACCTTATCAATATGGACTTTTTTAATAAATTACAAGTGACAGTTCATTATACAATGATTTTTGCTCCAGGTTCACACTTTTGTTTAAATTAGCAAAAATTAAGTCATTTTTTTCTGCAGAAGGCGGCATGATTGCCATGTGCAGCAGCCAGAAAATGTTTACAAGTAACCAAAGATTGTTGACATTCACGATGCTTATGAGTTACATTTGAATGATTAGGTCACAGGTCTCAATAAATATGGACAAATCTAGATGCAAACATATCGTTGTTGTTTGGCGACTAGAAATAGCTCAAAATTCGTAAATCATGCACATTGGCCATTCCTGCAAGAGTGTAGTTCATGAAAACCAGTGTGAAACTTTAGTCGTTCCTGCATTTTTTCTCTTGTTTTCTGAACGGATGCACATACATCTACATCTTTGATTTCTGCTAGGATTTAAGTGACAACAAATAGGGTTAATGACTTGTTGTAGATCACCGAATACAATTTGACAATCAGGTATAAAAAAATGTAGTGCAAAGCTCCACACAGTGATATAGGAATCAGTTATACACAGTAAGAGATAGCATGCAGTGTTGCAAGTATGCAAATCACTGTTTCGATTGACAACTTTTGACGATTGAAGGAAATATCGAGCAAGTTTTGACAAGTTGACATTTTTAGGTACAGTAGATCAGGGTTCACAAGGAATATTCTGAAAATTTCAAATAGTCCCAAAGTACACCCATACAACACAATGTTAAAATGCCTCATTGTATTTGAAAATGTGGGCCTAGAATTATCCCTGGTAAATAATTTTATTCAAGCAATACAACTTTTTTGATGTTTGTAGGTGAAAATGAGAGTGTCATTGCGGATTAAACTATTGAAAGATGTACGCGATTTTCAATCTCGCTGAATTAATGATGATGCGAGATCTATGACAACTATGCAAGAATATCGTGTAATCATGGCCCAAGTCAATCCCTGGTATCTTATGTACAGTAGACTATGTTTATAACGAACACGCTTACAATGAACTGACAGATGTAACAAACTCTTTCTTGGTCCCGTTCTTTTGCTGTATATATGTTGTACATATGCTTATAACGAAATATTGTTATAATAAACTCAAATTAGTGATCCCTATGAGTTTGCTATAACCGTAGTTTATTGTATATATCTTACACAAAGTACATAAAGTGAGTGAGTGAGTGAGTGAGTATGGTTTTATGCCTCTTTTAGCAATATTCCAGCAATATCACGGCTGGGGACACCAGAAATGGGCTTCACACATTGTACCCATGTCGGGAATCGAACCTGAAGTACATAAAGTACAAGATTACTATCCTACTTTTCTTGGATCACTCCATTCTAATACTTAGGTAACATAGGGCAGACCAGCCAGTGCCTTCAGCCATGGCCTATGTTGTTTGAGGTGTGTGACAAATAGGACGTGCAACTAATGGCAGGATACTGAACTACCACTCTATTGTTTACTGCCATTGTAATTCCTGTGCAGTTATTTGTATTGATTTATAAACTTAGAGAATTTTGTGATACATTTGTTGATTGTATACCACTTGTTGGTTGTTTGTTGGTTTCACACTAAGTTCTTTTACGTACAGATTTCTGGGTTAACACTGTTTCAATTTGGAAATCGACATGTAACACATGAACTTGATGTAAGGTGAGATTGAAATCATTGATAGAATAATTATCCCACCTGCTCACTATCAAACACTCTCCCCCAGATCAGTTTCATGTCTAGGTACCAACAGATGAAAAAAATCACATTGTGTGTTCCCTTCTGTCTGTAAATACACTCTATACATAGCACAACCTAATATTTATGCTTCATGTAAATAACATCATTTTACTATTAGTATACATATATGCCTGAAAGAGTGTTAAAAAGAATCAAAATCCAAAAAACAATGTCTCCTCAAATATTGAAAACTGAAGATCAAATAATTCATTAATTGTGATCTAAGGGCTGTACTTCAACTAAATACTGACTGATCACAACATTAATCAGTAAAAGTTAATGCCCTGGGTGCCATTGGACAAAACAACCTCAGCACTACGACTGTCGGAAGCCCATGTTATCAAAGATATGCGAGTTATGATGAAGTTAGCGCTAAAATCGGTTTGTGCAATGGCACCTTGATTTCATATGTTCAAATGATTATTCCACCAACATACCTCATATCTCGAAGACGATAAGAATTTGTTCCTTTACATGTGAAGTCTATGATATAGCCACTGTTACAGTCTATGTTGGCCATGTCCGGATTGCACACTGCAAAGAAATGTGGGCGGAGTCTCCCGATACTGAACTTGCCGATTTCTGTCAGAAGTTGAGTGACAGCTGACCCAAATATGAACACGATGATAATTTTGTAACATTTTTCAAAGTAACTTTTTGTGTGCTCGTTTGGGTCTGTGGAAACGATCCCAAAACAGGAGGTTTTCTTCTCATGAAGAGCTTCAATGACCAAAATCTGGAGAAAAAATAAAATTTGGGGAAAAATGAAAACATGAAATGCATTTTATCAATATGTCAAGTATCAAACTGATGCTAGCCCTCCCAAGGGATCTCTAAATAATTTAGTCTTGGCCAGGCAAACTAATGGTTGACACCATGAGCAACAGTCCACACCTTTGAGAAAAGATAACACTATCATGATAACACTATCAGCCAGGTCACATGTTTTATTGTGACCACCCAATCCTCGTTAGTCGGCTCTTATGGCAAGCAATGGGAATTGGGAACCTATTCTGTTCCAGCATCCCATTAGAAGAAATTACAATGTAATTAACATGTTACATTTCATTGAGTACAATAATATTAATGTAATGTTCCAGGTGTATCTACTTACACACAGAATGGGAAGTCCCAGGCCGACCACACCCAGCAGCCAAGTTGGGATGGTGTTCCCGAGGAAGGGGTGCTTGAGACTCTCGTCATTACAGAAGAACCCTCGGTGGTATGGGACACCAATCAAGGTGAAGAGACCAATTGGGATCGCAACTGCCAACATTCAGAAGAATAACTTTAAAAGCTAATGATTTTCTAACTGAGGAGCACCTGTCTGATAATGTGTGTCGCAGTCACCAGCTGGAAAAAATTGGTGGCAATGTCAGTTCACGTTGATGTTTCAACATCTTCCCAAACTAGGCTGGAATTTCTGGGGTCGATCCTAGCGCCACAAGTGGCTATTATGAGTTATGTCCCTTCTATGTCCCTACTCTTGACCAATCAGATGCTACCTCTTGTATCACTTGCATTTGCTTCAAACAAAATGGCAGCGCCCAGTCAAGACGATCTGATCAATAATCAAGATCTATATTGTAATAATTAAATTTTCGTTGTGTTCATTGAAATTCCTGCATTTTGCTTAGCTATATTTGTCACGTGTTATTGCATTCATTTCCCAATGAATGTAAACCATTTAGCCACGCCCACCGAGGCGCACTACCTTTATTACTGCGTAATGTCGGGGAATCCCAATTACAGTCAAGGGAATTCCCTTTCTGCTCACGTGTATCGTCATGCACAGGACATTTAGGGAAACTCACGCATATTCATTGTCCAAACAACCCTTTGAGACCGAAGGCCAAGAAGGAACATGCAGGCCCGCTCACCTGTCTTTTTCCCCGCTCGCCTCGGTTCCACAACTTTAATCGAAAAACCGATGTGCAAACTTTTGTAAGAATCATATATTCATACAGTTTGCACAATGGTTTTTCGATTCATACCTCAAAGAACCGAAAATACACAGCCAATCCTTAAATAAAATGGGTCTTACCTCGCAAAGTGCATGAAATCATGTGAGTAGCTTGATTAAAAACATGAAAAGATTTGGAATATATATGTTCACGCTAATTTGACGGTACATATGCTTTGCAAATCCTTCAATCGACCAAAATCTGCAAGGCAGTTTATGAACAGGATGTCGATTTCATTATGGGATTTTGATTTGACTATGCATAAACTTGCTAGTCCAGCAAAAATATATAACTCCATAATTCCAGCCTAGTTCGGCAGGGGTGGAAACTGGACTTTCATAGTCAATTAACTCCCTTGCCTCAAGATGATGGGTATTAATTGAGTTTTAAGGAAAAGTAAGAAATTGTAAATCTTACAATAAATTGTTTATTCACAATACTTATCCTATCTCACACTATGCATTTCTTCCATCTTTTTTTATCCTATGTGGAAATGTGCTTGAACAAATTTTCCAGATTCTAAAAAATGCAGCATCACCATGGTTACCACCCAAATGAAAAAAAAACAACACAAAAAACACTGCCTAAACAAACAAAAACTAGTGTGCAGGACAAATACACCATAACAGGTGATATGGTCCCTATACATTAGTCGAACATAACAGCATGAATTCAGGTTTTTACATATGACATCATTACATGAACGACCAAGTAGTTGTAAATAATAATTGATATAGCGGACGACATACAATCGATCGGGAAGGGGTCTCCAGCCAATCAATTGTACAAGACTGGACACAGCACTGTCTTCCATTGACAATAGAGTGCACCTATTTGGCAAAGTTTTCACCCTTCATCAAAGCTATCAAAGCCACGCAGGGAATTGAAGCATGCTAAGACAAAAAGAGGATAGATTGACAATATCCACAATTGAAAAAAAGGATCTTTGAATAAATAGCAGACTGCCCATGCATAAAACAGAGGTTTCACAAACACTTTGATGGAACTATTGTCATACAAGAGCTACCTTCAAGCAATTTGTCTCCTTTTATCGAAACTTTCACACACTGTTGACATGGTTGACTTCCTTTTTACGTTAGTTCCACATTGACAAGGCAAAATAATGACATATTGTCATTTATGGAGTTAATATTGCTTCTTGCCATTTGTTTTTCTCTTGAAAATGTTTCATTATAAACTGTAAATTTCTCATTTAACTTGTCAAACATGACAGTTCATTTTGCAAAGTGCCCTTTTGTTACTTGACCAGCATGTATTCCTTTGCTTCCAACGGAGGTGTCGTAGCTTTCAAGAATTATTTTGTTTTAGGTGACTTTGTATATAATCATATCCAAATGTATGATATAGACTTTTATTTTCGAAAATTTTGCAAACATGGAACTACTTTTTAAGTCGCAATTACAAGGGGTAGTGAAAGGTCCCTGTATATTAGGTAGGGAGAACTTATGCTTCATTTTTTACATTTGTATTGAAAAACCTTAATTTTACGGTAGACAACTACCCAAAACATATATAATAAATAGGATATTACATGTGTCTCATGAAACATCATGTTTCTCTCATCTCGTGACAGGGAAAAGGAGATATTTTCACTTGTGGCTTACAACACATGAAACATCCAGTTTTCCAAAACTGATATGACAGCAAAACATGTTTTAAAGGTCAGGTAATGGATTAGTCAGACTTGTTTTCTATCTGCCCATTCAATCACTGGAAGAAAGTCAGAATGTTAAATACTTCCTTAACGCTTACTAAAATAGCTTCAAACAAACTTACATAAGCTTCGTTTCCTTATGCCTTGTCTTTCATCAATTAAAGCAGAAAAAAAAAAATCTCAGAATAAAAAGTTTTCTGTGGCTTAATGGGTTTTTTCCTAAACTCAGAAATATTCAAGCTATTTGATGGAGACCTGTAAATAATCAAGTCTAGACCAGACAAACCAGTGATGAATATTGTGAGCGACGATCTGTCATCGGGTTACGATAACATGTAATAGACCAAGTCATTGAGTCTGCCAACCCAAGGGTGGGAAATCTGTATACCACCGATCTCATAGGCCCTGATCCCACCCATCTATTTGACATCTGTCTAGCTCCTGATAGACACGGAGGACATGAAACTGAGGATGAACATGATAAATAAAATGTAAACGCAACTGGCAGCAGGGAATGGTGGAGAGCGAATGCAAAAGTGAGGTGTAGCTTCGTCTCAGGATGATGTAGTAACTACGCCGTACTGGACATGAAGAAAGCAGATTTAGGCTGGAGATGGTGGAATCACGTAATCAACTAAGGTGATGCACATGGGATGAACGTATTCAGCTGTAAGTATTCTACTTGGAAGTTGTTTGACTGGAGCCTTTGCATAAAGTATTTAGATACATTAGTAACTGATGTGGTCATGCATACACTGAAGTTGACTGAATCTTAATCTTTATTCAATTATATAAAAGTCAGAAAAAATGTGTGAATAGTCAGAAAGAAATGTGAACATAAGTGACTTGTTTGGTTCTAGATAAGTTTTGTCATCACACAGTATATCACGTGAATACCCACAGGTCGGGGCATGCTGCATGTGGGTACCCGGGGCCTCATCAGTACCCACCCCACCAGAGTTACCCGTCGCAGCCCTAATTCATACCACTGTTTTCTGTCAGTTACTGGACAAAAGTTATAATTAGACAAACAAAAAAGCTTTTTTTTCCAAACATAGCAAGCGCTTGATACCACTATTTTCTGTCAGTTACTGAACTATTTATCTCTGCCCATGGTGTATAGCTGGAAGGTGTGCATCACCGGGACCAAGATGTTTATGTTTTAAGAAAGGACCAAACAACAAAGATATTTCTCAATCATTATATTTACTTCTACTGTACAATCACAGTGTTACCAGAAACCAACTAAAGGGTAATAAATCACAGGACCATGTAATTAATATTATATACATAACTTACATCCAAGGCAGGAGTTTGTTAGTATAGAATGTTAGTTACATCGTGAATCAATACACTCTGTGATTTATTTTTTATTTAACTCATACAAAATTCTTGTCGTTAATGCTTCAAACCTACCGCTTATTATGCCATAAAGTTAACCTCTTATAAATTGTGTTTCAGAAATAGCAGGCTTTTTACACCTCAACCCTTTAGCATTATATTTAATCAGTTTGAACAATAAATAAACCCTATTTCATGCAAAACGATCTCATCAAGCCTTATCTCTGCTAATGACACAATGATGAACACAGTGAAAGGCAAAAAACAAACACTGTCAACACTCTATATGATTGTCAGCCGGGCTATAAAAACTAAACCAAAGCTGTCTGACAACATCACCAAGCCGTTGTCAATACAACGTCTGGCGCCTAGTAACACATAACCCTAATAACGTAGGCAGATATAGTCGTAATAACCTAAATCTACTTACCTAAAGCGATGCATACAATGTCTATGACAACTCGCACACAAAGTTTGCCTCTGCTTGGTCGTGAGTTCGCCATCCTCGCTTTCTTCGTGCGATCAGGGGCAGATTACTCTCAATTACTAACTCATGGGTGGGCGTGGTTGACAAGTTGCTTGACATTGAGCTGTCAGTGGTCTGACCGCCTACACTGTCGCCTGTAGTTTTGTGACGTCATCGTAGTTACAAACTTAGAATTTACTTATCAAACACAAGCACATCTCGTGCTGTTTGTTGATTCAAACTGACTAATTGTATGTGTCATTATTATATTTAAATTTTCTCTTCACTGACACGGGGGTAACATACCTCCCTGCTATAAATATGTAAGTTATTATTGGTGACCACACCAAGTTTTTTTATCTTAAAATAATGAAACATGTATTTACGACAGTAGATACAAAGGCATTACGTTTCTATACATTGCCCATGAAAAATAGTCACGCTGGATACCAAACATCATATATTTACATATAAATGTATATCATTATGTATACGATAATTTAACATTGATTTTAAACTATAGTTAATAAATAATGTCTTGATAGTTTCTGAAAGACTGTTTCTGTATTTGAGTGGGTGCTTTGTTAGGCTACAGTCAGCAATTACGCGTCTGAAAGTAATTCGGGAAAAGACGAACCAGGTTTGAGGCCCCTACATAGGTGGAGTAGAGTAAGTGTTTGGTAACTAATCAGTCAGATCACAAAGTGTATAACGCGTCGATACTTTCGGCGCTCATCATAAACATAAGGATCTATATCTATATAAGACATGTCTATAAAATACCATTATAATTTCTTAAATAAATTAATTCGCATTTGAGTGGGAAAATCTATAACGTGATTTGTGGGTGAGCGAGTTGGGCCTTACACGAGTTTGACAGCTTAAAAAGTCCATAGGGAAATAGGTCGAAGTTACACAATTTACAAATTACAAGAGCTCGGATGTAGTGCTAACAAACCAAGAGTCAAAATCTGGGATTCGAACTAACCTGAGACGTAACAGCGAACTGTCATGCATTAGACGACAGGGCCCCTAATGGCCATCGTGACTAAATTAGTTCTATAATCCAATACATAACACAATGACAAGCATCAATGGTTATGTATATAATTACGTACAGTCTGTAATCAGAATAGTGAACAAGACTTAAAACATATAGTGGCAACATCAGCATGTAGTTTATCAGCATATGGAGTAACACCGTTTTAAATACAACGTGAGTGGTGAATGTAAATAACTCAACAAAAACATTCGTTAAATTGTGAACAAATAGTTTTGTTGACAACATGGCACCAACTGAATAAGTGATAAGTTTTGTCTTCTACAACGTTGTGAGTGTGATTCACCCAGTAAATGTAGCAGTTCAGTGTATGTCTTGTCACACAGTGAACAAAGATCACAGATCAAAGATCACAGATGAAAGATATGAGACCATGAAACACATAATTACATAATAGTAATTAGGTACAACATTATCATCAACGATACATATACATAGCATAGGTTTATCACATGTAAGTATTACATACCAGTCATCAATTAAAACACTAGATAGACTGTGCGCTAAACGCTTGTACTTGAGCATATACAGTAATATACATGCTACATAATACTAACATCCAAGGGAGATAACTTCTTGACTTTTATATTTGCCAAATAATATAGACACAAAATAAATACATAAAGCTTACACATTCTCTGTAAACATATACAATAAGACAGAAATTAATGGTATATAATATTACATTAAATGTGATCATAACATATAGGTTACACCTTAAGTCTTATACAAATATGAACAAAGCAATGCATACCCTGTAGGTGATACAAGAGTGTGACTCACCACTGCCACTTAGGGCAACACCATACTCGTGGATCTGAATAAATAATACATACCGTATTCGACGTAATAAGCTCCCAGGGCGCTCTCAAAATTAGAAATAGGGGGCTCTTATTACTATTATTATTATTATTTTGGTGAAAAAAAGTTGAAAGATAAATTTCGTGGTTTATGCTGACAGCCTGAAATGTTTATGTACGATAGATATATGTTTCCAGAATTTAATTGCCAATAATAAAGGGTGCATAAAACACACGAGTGCGTATTATACGCGAATAGGTGAAGGAAGCGGTGCGTATTATATGCGAATAGGGGTCGAAAGGGGTGCTAATTGGGATTGTTCACTAGCAAATATATTAGCAAATCTCGCCGTGGGCGCTTATTAGAGCGGGGCGCTTATTACGTCGAATACGGTAGATTAAAACACTATTTAACATTTAATATATTGAACAAAGTAATACATACATATACACAATGATTCGCATGTATCACATCTAAATCTGTACATTACAAAGCCTTTTAAAACATTCTATAAGTAACACACTTACACCCATATTTTAGTGATAAATTTTGATTTTTTACTTTCCCTATGCAGATTTAAATAATTAGACGTAACCAACATTTATATTGGATTACCCACACTTAGTTTACTTATTATAACACTTTAAACATACTGTATTATTTCACTACAACACAAGATAGAGATTATATCAATTTAACTCATCTGTTATAACTTTATGTCCTTGCTGGTCTGATCAGTTCTGTTAGTTCATGTGCTGAGAGAATATGCAGTGTCATCAAAGCATGCAATTCAACAACAGGTGTTCGCTTGGCAAATCAGCATATGAAGTTCCTGGCCCTGGGTCAATTAGTAGGCAAAACAGGTCAGATACGCTGTGTTATCGTTGACTGATGAAACTAACAACTAATTATATATGATAAATATATGTAAAAAACATGAAATGAAATTAAAACAAATAAATACAAATTCTACATCGGCCACATAAACAAACATTAGTGAGTGAGTCGGGTTTAACGCCGCTTTTAACAGTATTCCAGTTATATCACGGCGTGTCAGCTTAATGTGGGAGGAAAGCCTAAAGTGATGCAGGTCTCAGACGTTTACCACTTCGGTGAAACCCACGAGCACGGGTATGGTGCTAACAAACCTAGAAACATAATCGGGGCGAACCGGGTTTCGAACCCACAATCATAGGTTTCTGGTGTGCCCAAGGGACGTAACTCTTCACAGCGAGTCGCGGCGCCTTAAACGACTGGGCCACCCGTGTCCCCTAAACAAACGTTACAAGTCGGAACTTTCCAAAGGCCAGGTAACGCGAGTTGCCTTGTGTTCTATATGGTGGCCGAGAGGGGACATCGCTTTCTCGCTTTCTCGCTCTATCGCTCTATCGCTTTCTCGCGGTATAGCAATATTTCCTCTTGGCCACTATATGGGTTGCTTTACGATAGAAAGTATATACGTAAAACAACATTAATGAATTGTTAAACCTGACCTCAGTGGGGGGAGGGGTTTTAATCATAAAAGAGAGCTGAGATTTTTCCAGTCACATTACAAATTATACATATGGACAGAATGTTGAAATTTTCTCACTATCTACTTAACTTAACTTAACATAATTTAACAGTACAGATATGGGTGCTTTTATAACAATCCACGTATTTCTGCGTAAAAAAGAAATTTGATTGATTTATGGCCCTATTTAGGAGTTTTATTGGATCCCCCGCCCCCAGGCCAAGTTATCAAAACAAATAGCAAATAACACCGCTCATTAGCGCTGAGTAGTACGTACTTCCTATAAAACAATATTTTTCCCCTAAAAAACACGTTTATATCAATGTTTATTCTGTTTGCGGAGTAGATGTCATCATAGTGGAAGTCCTCACCCAAGCAATGGTAATACTACCGGATGTCCAAATGTAATTTCTAGTTTGGGGATGACATATTGTTCTCAGTAACCGTAATGTGGAAACAGATAGTTAATTCGTTTTATATTCAAGTTGGGATTTCCGCTGTTCAAAGTGTGCAGTGAGGCCGTCTTATCAACAGTAATTTCTGAGACATAAATGCAAAGTATAATTGATTTAGTCTACTCTCATTTTTTTACAGTTATAATTAACTCTAACGTTAATATTCAAGATTTACAGTACATACTATTCAAAAGAAGTTAAAGAACACCCGATTCTTTCATATGACTATGGTTAATCATTAGAGAAATGCGATAGAGCGATAGAGCGATAAAGCGATTATTTCTCATAATGCCGTACATTAAAACGGTTTTTGCTGATATTTAGTGACCCATTCCTGTAATTCTCACCACTATTTTGCTTCTTATGATTAGATTTTTTTAACATCTTGTAGTAGATAAATATATTACAAAAGTTTACAAAAGTACACATATCAACTGTGGTAACGCCACAGCGATGGGGCAGTGGGGTAACCTTGTGGTTAAAGCGTTCGCTCGTCAAGCCGAAGACCCATTTCGATTCCCCACATGGGTACAATGTGTGAAGCCCATTTCTGGTGTTCCCCGTGATATTACTGGATTATTGTTAAAAGCGACGTGAAACCATTCTCACTCACTCACAGCGGTGTTTATCAAATTATTATATGCAAGTTCATATATTAGTAGATTTGCACAAGACAAGAAACACAATTCAAGTCAAACATACATCAAATGTCAAAAAGAATATTTACGGACAACAGTATACTACCGAAAACAAGTTATAAAACACCCAAAATTATAAGATTGTATTTTTGCAAAACAATCAGCCATGACTAATGAACCATAATCTTCTTAACTTCTTTTGAAAAGTATATATTTAGATTTCAACCTGATTTATTTGGGGCGTATTGCCATGATCTGCCACATTCATACAACTGAATAGGTCCATAAATCAATCAATTACATTTTACGCAAACATATGTGGATTGTTTTTAAATGAACTATGCAGAACTATACAAAGATCCACTACGCCTTTGCCCATGTAACGTTATTTAGGGTATGTGAATGTTATTTGTCGACATGTCTAGGAAACAAGTGTGACAGATAGTTGTATGGTTTGTTTCCAGAACAAAACATCCGTTCACTTTGTCTTCCTGAAACAAATGGTACTCAGTTATGCGTGGTGAACTCGTGCCTCATAGATATGTTTAATCTTTAATTTATGTGCGTGCCATGGACTCAATCGGGTGTAGTTTGTGGCTTGTTTCCAGAGCAGATCAAACAATGAATATCGCTGACTGTAGCGTTAAGCAACAAGAAACAAACACGCATATATCATACTTTCAGTGAAAGCATAAACAAATCAACCGACCGATCGATCAATCAATTATCGTTTCTAGGCCAACTGACACAAATCCGTACAATCATAATTGTACATTTTTTTCGCATCAAATACTGTCCTAGTATTTTTAAAATTGTTCCAGTTTATCCTTTAAGTTCGTTGTTATGTACTTTAGTGTTTCACTAAGGGGAGTCCCTTATTCCAATTGCGTAGGTCGATGCTCATGATATCAATCACTGGATTGTCTGGTCCAGAATCGACTATTGACAGACCGCCGTCATATTGCTGAGTGCGGCGTTAAACAACAATCAACCAACGCTAGGTGCATCAGAACCTAGGATAGCATGTGTTCGATTATTTTTCCATAGGTGTATCAGCATAATTATTCGTGCTCGTGGGTTTCACCACCAATGTGATAAACGTCTAAGACCTGCATCATTTCTGCAACCCCCCCCCCCCCCCCCCCCCCCACACACACACACACACATACCAAGCTGACACGCCGAGATATAACTGGAATACTGTTCAAATCACAGTCTACTTCAGTTGTTCCTCTGATGTTGCCATAGCAAAATATTACATTGATCTTAGTAATGCATAGTTCACTGCCATAGAATTCCCGTATCCTGTTCAGCCCGTGTCCTTAATTCCTTTACTTAAGACTGCTGTCACAATCTAGGCCTAATCTATAACTCGTAAGGTGTGACGCATATTTTCTTCTTTTTGATTTTAAGATCAATAACATTGATTTCTTTGTTGCATTAAATATTTAATCCTGTCCAGATAATAATATTTTAAGAATATATGTATGACATATATATGTCCACTTCTCCACATATCGTAAATGTTTACGAGTTATTTGAAATGTTAAAAAATCCAACGATAAAACTTAACATTGGGGAATTACAACTCGGCATGTACTGTTATAGAACCGTCTGTAGGGATACATATCAATAAATAGGCATGCCTGAATGGCACTTTCGACAATTAAACAACAATGTGCATTGATATATTGCCTTTATTGATTGACACTCTTAGAATGATTGTATATGGATCATGTACACAATTACAGTATTGGTAAAGTCCCCAGCCGCGAACATCAAACGGTGCGGCCAGGTGCGCGTTGCCATGAGCGACGAAGGTAAACCCGACAACTAAGATGGCGTCCGTCAGTAGGCACGCGTTGTGTTTTACCTGAGCAAGTGCGTACACGCAACGTCTTTGAAACAAACAGGATATAATGAATTTTAGGTAGGTTTTTATGAAACATTAGAGAATCAGGCAAAAATCTGTAATTTTTCTGTTAAGTGGTATTCACAAATATGGACGTACGTGTCTGTTCATTCGCATTCAGCGTTGTCACGAATGAAAAAAAATGTTTACATTCAGATCAATTGTTTTCAGGTCTTTTGTAAATGATAACTGAAAGATTGTCCAACAAATAATAGATATGCTAATCTGCTATAATTACTACTAAACTGCCCGCACAGCAGCTTGCACAAGCTGTCCAGTACAGGCATAAAAGTTCCTACTTAATTGATACTGATAGATATGCATGGAGGAATACCTTCAAAATTACTACTGATTAATTTTACATAAGAGGCAGGAATAGAAGCAAAACAACAGACTGTGAATTAATTATTTGTTATCTCTCTTGATTAATAGAAGACTGTATTATGATACCAGCATTGATAGGAGATAAACCTGTGTTTTCAATGTAGAGCTAGGTTACCTGTAGATTTAACAGTGCTAAATTTAAAACTTGTAACTCTCACGCTGCGCATTCAATTCCGAATTTATTTTAGTGTGATTGAATCTACAGGTAAACTAGTTCTACATTGAAAACAGGTTCATCCTGATTATGTTTCTAGGTTTATAAGCACCATATCTTGCTCATGGGTTTAACCAAAGTGGTAAACGTCTGAGACCTGCATCACTTCGTGCTTTCTTCCCACGTGAAGCTGACATGCCGTGATATAACTGGAATACTGTTCAATGCGATGTTAAACCCAACTTACTACATTGAAAACACAGTAGGTTTATCTCCATTCTACTATGACACAATTCAATGTGAACTCTTTGGTGTTAGCCATGTTATATTGAGTGAATTTAAGCGGGAAGGGTTGTGTCAAATGTTTTGGGTGGGTTGTCAAGTTGAATTAACCACTTAACCACTCGAACATTGTTTTGAATTTACCAAATTCATGGTAGATTAAGATTGACCAGACAATATCAGTACAACTTCCTGACTCAAAGCCCCAAGGACTATCAAGATGATGTCAAGTTGTCCATAGTTCAAGACAAGTGCCGACATCAAACCATATAGTTGTGGAGTCTGCACAGAGTGTAACAAGGTTTCAATGCATATCTTTCTTTTCTCCAAACCAAAAGATTTTTTTGGGTGTTGATCTTAATTCTACGTTGAACTTGGAAAATACTTGATGCTGATTGGTCAGTCAGATGTTTGAAATCACAACAGCTCATTTGATGGCTGACATGTATTTCTTTCTAAAAATATTGTCGAAAGGGCTTTTTGAAATAATTATATGTACAATTATGGGTCACAAAATGCAGAGTTGCAGTTACTACAATATTGGAACTATGTGTGGCAATACATATTAGTCGGAAAACATGTTAGAAATAGACTAGGTCTGTGTCACAATTAGCAGTTAGACGTAATAATAGTGACGTTTGCATGGTGTAGAGTCACCGATGAACTTTGTTTCATGTAGGCACTGTTGTAGCGGTGCTACACACATTCAGTGCCTCGCATATATATGTAATTGAAGTATAATGATGTGAAAATATGTTTCTGTATATATGCCAATACCTTGCTTTAAGGGTATTATTGGTGTTTCTCTAATCCAGATTGACAACCTAAAAATAATTTGGACTCAACCAAGGCTACTTCACTCAATGTCTTCAGTAACACCAAAGTTTATTTTTTTCATAGAAGAATGGTAATAAGCCTATTGTGTTTTCAATGTTGAGCGAGGTTACCTGTAGATGTAACTGCGCTCAAGTTAACATTTAAAATCTCATGTTGCACATTTGATTCCAAATCTAACTTAGCACAGGTATTTCTACAGGTAACTTACAGCTCAACTGTTTGTTCTTTTCTTTTTTAGTCTTTTCAGTTTTGTATATCTACAGTAATGAATTGGTAACAGGGATATAGCTGGGATTTGTAATTTAGTGCCACAAACAGTCAAATTAGGGAAAAGGCTTTTGATTTGTCCCTAAATTGGGAATGTCTTATTTGTACCATTTGTTTCAAATATCAGAGGTTGCATCCAGTGAAATAGTGTTAAACTAAGTAGTAAAGCCCTTTTCTTTCTTGTCCTGATATATGTGAAATATAACTGACCTGTTCAAAATTAAAACATTTATTTTAGACCAAGTTTGTTGCAACATTTGCACCAACATTTGCCCTCAATCATGATGTCAGATATCTCCCTCTGAGAATGCCTTAATATATTCCTGGGTAAAGACAATAATTATGCCAAGGCCATCTATAAGACTGACAATGTATAAAAAGAATCTGAAAGGTGATTTCCACTTTTGCAGGATCTTTTTCTAGGATGGATCGTAAGAAGAAAGGTAAATCTAAGATAGTTCCATCTGAAGAGTCTGACAGTCTGCAAGGCCTCAGTAACCCAGGCTTTGAAATGTCCAGCAAGGGAGGAGCCAATAACCTCAGGTGAACAGAACTAGTGAAATAGGCCAGTGTTTTGACATGGTTGTTGTGATGTCAGTACAGCACGGGAGTACAGCATGGGAGTGTGTTGCTGTTACAAAGGCTAAACTGACTGGGAAAGACTTCTCCCAGGCCTGTGGCTAATACTGTGACTATTCATGTTGTCTTGGTATGATAACTCATGATGAGTGACAGTCATCTGTTATGTGTTTTTTAGCCATTGTGGCTACACAATCCACATTTTATGTGTCTCCTTATGAGGAAAAAGGAATGGTAGATATTGTCTGATTATTGGATCAGTGTCCTCCACTGCCATCTGTCTCTTTGTATCATAATATTGTTAGGGGGTACAGGTGGCCCTGTCAACTAAAGCGCCACAATTCATTGTAAAGAGTTGCCTCCCTTTGTCGTAACAGAAACCTTTGATTGTGTGTCTGAATTTCAGATTGGCCTTGATTGTGCTTTTAGGTTCATCAGCACCATACCTATGCTCATGGGTTTCAACAAAGTGTCAGACATCCTAGACCTGCGTCACTTCAGGCTTTTCTCCCACATGAAGCTGACACATCAAACATTCAAACTGCATTAACCAAACATACTCACTCACTCATAACATGGTTAAATGGTTTGTTTGTAGTACCTCAGCCAAATTCCGAGAACTTTCCCGAGAGGTGACAGAGAAATCTAATGCCCTCCACGTGATCAGCAATGTCAAGCAAGCGGCCTCAAAGTGGAGTAACTATATAGCTAGGAAAAGAATTCGCAAGCCAAACAGTAAGTGTCAATTCCCCTCCCTTTGTAGAAAGTAAGAAAGTAGAATGTTATGTCAAATAGATATATTAAACTAACTTTCCTGAATCAGAAAAAAAACATACACTTTGAGATCAAATGTGAGGCTATTATTTCTGATTTTTTCCCCCATAAGTTCAAATGTGCCTCTGGTCACCCAGCAGGGAATGGGTACCCGATATGTGAGGTGGATGTAAAAACCTTCCAGCGCCCCTAGGCAGCCTGGTTTGTATATTCCACAGGGAGTTGAGAATGATACTTGGAATGCAAACGGATCCACTGGTCGGGAAACAAACAAAACCGCATTTGAGCAGATACTACCTGGTAGTAGTTGGTAGTAGTTGGTAGTACCTGGTAGTACCTGGATACCTGTATATAAATGTATAATATAAGAAAAAACAACAGCCTTGGTCACAATTCCAGGAGTGTTTTCAGTGTGAAACAAAACCTAATATACAAACGTTTTGTGTTGGTGGGGGTAATCCTGTAGATGCATGTTTTCTCACAAATCTACTTATGATATAGACCCAAATGATACCATAGAGATTGAACACGGTGAACTCCCTAAGAGAAAACTTGTCAAATCCCAGAGACGTAAGTAGCTTCTATACTAACAACATGGGAAATAAAAGTTCCAGGATTTTGTCAGAGAACTGTCAATAGTTTTGAAATAGGAGTGTTACAACAGTGATTCATTTGAAAGTGGTCAATAAACATTCACATTAGAAAGAAGAACTTCAATCAGATAAAGTTCTGGAATTTAGAGTGAGACTTGGCTTTTTTCAGTTTGTCATATAACACTTTATCCTATGTAGCCTATCTACCACAAGCCTCCATACTCTTAAATCATTGGCTTTTTTGACAATGAATTATATGAAGATATTCACAAGGGCATCATCATATGTAAGTGACACAGATAATCATGTGTGTTGCTCAGCTAGGATATGGAATTGTGCCCCTCATCCTTCTCCCAGCATCCAAAGTATGTGGACAGAGCCCAGCGTTCTGTGGTGTCTCAGTGTGGCATGATGGCTTGGGATGTTTGTGTTTGGGGATCCGGTGATGTCATGTTTGCAAATATAGAGGGTTGTTGATTCAGCTGTCTGTTCATAACGTCCAGTTGTTGATGATGAGTCTGTCCGGTGCATGCTGCTATGTGACAGAAACTTAGGGAATGGGGTCACTGTTTTAGTAGACATTCTACTTCAACTGCACTGCTATCCAGAACATATTAAAAATAATATGGATACTATTATATAATATAAAATATTAACATGTAAACATGTAAAGTTTGCTGCAGATATGACATAGGGACAGATTTATCTGCTACACTGAGATACGTTCAGCATACTGACAGATGTGGGGAGAGTCATGGAGTCATGGAAGAATAAAGAATTTTCTTAAGTCATGGTAAAATTTCACTTTGTCTGATCACATAGCAGTACCTTATTTAAAGAGACATCTGAAACCAAGAAAGAATTACTGGAATGTCTATTGAAAACATAATTGATGACCGTCCCAACTATTTTCTTCATTGAAATGGCTGTGGTAGATAGTTTGATACAAGGTAACTGATGTGATGTTTGAACTCATATCTACTGAACACTACAGATCATATAGCCTAACACAACAAACAGTGTGTTTGATTTGTGACTTGGAAAAGCAGATTTTGTAAAAGTGTTTTTACTCCACATTAACAATGCACAAGTATGTGATTTCAATACAATAGAATAACTTGACATTTCCGAGCTCTCTGTATATGTCTGTCAACTGTTTTGTTCTGAAAGGTTCAAACATCATCATTGAAAGGATGTGATCTTAGGATGTCGGCTGGTCTATATTCAAAGTATTAAACTTTTCCTAAGATGGGTACTAAAATCTAGATTTAGATGATGATAATCTAATTTTCAAATTGGGGAAAAAATGGCGTTAGTGTGCATTCTTATTAACTGCAATGCAAAACTGACACCACAGAAGCATATAGGGAAAGCACTCACCATGGTAACAGTTGGACTGTATAGAGGAAAGTATTGAATTTAAATATTTTAACCTCATACAGATAAAACATTTATCTGATAGCAAACATTATTATTTCTATGGATAAGTGTGCTGATGAATATGTTTGCATTTATGTATTTACCTCAAATTTCTAATGTCGTTCACCGCTATATAACCATATACACTGAAAGGCTAAAGAAACGTCACTTCTGAAAATACTGATAAAACTTAACAGACACAGGCAGTTACATGTTCTGTGGTCAATAAACTCATTTAATGTTCTACTTTTTGTTGCCTTAAAGTCCATTTAACAATTGAGTTTAAAATGGAGTGCTTTGCACAAACGCAGCCTACAAAAGTGCAATGGGACTCAGTTGCGGAAAAGTCTTGTCAAAAACATAATGCACGTGCATATCGTGGATGGTATGGGTATAAAAGACTGTTAAGCTGGCTTTCGTTATTTCGATTCATCAGCCATGCCAAGATTATCAGGAAATGAGAGACAACAAGCGATCGGAAGACTGTCAGCAGGCCAGAGTGCACAGGTTGTTGCAAATGCATTCAATGTCATCGTCAGAACGATATCACCAGAAAGCATCAAAATTGGTGTCAACAGCAATGGAGAAGAATCATCTTCACTAATGAAAGTCGCTACTGTGTTTCAACGGTGGATGGCCGAGTCAGGGTCTGGCGAAGGAGGGGCGAACGTAATGCTGATGCTTGTGTTATGGAACGAGACCAGTGGGGCAGCTCAAGCATCATGGTTTTGGGTGGAATCGGACTGAACCAGAGAGTGGGACCTGTGGTATTTCAGAATATTAGTCCAGGCAGGGATAATGGCATCACAGCTCTCCGCTACATTGACCAAGTCCTCAGACCCCATATCATGCCTTTTTTTGCCCGTCATCAAAACCACACCTTTCAGCAAGACAACGCCCGTCCCCACACTGCCAGAGTCACCAGGGATTCCTCCAGCAGCACAACATTCAAATCATGCCTTGGCCTGCACTCAGTCCGGATTTGAATCCCATTGAACACTTGTGGGATGAGATCCAACGCCGACTCAACGATGTACGCCCAAGGCCGACAACTGCATCAGTATTGCGTGTAGCGTTCCTGAGGATATGGGCCCATATCCAAATGGCCTTCACCAACAGGATAGTCCACTCCAGGTACAGGAGATGTGTGGCTGTAGTCAACGCCCGTGGTGGCCACACCAAGTACTGATTTTGAACCCCCCAGCTGTGATGTCTTCTGGTGCCTCCCCAAATTCACAATTCGCAAAAAACAAACACTGACTTTCTCCTATGTCTTTACTTACATAGATAAGCATTTGAAAATAAAGATATTTAAATGATACATCCACATGACGTTTCTTTTGCCTTTCAGTGTATTAAAATGCAGTGACATTAAGAAACTTGTCGGCGCAGTAACTGTTCCCTTTTGCACTGACCTGTTGTAAAGTGAGAATTAATTCCTTTTTTGTTTGATATATAAAGATGCATTTTTGATGATTTGATTTATGGTCTATGTTTCTTGGCACCACTGCTTCATATCAGTGATAGGTCGATATAAACTATGTAGTAAAACACTCCCAATTCGTGACAATTAAAGTTGCGCAGTGAACACAAACGCATATACCAGCAGACATCCTTGATCTAAAAATAAGAAATATGTATATGCATATGGTATTTGTTCTATATAATGCATTTAACATTTGAATATAGAAGTGATGATCACATTTAAAGGCAGCTTGATCACATTTAAAGGCAGCTTGGTCTGTTTTGAAAGGAAAATGCTAACATATTAATATAATGTATGAACACATGCTGAAATTTGGAGTGCTCCGTTTGGAATCAAACAGCTCAAGGTAGCTTTACTACCCAGTTACCCCACCCCCTATTCCCCGACCCTACCCGGGTACCCAATATAGGTCTCAAGAGTTGGGAACAATATGTCTGAAAGGGGATTGTTTTACCGCAGCCCTGGCCAAAACGATTTAGACACCTGTATCAAACGATCAGATGCGTACACTGAAGTTGACTGAAGCTTTATCTTTACTCAAACATATACAAGTAAAAAAGAATGTTTGCATCATCAGAAAGTAATGCGAACATTAGCGACTTGTAGTGTAACCACTGAGCTATAGTAAGTTTTTTTCATGAAACAATATGTCACGTGACCATCCACGGGTACGGGTAGTCCTGTGGGTACAAGGGTCCTACTCAGGACCCACCCGACCTGAGTACCCGAGCTAGCTGTCCCAGCCCTATTAGACAGCTGTTCTGAGCTGGGTTTTACAGGTTTTCTGTAGGCTAACTTCTTTTGGGAAGATTCTGTTACACAGTTAGCAGTATTGACAGTCAGAGCTACTTTCCACAACTGGTGATGGAAACAGTGCATATCATTTCTACATGTCGTCATCGCCTCCTGGTCCTTATTCTCCCACAATGCCTGACCCACCCCATCCCATTCCACCCAGCACTGCACACACCACTCAATTCTTGTGGGCAATGTACCAGTCCTTGTGAGAGGTCAAGGCGGTCTACAACCGACTGACTGTTATCTTTACAAACAAGTGATGACTGTCATGATGCCGATTTCTCTTCCTCCACCTTAATTCTATTCTTTGTTTGTCAATTTGAATTTCTATTCATTTTAACTGTCACTTGGTTAATCTGGAGAGAATGCAAAGGAGAAGTTGGGTGCTTTTCTGCCAATCTGATTAAATAAACAAACATAAATTCATTCGGGAAGTAGTAAGTCAGTTGCTAACTCATTCCCAATACGCAGGAATGGCGTTCCCAACTACCATATATATATGTCACTATATTTGGGGTTAGAGGTAAATTTTCGAAATTCTTGTAGTGTCCGCCTGTCCACTGGTGGCAGCAATGATACGAAAATGTCACACGCTGGGAAAGAGCTTTGCATGGTTTATACGAAGGAAAGATAACTCTTCTGCTAAAGTCAAGACATTCCAAACATCCCTAGGACTCTTATAAAACCAGGATTTGTTACCAGAATAAAGCCAAATAATATATTTTGGCATTAATTGACCTGCGCAATAATTAGAACCATTTGTTCACTGTGTATGACAGGTGTGAATTCTGACTCCATATAAAGCCTGTTGTGACGTGGCCAGCATGGGGTGGCACTGTCGCATAGGTGGTGGAAAGATGGCGTCTGTCATCCACAGGACATTGGTCACTGTGGCACCTCACTCATGCAAGTCCACATGTTCTCTTGATTATTTATACTGGAGTTACAGCAACTATGATTTTCAGCTTTTATGTTATTCCTTCCTGACTAAACTAATGAATAAGACAATGCCTTGGAATTGTGTGGCATAGTCTTGAATTATTTGGATAAATTAGTATGAAGTAAGGCTGGTTAGGCTGAAATGGTTATTGATAAACTGATATTGACTGTATTAAATGTATGAGAAATAGGGACCTATCCTGCCCTGGAAGCTCCACAGGGAATATCCCGAGATCTACAATGGGGTTTATGTCCATATTCTCCTTCCTCAAATCAAAACTATTACTGTGAATACTAAATAGAATTCATCCACTGCATGGTGTACTACAAGGATACGCTATTGCAGCATAACCTTTTAGCTGCAAAATTTAAAATTTCTCAAATTCATGAATAATTTTCTTTTCCATTTTATTTCAGAGGAAAAGGGTAATAATACTTTATAAGAAATATAATCATTATAAATGAAAAAATAAATAATTATTATCACATATAAAGACAAAGTGAATTTGCTCCAATTTGTTTTGCATTTTGAAAATATTTTTGTTTAGTGTTTGTCTTCATTTTTGTAATGAAATGCCTCAACTAGCATGGCAAGCCTACAATTTACCCTCTGTTCCTCAATGCATAACTAGAGAGAGTCGTTTATGGTATGTATATCCTGCCACTCACAAGTTTCTTCAGGCACACACATAGCTGAACATTCATATTATTCACTGAGAAAATGGATGGTCATTATAAATGACAATTATATATTTATTATATCCCTGTGTTATCTAGGTAACTGCAGAATTACTGCAGATCTTGCTGCACAAAATAGTACATGGAAACACAGTATCAGTGCTTTAATATTTATCATTAGACTATTTCTGTTTCTATCATAATGTTTGTAGTCACTAAAATAGAAAACAATATCAATTGCTTCATGATATGGAATTAATCAGTGATGTGTTTGAAAGATTGGCGTTATCTAAATCCAACATCATCATCATCATCATCATCATTATTTACTGTTATGTGTCATATACTTTGTGTTAGCTGTGTATTAAAGGAAAAGAAAGGCAGGAATTCTTTGAAAGCTATCGTGTTACGTGACCTCTAGTTGTGGTTGAAAGTAGCGTGTGAACCTTGCCTTTTCCTGCCATCTTTCTGTTTATGTTTCCATGTGTTGTCTTGTGGTATCACACTTCTAGTTTTGTCTCATGCTTAAGAAACACAGTCACACTTTAAAGCCAAAATGAAACGTTGTGTTTGTTTGCCTATCCTACCAACACACTCACTCAACTCTACACTCAACTCATGTGAACCCTTGTTCCTGGCATTGGTCCATTTCCAGTTGTACTTTGTTTACCTCCGTCATTTAGGAACTATGGTTTCTGCTTTTCTTCTATAAATGATTTTATCACAAAATGTTTCTGTGCTCATTTAAAATCTGTTTCTTGACATGACAACGGCTTTATGACATGAGTTTTAACTGTGGGTTGACAGTGTGGACAAGGAGTGCCTTGAGGTGTAGTTCAATCTCATTAAAATCAGATCAAAGTTCTCACTGCCGCTAAACAAAGATCTGAGGACATCCCATTACGGGTCATGTCAGAACGACCTTTCACGAACTTTGACCAACCCCTGAAATGACTAACAAGAAGTCGACATCAGCCAATGAGAAAGCAGCTTTCTCGAGCTTTATGGCACTCGTTTCAACACGGCTTCCATTTCAGGCCATGTTTGAAAAATATGTTGACGCAGTTTTCGATTAAAATTTTGAAAACTGAACAACTGAACAACAAACATTCTGGAATCTCTGATATATGGTTGAGATTGTATGGCAGTGCTTCCCATGTACCGTGCAACGCCTCTTCCGGGATGTCCTCAGATCTTTGTTTAGCGATTTAGAACTAAGAGCTGATTTTAATGAGATTGGGCGTATTTTGGCAAACCAGCACATTTCATGGTGACATGTCTGTCTATAGACTGCACACACCACTTTGTATACCACACCATCACCTAGATGGTGAGTCTGTTATGAACACATGGTACATATGGTTTGGTAATGGACTTATTTATTATGTTTCAATTCTTTTTTTCTTGGTAGTGGTTTTTGAAGATTTTTGTTGTTTAATTGCAAGAATAAAGTTGGTTATGGTATTAAAACTGAGTGTTTATGGTGGACTTTGTTGTTTAGCATTTTTATTTTGTTCGAGGGAATGTATATTTCTTACAATAGTTACGTCCAACCAAATGTTGTAAGACTAGATACATTTTTAACATTTTTAAAGCAAAGATGATAAGCAGTATGTTATATGAAGAGCATCTTTGAGCAGTCTGCATGTGTCTCTGTGCGATAGATTATTAAGTTAAAATCTACCATATTTGATGCTATCTTTGGGTTAAAATTTCTTATTTCTATTTCCATATTTTGTTAAGTATTAATTGTTAACATGTTTTTGGGTATATTGGGGTGGGGTGAGTGGTGGGGTGGGTGGGGGGTTGGGTGGGATGGGTTGGAAATTTGGAAGACAGTATGATTTGTATATAATTTTCATTGGCTGAAATAATTAGGAAACAGACCTAAACTTGGTTAGTGTATTCACGAGTGAAAATAGGAGAAAATGTCATGGGTTGTTATCTTGATGCTGATATTCAACAAAACGTTCAGTTAATGAAGAGACGAAGCAAATTTAATGGCCAGACTTTACACTTTGTTTAAATATATACAGTCTGCTTTTAACAAAACGAGAAAGATCTTTCGGGACTTTATCAACACACGCTACATATATATTGTTGCTTTATCTGTTAGCTGGGTCTCACAGCAGCCTCGGTTGCAGACGTCTGTACATGTGTGTAAACAGTTGTTGCATGACTTCTATAGCAAGTGTAGGAAAGATCTAACAAGTTATTTAGTTCCTTTATGTAGCAGCAGTGTATCTGTATATATTTGTATGGATATTAAGATTAAGATTATCAGCCTGCATGATTATTTCCTAATTGTATATATGATCCTAACAAAGGGTTTAAGTTAATTTCTATTGATTATCTATTTTTATGTTGCCCAGTATACATTGTCAACATTTCTGTGGATATTTTCTTGAGAAATATGGAAAGTATGAACTTTTGATTTGAGTTTTACAATTAGATGTTTTTCAGTTTAGATATGTAGCTGAGAAAAGATGTCTGTTAACCAAAAGGTTTGTATATGCCTGCCTCCTTGCTGGTATCTGGAAGTCTGCACATAATCTATTATACTATGACCTGTATGAATCTGTTCAAAGCTCAGGGGGATGAGGATGAGACTGAAAAACCAAAGACTAGCGGCATCGGTCTGGATGACATCCACAACGAATATGCAACGCCTGGGTCCGAGACGATACGCAGTGTCAGCAAAGGTCACAAGGAGCAGATGATGTCAATTGCCAGCAATAGGGCCTTGATTCAGTATTTCGCTAAGTTGGGTCAGTCACAAGAAGACGAGATGCTGAACTTGGACTTTGTGGACCACCTCCTGAAGAGTGGTGCAGACATCAACTGTTGTGACAAGTTCGGGCAGACCATATTACATGAGGTCAGTGTGGTAGAGATTGCTGCCCGTTTTTCATGAGGTCAGTGTGGTGGTGATGTCTGGCTGTATTACAAGAGGTCAGTGTGGTGGTGATGTCTGGCTGTATTACAAGAGGTCAGTGTGGTGGTGATGTCTGGCTGTATTACATGAGGTCAGTGTGGTGGTGATGTCTGGCTGTATTACATGAGGTCAGTGTGGTGGTGATGTCTGGCTGTATTACATGAAGTCAGTGTGGTGGTGATGGCTGGCTGTATTACATGAGGTCAGTGTGGTGGTGATGTCTGGCTGTATTACATGAGGTCAGTGTGGTGGTGATGTCTGGCTGTATTACATGAAGTCAGTGTGGTGGTGATGTCTGGCTGTATTACATGAGGTCAGTGTGGTGGTGATGTCTGGCTGTATTACATGAGGTCAGTGTGGTAGAGATGGCTGGCCGTATTACATGAGGTCAGTGTGGTGGTGATGTCTGGCTGTATTACATGAAGTCAGTGTGGTAGAGATGTCTGGCTGTATTACATGAGGTCAGTGTGGTGGTGATGTCTGGCTGTATTACATGAGGTCAGTGTGGTAGAGATGGCTGGCTGTATTACATGAAGTCAGTGTGGTGGTGATGTCTGGCTGTATTACATGAGGTCAGTGTGGTGGTGATGTCTGGCTGTATTACATGAGGTCAGTGTGGTGGTGATGTCTGACTGTATTACATGAGGTCAGTGTGGTGGTGATGTCTGGCTGTATTACATGAGGTCAGTGTGGTGGTGATGTCTGGCTGTATTACATGAGGTCAGTGTGGTGGTGATGTCTGGCTCTATTACATGAGGTCAGTGTGGTATAGATGGCTGGCCGTATTACATGAGGTCAGTGTAGTGGTTATGTCTGACCATATTACATGAGGTCATTGTGATTACATTAGGTCAGTGTGGTGTTGATATCTGGTCATATTACATGGGGGTGGGTGGGGTGGAGTCATGATAAAAATGGCTTCTATTTGTTAAAATCTGTTTTTTAGTATATTTGAACATTATTTTGGGGGACTGGTCATTTATTATTGGGGTGGGGTCATACAATATATGATACAGCACACCCTTATATTAAATTACCAGTCCCTTACCACTTTTGAAAAGGATGTCACCTATTCATTAAGGTGTTCCTTGTCCATAAAACAACTCAATCACTTTATCTGAGTCTACCAGTCTCTGACATGTTGGAGTTGCCTTCAGGTTGCCCGCCACTGGCATTGTGATGTAGCAAGATTCCTGTTGGAGCATGGAGCCAATGTTAACCAGCAGGACAAATATGGCCGCAGTCCCCTGCATGTTGCTGCTGCAGTTGACTACCCCCAGATGGCCAATCTTCTCATAGACAGGGGAGGTGAGGTCACATCTGTGTACACGTCTGGTGTCATCTGAAGAACATGGTGGTATAGAAACAAATATCTGGTGCTGTTTGGCAGCGTGTATGCAACTCCACACCATTAAACCTGGGTGAAAGTAGATTCCCAGTGACCAATGCTTCTTGTATGAGGGACTAAGTGGATCGGGTGGTCAGGCTCACTCACTTAGTCGATTGTGTGTCATCGTTGCCTAAAAGCTTGTGACGTTGCTCATAATATCAATCACTGGAGTGTCTAGTCCATATGGTTATTTGCTGGCCACCGTCATGTAGCTGGAGTATTGGTGAGTTCAGTATAGAGCAAAAAACAACTCAAAAGCACCACTGTATCTGAGCTCCCATGTGCATTAATTCCTCTAGATGTTGTGCACATTGTTCATTGGGCTGTGCAGGTGCTTTGTTGGACAAATATTACTGCATAGGCAATGCCATGGAAGGAAATGATGTGGTATAAACTGGTAGTTACTTTATTTGCTAAACATTTAATCTATTTGGTAGTATAAATGGTGAAGACAGGTACGTACTTTAAGGAAAAACACCCAAGATTAAGTCAGGGGAAATTGAATGTGCCCTTGACGCGTAGGACACATACAAGTATTTTAGAACCTTGATCAACCATGAGGTGATCCTTCATTTGAGCATATTATACTCTAATAGATTTCATGAACATGAACAAAGCTTACAATACTGTATTTGCCGTAATAAATGCCCAAGTCACTTAGAAAAGTGAAAAGTAGGGTGTATCTTAGTTATGGGGTGGAAGGTAACTCTGTCATGAAAATATATTTTGAAGTGTTCATGCAAAAATTCTAATTAATATAATAAAAAGGGAAGGCCTTGTACGTGTATTGACATAGTCCAATCTTGTTCTAGCCGAGAAGGAGGCACGCACAGTCACGGAGGACCAAACGCCAGTTCACTATGCAGCCAAGAATGATGCTGTCAACTCCATGAAGGCTCTTATCAAAAATGGCTGCCTGTACAAGATGGTCAAGGACTACAAGGGGAGGACACCTATACATGTTGCAGCAGAGCTAGGTACAGCAACAGGAAGTTTGGGTTTGGAAACAATGGAATCTATTGGTTTGTAATTGATTATATATTCGGTTGATATGTCAGGTTCTGTATCTGTATCTTGTGTTGTCAGATCGCAGTGAGTCGGCGCGGGTGCTGCTGGAACTGAGCGCTCCAGTTGGGGTCAGTGACAACAAGGGGCAGAAGGCCATCACGTGGATGATCACCAAGATGGCACCTGTGGTATGCTAGTATAGTCATAGTCATAAAGATCAGATTATTGTTTTTATATTAGAAAATTGAGACTTTGAACAGAGTTATGTTTTTGTATCATATCAATCTGCATCAAACATTATGAGCAGATATTTCTTATGATTTTCGCAGATACAGACACTTTTAAAACTTGATGATTGTTAAGTATCCATATTTACCTGAGTTATTTTACAGGAAAAATGAAGTATTTTTGTTATATCTTACAAGCATAAACAAATGCAAATGTTATCTTCTTAATGTACAGGTCGTGCTGATTAACTCTACATTTTATGGCATATGTTCAACTGCCTGTTCTTATTGATAACTGTTTTGTCTACACCTAGGCGAGTGAAGCACTGAAACAGTTCCGCACAACAGACAGGCCAAACAGGAAGCAGTATTATTACCTGAACCTACTGGTCCAAGACAGAAGTATGTATCTTGATGTCCCTGATGTCCCTGCCATTGTCCTAGTGTATTTACTAATGTGCACCAGTAGACTCTGAACTGCATAACACCATTCTACATGTGTAGGGCATGGGGAGGAGGCCATTCTACCACTCACTATCGAGCACAGTTCTCTCCATGATAATAAACAGAAAAACTCAGACTTGGAACCAATATTATTGTGTATATTTTTATCAATAAATGTATCTTTCAGATAGATCTATTCTCATATAATACTTTTTTCTAATATATCTTATTGTTTCTAAAATTGTAATATTTCATTTTTATATATTTTATTTTTTATATTTTATGAATTAATGAGGACAACATATTTGTTTAATTAGAAGGCACTCTTCTTGGTCTTGCTTTCTCTTTTTCCTGTCTTTCCCTGGAAATGAACTCTATAGATACTGTATGATACACTCACTAATATGTTGATTGGTTGTGACTGATATTCTTCAGAAATTATATGTAGATTGTGTTTTATGAAGAATGCTGGTAGTAACAATGAAGTTGATGTTGTCATAGAGTATAAATGATCAAATCCAAAGTTTAATATTATTTCGTATCAGGCAAAGTAGCTGGGGTGGCAGATATGGAGGTTAGGATGGCATGTACTGGTATAAATGGGCGTGTAGAGCTTTGACATTAGTGGGGTGGGGGCTTAATAGGACCATACACAGTGAGCTACTGAGATCCAAGAGTGGTTTATAAATCAACGAAGCTAATAGTTGCTAGGCTAATAAATGCACCTTCTACACTGCTGTCTTCTGTAAGAAGAAATCTGTAACATAAACAGACCTATGATTTTGTCATGTAAAGTTTTGATCTTAGTAGGGGGTCCTTATAAAGATTACTTACATATTGGTCTTGAAGTTGTTGGGGTAGAGCTTGTTAGAGCGCTAAGGCAGCAAGTAAGGTAATACTTATTAACGTTCACAGGCGCCTTGTATCTATAAGTTCATAGGGAATTAAAACTTATGTCAGTATTGTTTTAAAGTGATTTCTACAGGCTTATGAGATGTGTGATTTGATATTTAATGTTGTGACTGGCATTGCTTCTGCTGACTTTCTGAATGTTTTTGTTTGTCTAGGAAATGGTAAGTAGCCCCTTAGATCACAATGCAATGGTGGTGAGATCCCCTCCTTTGTGTGGTCGCATGCTTGTGTGTTGTTTTGCATTGTCTTTGTGTTGTAACATTAACCAAACACATTTGTTGCAGGCCATTTTGCGCCATGTTCTAGAAAATTGTGTTGAAATTCAAATTTGAGGTCAAATTTTAAAGTTACGGGGATGTACCAATATAAATATGATGAAGACGACCTGAAAATCAGATTCAATTTTCTTGAATTTGGTGTTTTCTACAAAAGTCAACATTTCACAGTTTAAGTTTGTTACACTTACAATCTGTTTACTGCATGTGAAAGTTGGATGTGCTTTGTGGCATATCAATGTTTTTCTGCATGCAAACTAATAAACATTTTCTGAAGGGTTTTCTCAAGTACTTGAATCACATTTCTGAATTGAGCTTGGAACATGTTAGCTTCATGGCATCTTCACCTGTGCTGAGATTATTCTCTCAGTTACAAGTCAACCAAGGCTTCTGATCCCGACTTGTGGAGCTCGTCTACTCAATATATTGTCATTGCTGTAGTAGTAGCAGGGCTATGATCAAGGTGGTTGGACACAGATAAATGACTAGGTCTGTTAATGCTGTAGTTGTTTCAGCAAGTTTCCTTTTTAGTGGTCAGAAGTAGATACACTGCTACCTACCATCCGTGTTACAGTTAGAAAGCTAGTTCATTGTCATTGGTTATTTAAGTTTTCATGGTAATGATTGATGAGTTGCCTCCCTTTGGTCAAGGTTGTGCAAACTCCTTCCCAGCACGTGACACCTTCGTTATAGTCTCGGTAACATCGCTGCCACCAGTGTGGGCACGGCCATTACAAGAATCTTGAAATTTGCCCTCTAACCCAAAATATAGTAACGTTTATACTTTTCAATAGGTTTTTCGGGAATGATAGTGAATATTGAAAAGGTTTACGACCCACCATTTTCCCAAGATCAATTTACCTTTTTGTTTGTTTAGTCAGATAGGTTCAGGATTGCAGACAAACAGAAAATTAACCAACTTCCCCCTTACAGTTTTACTTTACTAATTACATGATAGTAATGAAACAGAAATTCAAACTGACAAACAAAGAAAATAATTTGGCAGGGGAAAGAGTATTTGGCGTCACAGCAGTTATCACTTATTTGTCAACATAACGGTCAGTCAGTTGTGTGTTCAACTCCAAGCATGGTTGTGGTGGTCCTCTATCACAGTGGGGAGCTTTCACCGGTGGCAGCGATAGTAGAGAGCTGCGCCAATGGGATATCGCTGTGAGGAGCTTGATGGTTGTGGTCACATCTGAGCGTTGTTAATTTGTGGCATCAGTGTGGTAATTGTTTTGGTTGGTTCACCTCCCTTAGGTTGGGGTTGGTTCGTTTACACTCCAACATTGACACGGCTTCAGTAAGTTACTCCCTTCAGTCATGCCGTTCTTTCAGTAACTGTTTTATTTAGTCATGGTTGTGGTTGATGCAGCGTTTGTTGTCACCAGTAGGTAGGTTACCTCCCCTTGTCCATACTACAACAGGTAGGTTACCTCCCCTTTGGCCATAGTTAAATTTGAATTCTGGTTGATTCTTCAAGTCACCAGCTGTAATAACATGGACAACACAATTGTTCAAGAAATCAATCTGTATTCAACTAACCAGCGGTTATGCTGGGACTAGCCTTCAACTCCCACACCCTGTTTTCATGCTCGTCATGCTTTTGCTGATGCAAAAGTCCATGACATAACAAGACACATTGTAATGCCAGCCTCACACCCATATAAACATGCTGTTGAAAAACCTAGAACAAGAATTGGTTAATGTGAAATATGATAGGATTCGTGTTCATGATTTTTACAGGATTGAGACATAATTATTCATTCATTTATTTATATGATGACAATTGCTACTAAACAATATCATCGATTTTGCCAACATAGATAATATATATGCTTGCTTATGTGCCCAGGGTAGCTTTCATGAGCTAGGCATATGTCTTGATTGATGCTTTAATATGATACCTGACTGCCTGGCAACGCATCTGCATCTGACAGTAAGACTTGTCAGTAGTACAGTGCTGTCTAGTTAAACTCTGCTGTTTCTAAGGAAAGGAAATATTTGATAAACTAAGCTTTATATGAAAATTTACTCATACAAATATTTGTTCATGTATGATTTTGCATGGTTGTGCATGATCTCTATTTAAGTTTTTCTAATGTCCAGCAACTTTCTTGATTTCAATGTTTTCTTTGAACAACCTTTTACATTTTTTTGAAAATGTGTAAGTTCCAAAATTCTATGAAATTCACAGATACATTACACTATGGGCTTCTATAATACGGTTTCCTATCAGTAAGTAAGTTAGTTTGTTGTTTAACGCCGCACTCAGCTATATATACCAGCAATATGACAGCGGGCTCTTTATAATCCAATCTGGACCAGACAATCCAGTCATTGATTTTATGAGCATCGATCCTAGCAATTGGGATATGATGACATGCATCAACCAAGTCAGTGAGCCTGACCATCCAATCCCGTTAGTCGCCTCTTACGACAAGCATGGGTTGCTGAAGACCAATTCTAACCCGGATTTTCACGGGTGGGTTTCCTATCAAGTCATGACACCCCACCACTTTCCCTGATTAGTATATAACCAGTTCTCTGTCATACCAATTTATATATTGTATATTATTATCCTGTTACCAAGACCTGATGTAAAATATAACTTGAATAGAGTATTAGGGTATGGCCTTTTGTTGCTTGGAACAGTGACTTCATGGCTGCCTCTCTGCTGCCACAGTCTGGCTGATGGGGCAAGTCTTGGCTCTTGCTAATGTTTGCTTCAATTCCCTGTTTTACTGCCCTTTATCCCATTGACACTATTTAACCCAATTCAAAACTAAATCAAATTTGAAATTGATTCCTGTTATTTTTATACAATATGTTTTAGTAACAAAATCTGTTCATCAGACCTCTGTTTCTTTTTGTATAACAATCCATGTTCCATAACAACAATTTGTCGTAACATGTTCATAATATCTGGACTTACCTCTGCCCTATTTGAGATGCTAATGGCGGAGTATTGTATATGTAGCTACAGCTTGGCTACTCTCATCCTGTATGCCCTGAACAAGGATAACAGGATGTTGTTTTCAAGGAAGGCTGTTATATATATTTTCGTTCGTGTGAAAGCAACAAGCAAAGCTGATTTAGTGGTACTGGAGGCAGAATGAAGTTCCTTCAGCTGAATTAACTTTCTATAGCTGAATTGATGAAGAACATGCCCATATTAGATTTAGCACACTGACATAATTATAATGGATAGATGTTATCTGTGTAAAATGTTACACATATTTAAATTTCTTTGGTAAATATTAACATGCATTTCCTAGAATTTAGAAATGTAAATTATATTCAGGTTTCCTTAATTTATGCTGTCATTTTCATTTCAACTTTTTTTTACGAATGTCATCCATCTTTTTTCAGAACTGGATCCAGGTGGCCACACACAGACACCTGTAAGTCTCACCACCTGTAGCGATGTGCCCCTTCCCTGTAGTGACATACCCCCTCACCTGTAGCGATGAGCCCCTCACTTGTAGCGATGTACCCCTTACTTGTAGCGATGTACCCCTCCCCTGTAGTGACATACCCCCTCACCTGTAGCGATGTACCCCTCACCTGTAGCAATGAGCCCCTCACTTGTAGCGATGTACCCCTTACTTGTAGCGATGTACCCCTCCCTGTAGCGATGAGCCCCTCCCCTGTAGCGTATACTCATCCCCCTGTAGTGATGTGCCCCCCCCTGTAGCGATGTACCCCTCACCTGTAGTGACATACCCCCTCACCTGTAGCGATGTACCCCTCACCTGTAGCGATGAGCCCCTCCCCTGTGGTGTATACCCGTCCCCTGTAGTGATGTGCCCCCCCCCCCCCCAAAGCAATGTGCCCCTACTCTGCAGTGATGTGCCCCTCACCTGGAGGAATGTGCCCCTCCCCTGTAACAATGTGCCCCTACCCTGTAACAATGTGCCCCTACCCTGCAGTGATGTGCCCCTCCCCTGTAACAATGTGCCCCTACCCTGCAGTGATGTGCCCCTCACCTGGAGGCATGTGCCCCTCCCCTGTAACAATGTGCCCCTACCCTGCAGTGATGTGCCCCTCACCTGGAGGCATGTGACCCTCCCCTGTTACAATGTGCCCCTCCCCTGGAGGAATGTGACCCTCCCCTGTAACAATGTGCCCCTCCCCAGTAGCAATGTGCCCCTTCCCTGCAGTGATGTGCCCCTCACCTGGAGGAATGTGCCCCTCCCCTGAAGCAATGTGCCCCTACCCTGTAACAATGTGCCCCTTCCCTATAGCAATGTGCCCCTACCCTGCAGTGATGTGCCCTTCACCTGGAGGAATGTGTCCCTACCCTGCAGTGATGTGCACGTCCCCTGAAGCAATGTGCCCCTCACCTGGAGGAATGTGTCCCTCCCCTATAGCAATGTGTCCCTCCCCTGTAGTGATGTGCCCCTCCCCTATAGCAAAGTACCCCGTCCCTGTTGTGATGTGCCCCTCCCCCGTAGTGATATGCCCTTCCCCTGAAGCAATGTGCCCCTCCCCTGTAATGATGTGCCCCATGACCGAAGCGATGTGCCCTTCTCCTGTGGGTGATGTGCCCCATGACTGAAGTGATGTGCCCCTCCCCTGTAATGATGTGCCCCTCCCCTGTAATGATGTGCCCCCCCCCGTAGTGATATGCACATACCCTGAAGCAATGTGCCCCTCCCCTGTAGTGATGTGCCCCTCCCCTGTAATGATGTGCCCCATGACCAAAGCGATGTGCCCCTCTCCTGTAGTGATGTGCTCCTCACCTGAAGCAATGTGCCCCTTCCCTGTTGTGATGTGCCCCCCCGTAGTGATATGCCCATACCCTGAAGCAATGTGCCCCTCCCCTGTAGTGATGTGCCCCATGACCGAAGCGATGTGCCCCTCTCCTGTAGTGATGTGCTCCTCACCTGAAGCAATGTGCCCCTTCCCTGTTGTGATGTGCCCCCCCGTAGTGATATGCACATACCCTGAAGCAATGTGCCCCTCCCCTGTAGTGATGTGCCCCATGACTGAAGTGATGTGCCCCTCCCCTGTAATGATGTGCCCCATGACCGAAGTGATGTGCCCCTCTCCTGTAGTGATGTGCCCCTCACCTGAAGCAATGTGCCCCTCACCTGAAGCAATATGTCCCTCACCTGAAGCAATGTGCCCCTCACCTGAAGCAATGTGCCCCTCACTTGAAGCAATGTGCCCCTACCCTGAAGCAATGTGCCCCTCACCTGAAGCAATGTGCCCCTCACTTGAAGCAATGTGCCCCTCACCTGAAGCAGTGTGTCCCTACCCAGATCGATCACTTATGTATCTTAAGACAGTTCAATGTTGATGGTCAACCACATCATCAAATTATCACAAGATGATATAGAACATCAATAAATCAAGTTTGTTTCTGAATGATAACTTGTTTCACATGCTGCATTAAAAGCATCTTTGATTTTCCAGTGTATCAAATCTCCATTCTATTATAATCAATACCACTGACCAGTACTTCTGATGCCTGTACATGTGTGGCCTAAAGCACTGACATCTGCCTTGCCATTACTTACCGGTATTTCAGTTTTATTTCAGGAGTCACCCAATAATCCTACTGTTTTCCTTTCCTGTGTTACTTCTGAGCTTTATCTAACAGAGAGGTGGACACCAGACACTAGACACTCTGATAACCACATGCTAACATATGTCCATGTGTAGGTCTTTGTAAATCTTGTGCCTTTATTGTATTCTGTGTTGCCCATGGTGATGGCACATCCTCGTATTGAGCTGAATTCATTTTGCCTTCCAAAAAAACCCAACCTAATGAATTTCATCTGTAATGAAATTAGTTAACAAAAAATGACTATCCTCAAACGTTTCCTTTGTGAAATTTAGAATTCTGTACCTTAACCTTTAAAACGTTTTGAGTGGCACAACATGTATTTGTAGGCTTCAGTGTGTCTCGTCTCCAGGAGTTTTGTGGAACTATGTTATGTGCATTACTGCATGTCCCCTGTGCATGTTGTGCAGTGCATGTGTATGCATGTGTGTGTGTGTTGCAGCTGCAGGTGATGGTGCAGTACTCCCAGTTCCACCTTGTCATGCAGGAGAGCGTCAACCGACTCATCCTCGTCATGTGGAATAAATTCGGAGCGTACGTTGGGCCGAGCCCTGCTTGCTGCTTTCAGATAGATGTGCGCTAATGCATCTAACATAATAACATTCATAATCGACTAGTGCAGACTGACCTTCTAGATGTACTCCAGATGTATAGCTGAGTGTGAAATATTTGTTGTAAATAACAACAAAAGCAAAGGATCTTGTATACGCTGTCCAACATTCTAAACAAAATATGCAAAATATGACCAAGAATAGAGGAGTCAGTAGATCTGTGTTGTTTCAAAATTATAGATTTACTGGAGAAATGACAACTGAATCATTCTCCTGCAATGGTGTTTACTTTGAACTTTATTCCATTGGGGGTTGAAGTGGAAGGATGTATATGCTTCCAGGGGTCTAAGATCTGTGTATTCCAGATATTTCACACTGCAGCAATAGCATTTTACTTTAATCTTATTCTGTGTTCATGTATTATAATCTGATGTGATGGTAACCATCCTAACAATGATTCTTGAGCAAGGAATTACATAAAGACTGACCATGAGGGTCGATGGATGTGTATGTTGGACCAACGAAATAGGATTCAGGATGCCATTTGGTGGTGACTTCACTGCACCGTTCCAACTATAGCATGATTGTGGCAATATGTTTGTTTTCAGTGGTTAATGACTCTCACTATCTGACATCAGGCCTCAACAAATTGATTGCTGGTTTCTGAGATACTCAATTTTTGGTATCAATAATGCAATTTCTCTTTCAATTAACAAACATAAAACATATATGAGCATTGTTTCAAAGACATATACAAATGAACAAGTCATTCATTTTTTGTGGCCTTGGTTACGTGGTCTTTGTTTTTGTACAGTGTGTCATTAACCCAGCATGCAGCAGCTTGAGGAGTAGATTGCTCTCCAGACATTAGTATTTTTGACAGTATTTCTTTCAGGTAGAATAGTCCAGTTCTCTATCCTACCTGGAAACTAACATAGACAACTTTTCTATTTTGATTGAGAGTAGTTGCAAGTGGCAACCAGTTATCGCCAGTATGATCTGCTTATGTCGACAGTCTTCGGAAAACTTATTGAGACTATGTGGATGAAATTTGGCAGGTTAGTGTGTACGGCATTCCTAGATGTGGCTGCTTCAAGCTACGTTCTGCTCAGCGAGATCTCCCATGATTCTCACTGTTGCTAATCACGTGACACAGGACACGCTGTCTAGGGCTAGGCTGAGTCCAGATTTACTTCCCAGGTACCCAACACCCTATAACCTGCCCTACCCGGGTACCCATTTAAGGTCTCACGAGTTGGGAACAAAATGTCTGAATGGGAATTGTTTTACACCAGCCCTGGCAAAAAAAGGATTTAAATACGTTTAAAATGATCTGATCATGGATACAACTTGATTGAAACTTTATCTTTCCTGAATCATATAAAAGTCAGAAGGAATGGGTGCATTGTCGGAAAGATATGCTAACATTTGCGACTTGTAGTGTAACCATTGGTGTTATTGTCGTTATACAATATATCATGTGACTAACCATTCGTCCGGGTAGTGGGTACCCGACTCCTACTCAATACCCAACCGACCCATGTACCCGAGGATACCCGTCCCAGCCCTAATGATATCCTTATAAAATGGCCTTCTTTCTGGATCAGATGCAGAGAGACCCATGTCTGCATGCTGCTTGACTCCCATTCTCAGTCAGTAACCAGCTGGTAACCAGGGGATGTAGCCTTGGTGTCCATGTCGAGATGTCACCATGATACTCAACAATGAGTTTGACAGTGCCATTTTGTCCTTAAGCATGTCCTTTGTCACGTGATCACCAAAAATGGAGTGGAGCATCCAGTACATCACTGGATTGCTATACTGGTGCTCATTATTTTGTGTGTCCACTTCAGCTGTTGGATGTCTCACTTGCACAGGCTACTCTGTTGTAGTCTGGGTGAGGTAGAGTGCCAGACCCCATTGCTTGCCTTGAAAGGTGGCCAAAGTGGGAATTGGGTAGCCAAAATGGCTGCTGCCAAGTTGTACGTGGACATTTGACCACTATGGAGATGAGTTACCTGTTGAAATGTGCCCTTGTACCAAGGCAGCATGGAAAGGATATGCATTTTAGTCTGCTGTGATGATTTGGCAAGTCTAGATTGCCTCAGCTCTAAGCATTGTTTCGGCTCCTTTTGGATTTTTATTTGTTTTTTTGTAGGTTTATATTTTTAAATAAGAAAACTATATTTCTGGGACAACATATCAGTCTATTCCACTTGCTTAAAGGGGCACTGATCTAACGCAATTCCCCGGGACTGGTTGTTGCCTTTGTTATTGTTTTTTCCCAGTGAGTACCCGGATGTGTAGCAGAAATCTAGACTAGTTCGCGACCTCTGCTGCGCCATTCGTAAGCGCATTAGTCACTTTTATGGATACCGGTAGTAATAAGGGCGTATGGTCACATTGATCAACAAAATGAAATACAGTTTTCGAGATAATAAGGAATTGTAGGTATCTTTGTGGGTAGCATCGGTAATGGTGACGAAGTTTTGATAAGTCACTTGCTTGGTAAATTTGCGATTTTCGTTTACAATATTTTGACTTGCAACATAAAGTAAATATTTTACCTGACCATTGCTTTTTTTAAAGTGTGTATATTATTTTACTGTCAAAATGTGTAACATATTTATTAAACGTCTAAATATTCAGTTATTTTACAAATTGACAGAAAACATTTCCATCTCTATTATTATGATAACGAATTCCAAACATTTTGATGTTTAATGTCTTCACCAAGAGACTGAAAATGTTACGTTGAAAAGTACATTTCTATGTTGTTTGGCTTCTAATCCTACATAATAATCTGTTGTGATGTTTGTAGGCCCTTTTGATAGTCTTAATCAATCTGGACAGATTTTTTAGTCAAAATGACTGAAATATTTACACATTTTATAAATTGCCTGAGAGAATCACATTTTACAAATTGACGGTAATATATACACGCTTACAAAGGAAATACCTGTGAAAACAACGTCTACCGCGCATTGAAGAATTTCCCAACCAAGACGTAGAGAAACAAGAACGAATTATCGGTTCAAATGAAGGAAAACAAAATGCAAATACCATAATTACAACCTACCAAATTTATGTGTATAAATTTTAGGCAGCTTCCTTGTTCGAGGAATGTATCCGTGAATATCCACACAAAGGAACAATATCCCACTCGTCTGCAGCTGTACAAAGAAACTTACTCGATGTCACGTGTCTCTGTAACAATCAAATAATTTAAAACATATAAATCGTTTCGGGATATTATAACCCGTGTTCGTTTCTCAACTGATCACTTGGATTGTTTCAGGTGTTTCACATAGGTGTCAAGTCTCAAGGGTCGGCTGAGAGAGCCCACGTGACAACTATTTTCATAACGTCCACGGTTCCTAAAAAATCCATTGAGTGATAGATAACAATGATCATTCAATCAACGTATTATCAGTTAACCCTTTGAACAAAGTATGTTGTTTTTACATCGGCATTTCACGCCATGTTATGAGTGTATTCCCTTTGTTTTAGTAAACCTAGACATGTAAACACTCACTTTTGACATATCCACCGTGCAAGATAACAGTGATTAATCAATCAACGTATTTTCTGTTAATCCTTTGATGACTAGGAACGATCCGTTGATTTACAAAAAAAGTAAATCAACTGATCATTCATCTCTTGCTGGGCTGCCACGTGCATATTACATAACACACATTTCACCTCACTTCAAACCTGGATTTATATTGAATAATTACCCCAGACACAATAAATGCCAAATGGGAACCTTTGTCAGGTAATCTAAGTGGTGCTACCACTAATTGTACCTGTAATAAATTCATTAACTGAGCATCAAGCGAATGACGACAAATACACAAGTGTAGGGTTAGACGAGAAAACGTGGATGACAACAAAGGAGTAGTTATCGTATTATCGACGCAATCCGAAATCCGAAAATGCTTTCACTGCATGGATACTTTTTTTGGTATTAAACTATAACCATCTGGGGTATTTCCAAATGACGACATCCGATGAGCTCCGCCGTTCTTTTTGTCTGTTTGTTTAGGCTGTAGAAATTAATTAACATGCGCCCTTTGTCGAAATCTTTATAGATCACAGTTAACCAATCAGTGTTTATGCAAAAATGCGTAAAACAAATATTGCCTCCATCCTCCAAGTTTATTTAACTGTCCTTGCAGACGGTAGCCCAGTCTCTGGTCACGCTCAGTTGCGTTGCGTATCATCCGGGTACTCACGGGGGAAAAAACAATAACAAAGGCAACAACCAGTCCGCGGAATTGCGTTAGATCAGTGCCCCTTTAATGATTACATGGTCCATAATCTATCATTTTTTAATTTGCTTTGAAGATCTCCAATTATAACAGAAGTGGCAAATCCATAATACTTTATAAAGAATCCCTTTTGATATCTGTCAATTTATTTATTAATCCCAAAAGGGATTTTTTTCCACATATATCAAGCCAGAATTATTTGTTTTTGTCTGACGCCTTTGCTACAATGGTTCAACATGGACACTGCTTGTTAATTACAAGTCTACAGCTAGAAAGATATTTGATATTTTATGTAATCTCTATTCTTATAGTGAATAATTCCAGTGCACGATCTTGTAGCATAAGGTACATTTTATAACAAGGGGTCTAACCACTAATACACTAAGTAGACGTAAAACAATCTATTGTTGGATCAGATGTTGATACAGTCTTGATTTTTTTAACAAGAGATTGTGAATCAGTAAATGATATATGAATAGAGTTGTTTAGAAACAAATTAAAATGTGTAATGAAAGGATTAAATATGGTTATTATGTAAAGTGTGTGCTTGAATATATGCTCATAAATACATCAAATATGTCTTGTTTCCAACCTGTTCCCCATGACTGTATCCCTAGGTGAAGCTATAGTTATATCATGTCTGGTTTTCAGGAGAGGTGCATGGATCAATTTACTAATTAACTTTGCATACATATGCCTTTGGTCAGCCATCGGTATTCTGGTGGAGTATGATCAAAGACATAAGTATATTTGGCCTGACCAGTGGTGGAGAATTGTCCTTCTGGTGAGTAGCAGATCCCATTGGCTGCCATCTTCAGTTTAATCAAAATAGTTTTATCATCCCAATGTAGTTCCTTATATATGTATCAAAGATAAGTGACTAGTTATTTATTACCAAAGGGCTGGGGGAAATCTGGGGAGGAGTTAAGGGGAGGGTCATTCAAAACATATTGGGAGGATTACAAAAGAAATGGACATTTATTTTTATTTTTTTAGCTTTGTTGTGGAACTTTAAAGAAGATGTTTGTTTGTTTGTTGTTTAACACCGCACTCAGCAATATTCCAGCTATATGACGTCGGTCTGTAAATAATCAAGTCTGGACCAGACACACCAGTGGTTGATATTGTGAGCAAAGTTCTGCACCATTGGGGCAGGATGACATGCAATCGAACAAGTTGTGAGTTAAACAACAACATGCACTGACTCAAAGGTAAGTGTTAGACTGTCATCATATGTTTGTGAATTTTGATTCATATGATAATTCTTTCAGTAATCAAAGTTGCAAAAGTCATTTTGATTTCTTCAGCTGACAGCCATAGGGTTTACAGTGTGGCAGGTGTTTGAAGAAGTGAGGGAATTCTCCAGATCTAAAAGAGCACACTCGGTGAGGTCAAATCAAAATAATGTCTTTGAAATTGCACAATGTTGACTTACATTTTGTAATTTTAGTATATGTACATGCTGTTTTTATAAAAAGAATCTTAAATTGGGATCAGGTGGTTGCAATATTTGATACGTCCATGGTATAGATCATAATTGAATGGAAATGCAGTAAATTACAGTTATAACGAACCCAAACGGACCACTAAATTTAGTTGTAAGCATAGTTCGTTATGATAATTTTGACTATAATATACTGAGCGGAAAAACCCCAGTTTGTTATATATCCGTCAGTTCGTTATCAGTGTGTTTGTTATATATCCGTCAGTTCGTTATCAGTGTTTACGTTATAAACGTAGTTTAGTGTATTATCTTTTCATGTTATCCAATTTATTATAACCTTTGTCAGTAACATATATTTAAGGAGGTTGAATTACCTTATAGCCATGCCATCTTAATGTCAAGATGATATTGTGACTTTTTAGTTACAAGAATTCAGTACCAAGTTAATACAATGACAACTAAACACTAACCTTCGTGCAAACAACAGTTTTCTCTGACCTGACAATGGCAGTAGGAATAAGCACACACAGTAGTATTTTCCTTTCAACTGACCTTACGGGATAATGGTGCAGAAGAGTTTGAAGTTTGCAGTAACAGACATGCTGTGTATCCATGACAGGTTTAGATATCTCAGTTTGGACATGTTGCCTTGTTTCCAGAACTGGGTAAAATGGCGCACCAAGGAGATTGAGCAGGATATGGAGTTTTGTCATCCAAGATGGCCAGAGGAAAAACAGTTCCTAAAGTCAGAACTTACGGCCCTTGACAAACTCAATCCCAAATACTTCAACGATGCATGGTAAGAATTCCTATCTCAAGTAACCAGGAGAATTGTAAAGTTAATCTTAAATAATAAAAGAAGTGAACAAACCAAAATGACACGAAAGGCTTAGTTTGCATTCTACTCACTCATGACCATAACTCATAGTATTTCATGATCTTAGACCAACTATGTCATCTTGTTTTTTCTTGTATTTTTCTGAAGAAATAAGACTTGTTACAAATGACAAAGACAAAAGACAAGTGCCAGGAAACAAAGAATTTGTTGTTGTGGCATGACTACTCGGGAATGTGGTAGCCCTATTGAACTGTCCTATAATATAGTTTTGTTAGTTTTGTTATTGCTATCTCTTTCCTTCTGTTTAGGAACATATTTGACTGGACATGTTATTTCTTCCTGCTGTTGTCCATCACAACCCACTTTGCCGACATCGCCATCCACAGCAACCTGCTGGCTCGATGGCACATCCGCATCATGTGCGTCACCATCATCCTCCTCTGGCTGCGACTCATGAAGAACGCCAGGGCGTTCTCTACGCTGGGTGAGTGTGGACTTACACCTTTGTTACAGTCTCTCAGCCGTGCTCAGCCTTAACACTTGTCATAAACCATGTGTCTGTGTGTGTCATCTGCATGTGTTCAGAATACTAGAACTGAAGGTTGAGTCTTTGAGGAGGTTCCTGGTTATGGTGTGTGACTGAGGGAATAATGACCCCATATCAATAGTAGGTTTGCAGATACTCACAGTGTTTATTTATTGAATACAGAACTGCCACACTGTGTAATGGGTCAATACAAAAACTAATGCAATCAATTAAGCGTTTGTTCATGTGTTTAAACAAATGTTATTTAATCTGTTTTCTGGCAAAATGGTCTTGATTAATGGAACTCCATGATTTCTTCTACTTGTAGGTCCATTTGTTGTGATGCTGGGCAAGATGATCGGTGACTTGCTGAAATTCTGCTTCCTGTACCTGGAGTTCTACATACCCTATGGTAAGACAGTGTGTCAGTGTTCAACATTTATTATGGTGGGAAGTCATCAGACTTGCTGGTTTGTGGCCTTCTGGGCTTTGAAATGAAGCTTTCCTCTGTCACAGATTGATTTCACAGAAATTGCATGACTGCAGGATAGTAATTAGGTTTGTCCACAGAAAATTTGTTTTCTTGAAGAACTTGTGCAGAATATTTTCCTGGGGATTGCAGGCACCTTTTGCATTGCGTTGTCTTCAAAGGCAACTGGACTATGGCTGAGGACTCCCCTCTGCCCCAAACTGAAGTGTGATTAGTGAATAGTCTAGCTGTGTCAGCTTCTTAACTGTAAAATGATTTCCAATAGTGAAATGATTGGTGATATGTCCTGAATTGTTTGATAGGCATTACTTATAAGTTGACGGATGACAAAGTAGACATAATTTATGGATAACAACTTCTTTAATACAACTATGAACTCTTTAAGCATTAATCACCACACCTATGTAAACTTATACTGTCTAATTGGCTTCATGTCCCATTGGCCACCTATGTGTTCTCTGTCCGTCATGTTGTGACAGTATTATTGTCTTGCTTGACAACTGTATACATTATTAAAGAAGTTGTTATCCTTAAATTGTGTCTACTTTGATGTGTCCTGGACAAATCCTCGTTGAAAGTGTGTTTCCTTCCCAGCGTGTGCCTTCTGGATGATCTTTGGTGGGGACAAGCAAAAGGAATCTGATGGGACACTGGTTGAGGTTGACGGCTTCGGCTACCCCACCGCTATGATGTTCACCCTGTTCCGTCTCACCCTTGTGGATGAGTATGATTATGCTGTAAGTATTTCTGCTCCATCATCAAGCCAGCTGCAGAGACCAAGTACCGAGGAACAGGCCACAGGGATGATAGGAGCCTGTCACTGTCCTGGGAGATAAACCTTTTGTGAGAAACTGAAGTAGCTTGTTCTCTGTTGGAAACAAATTGTCCTCATCCAGTCTATACCAGGCTAAAACAGATGTGCTTTTCACCATCATGCCAACTGATTTTAGATTTACATGTAGAATAGAACTGGCAGAATAAAAAGATGATGTAACGCTATGGTCTGTTATATCATAATGCTTTGACAGTCATGTAGATGTTTCTATGGGCAATGTTTAATCTTTCAGAACATGAAGCTTGTTGATTCCTTGATGGCGGACCTGTTGGTGGGGACATGGTTGGCGCTGTCTGCAATCCTGTGCCTCAATCTCCTTATTGCCCTGCTGTCGGACACCTTCCAGAGGTAGGTTGTCATGGTGGCTCTGTCTGTCATCTTGTGCCTCAATCTCCTCATTCCCCTGCTGTCGGACACCTTCCAGAGGTAGGTTGTCATGGCAACTCTGTCTGTCATCTTGTGCCTCAATCTCCTCATACCCCTGCTGTCGGACACCTTCCAGAGGTAGGTTGTCACCTTGTACCTCAATCTCCTTTTGGCCCTGCTGTCGGACACCTTCCAGAGGTAGCTTGTCATGACAACTCTGTCTGCAATCCTGTGCCTCAATCTCCTCATTCCCCTGCCGTCAGACACCTTCCAGAGGTAGGTTGTCATGGCAACTCTGTCTGTTATCTTGTGTCTCAGTCTCCTCATTCCCCTGCTGTTGGACACCTTCCAGAGGTAGGTTGTCACCTTGTACCTCAATCTCCTTTTGGCCCTGCTGTCGGACACCTTCCAGAGGTAGCTTGTCATGACAACTCTGTCTGCAATCCTGTGCCTCAATCTCCTCATTCCCCTGCCGTCAGACACCTTCCAGAGGTAGGTTGTCATGGCAACTCTGTCTGTTATCTTGTGTCTCAGTCTCCTCATTCCCCTGCTGTCGGACACCTTCCAGAGGTAGGTTGTCATGGTGGCTCTGTCTGTCACCTTGTGCCTCAATCTCCTTATTGTTTTGTCGTTGGACACTTTCCAGAGTTAAGTTTTTCAATCTCATTAAAATCCAATCTTACTTCTCACTACCACAAAACAAAGATCCTAGGACATTCCATTACAGGACATGTCAGAGCCAACCTATCACCTGATCAATCAGAGCTTTGCTCACCGGATTGGGACAGTCGAAAAGTGTTTTCTAATCATGCAAAGTCAAAATTGTTAACACAGGGTATTCAGAATGACATTTACGGACTGTATGACTGATTCTGTCAAAATCAATGTCTATCTCTCGCTTCAGTGGGATAAGCATTCGAACGTAAGAGACTTTCCATAGCTCATGGGAAGTACTGCCTCACAACCTCGGCCATCTATCAAGACATTCCAGAATTTTTTTTTGTTCAGTTTTCAAATTTTGAATTGATATATTTCAAAATGTTATCTGGAATGGAAGTCACTGGTTTGAAACTAGTGCCATAAAGTTCGAAAGCTGCTTCCTGTTTGGCAAATGAGGACTTCATTTGAGTCATTTTGTTGGTCGGTCAAACTTTGTGAAAGGTTGTCCCGATGTGACCCGTAATGGTATGTCCTCAGATCTTTGTTTAGATCTGATTTTAGTGAGATTGTAAGTTCTCATGGTGGCTATGTCTGTCATCTATGCCTCATTATCCTCATTGCCCTAATGTCAGACACCTTCCAGAGGAGAGTTGGAACTTGCTGCCCAGACTAATGTTTCCTAAGGGTGATAACTAATGTTTCTCCACTTGAAAGTGTGTGATGACACCCAGGCTAATGTCTCCCCAAGTTATTGTGTGATAATGAATGTTTTGCCTCTCCGAAGTGTATGATAACACACAGGCTAATGTCTCCCCAAGTTATTGTGTGGTAATGAATGTTTTGCCTCTCCAAAGTGTGTGATAACACACAGGCTAGAGTCTCCCTGAACTTATGTATAACTGATGTCTTTCCTCTCTAAAGTGTACAATCTGCTACATTTTGATAACTCATGATAATGTATCATACTGAGCAGGCTCATGTCTCCCAAGCTTATGTTTGGTAACTAATGTATTTCCTATCAAGCGTGTATGACAATGCACAGGCTCATGTCTCCCAAGCTTATGTTTGGTAACTAATGTATTCCCTCTCCAGAGTGTATGACAATGCACAGGCTAATGTCTCCCAAGCTTATGTTTGGTAACTAATGTATTCCCTCTCCAGAGTGTATGACAATGCACAGGCTAATGTCTCCCAAGCTTATGTTTGGTAACTAATGTATTCCCTCTCAAGAGTGTATGACAATGCACAGGCTAATGTCTCCCTAGCTTATGTTTGGTAACTAATGTATTCCCTCTCCAGAGTGTATGACAATGCACAGGCTAATGTCTCCCAAGCTTATGTTTGGTAACTAATGTATTCCCTCTCCAGAGCGTATGACAATGCACAGGCTAATGTCTCCCTAGCTAATGTCTGATAACTAATGTATTCCCTCTCCAGAGTGTATGACAATGCACAGGCTAATGTCTCCCTAGCTAATGTCTGATAACTAATGTATTCCCTCCCAAGAGTGTATGACAATGCACAGGCTAATGTCTCCCTAGCTAATGTTTGATAGCTAATGTATTCCCTCCCCAGAGTGTATGACAATGCACAGGCTAATGTCTCCCTATCTAATGTTTGATAGCTAATGTATTCCCTCTCCAGAGTGTATGACAATGCAAAGGCTAATGTCTCCCTAGCTAATGTTTGATAACTGATGTATTCCCTCCCCAGAGTATATGACAATGCACAGGCTAATGTCTCCCTAGCTTATGTTTGATAACTAATGTATTCCCTCCCCAGAGTGTATGACAATGCACAGGCTAATGTCTCCCTAGCTAATGTTTGATAACTAATGTATTCCCTCCCCAGAGTGTATGACAATGCACAGGCTAATGTCTCCCTAGCTAATGTTTGATAACTAATGTATTCCCTCCCCAGAGTGTATGACAATGCACAGGTTAATGTCTCCCTAGCTAATGTTTGATAACTAATGTATTCCCTCCCCAGAGTGTATGAGAATGCACTGGCTAATGTCTCCCTAGCTTATGTTTGATAACTAATGTATTCCCTCTCCAGAGTGTATGACAATGCACAGGTTAATGTCTCCCTAGCTAATGTTTGATAACTAATGTATTCCCTCTCCAGAGTGTATGACAATGCACAGGTTAATGTCTCCCTAGCTAATGTTTGATAACTGATGTATTCCCTCCCCAGAGTATATGACAATGCACAGGCTAATGTCTCCCTAGCTTATGTTTGATAACTAATGTATTCCCTCCCCAGAGTGTATGACAATGCACAGGCTAATGTCTCCCTAGCTAATGTTTGATAACTAATGTATTCCCTCCCCAGAGTGTATGACAATGCACAGGCTAATGTCTCCCTAGCTAATGTTTGATAACTAATGTATTCCCTCCCCAGAGTGTATGACAATGCACAGGTTAATGTCTCCCTAGCTAATGTTTGATAACTAATGTATTCCCTCCCCAGAGTGTATGAGAATGCACTGGCTAATGTCTCCCTAGCTTATGTTTGATAACTAATGTATTCCCTCTCCAGAGTGTATGACAATGCACAGGTTAATGTCTCCCTAGCTAATGTTTGATAACTAATGTATTCCCTCTCCAGAGTGTATGACAATGCACAGGTTAATGTCTCCCTAGCTAATGTTTGATAACTGATGTATTCCCTCCCCAGAGTATATGACAATGCACAGGCTAATGTCTCCCTAGCTTATGTTTGATAACTAATGTATTCCCTCCCCAGAGTGTATGACAATGCACAGGCTAATGTCTCCCTAGCTAATGTTTGATAACTAATGTATTCCCTCCCCAGAGTGTATGACAATGCACAGGCTAATGTCTCCCTAGCTAATGTTTGATAACTAATGTATTCCCTCCCCAGAGTGTATGACAATGCACAGGTTAATGTCTCCCTAGCTAATGTTTGATAACTAATGTATTCCCTCCCCAGAGTGTATGAGAATGCACTGGCTAATGTCTCCCTAGCTTATGTTTGATAACTAATGTATTCCCTCTCCAGAGTGTATGACAATGCACAGGTTAATGTCTCCCTAGCTAATGTTTGATAACTAATGTATTCCCTCCCCAGAGTGTATGACAATGCACAGGCTAATGTCTCCCTAGCTAATGTTTGATAACTAATGTATTCCCTCCCCAGAGTGTATGACAATGCACAGGTTAATGTCTCCCTAGCTAATGTTTGATAACTAATGTATTCCCTCCCCAGAGTGTATGAGAATGCACTGGCTAATGTCTCCCTAGCTTATGTTTGATAACTAATGTATTCCCTCTCCAGAGTGTATGACAATGCACAGGTTAATGTCTCCCTAGCTAATGTTTGATAACTAATGTATTCCCTCCCCAGAGTGTATGACAATGCACAGGCTAATGTCTCCCTAGCTAATGTTTGATAACTAATGTATTCCCTCCCCAGAGTGTATGACAATGCACAGGTTAATGTCTCCCTAGCTAATGTTTGATAACTAATGTATTCCCTCCCCAGAGTGTATGAGAATGCACTGGCTAATGTCTCCCTAGCTTATGTTTGATAACTAATGTATTCCCTCTCCAGAGTGTATGACAATGCACAGGTTAATGTCTCCCTAGCTAATGTTTGATAACTAATGTATTCCCTCTCCAGAGTGTATGACAATGCACAGGCTAATGCAGTCATGCAGAGGGCCATCACCATCCTCAACATCTGGGAAGGGATGTCCAAGAAGCGCCGCCTCAAATTCCTCACCTTCATAGAAAATGAATGCTCGCCCCAGTCCGACTACTATGATGATGATCTCACCCAAGCAGGAGAGGAGGATCTCAAGAAAGTCACCATACAGATCAAGGTAAGGAAACAATCTTCAACAATTACCGTATTTGCCATATTAAGCTGTCCTCTCCAATAAGCACCCTGTTACAGTTTTTTTACCAATCTGCTTATAAGCATTCGTACTAATCCCAAAGGTTCATATGACAGTCTGTATTTTCTTCTGTTTAATAGACTTTTTCTGCAGAAAATACAGCTGTATCAAAAAACTACCCAGTAATGTGTCAAATGCTTTACTGGCATACTATTTCAATTTTTGATACATACCTAAAAAAAGCAATGACAGTGAGTTTTATTTGTGGTACTGTAATAGTTGCAGATATATTTCTGACAAATAAATCACCAGATGTGCACATTGCACATTGCTATTTCGGGGTAGTCATACGAGAAAATAAGCAGTATTGATTGCAGCATTTACAAAATGCTTACCGTAATACAACTAATGTTGTCTAAAAGCCTATCATTGTCAAACCTATCTAAGCACTATGAGCACTTGTTCTGGTGCATATGACACCTGCTTTTGAACCCTGGAAGGATGAATAGATATCCAGGATGCCAGTCATAAGAGACATAGTAAATCACTTGATTGTTTCATCAAACTCAACAGCTTTGCTTGCAGCATTAATATTGCTGTGTGCAGAGTTAAGCAACAAACAGAACACTTATTTGCAGGCCATCGTGATTTCACTGAAATTATGTTGAACATAAACTACATTACTTCACTTCATCTTTAAGGTACATGGAAGTATTACATTTTATTTTCTGAATCTCATTCTTGATTCTTGTTTTAAACACATGTTGTCCCATTCACTTAGATGACTAACAAGTCACCAAAGACAACAGGAAAACAACATTCAAGTGAAAACAATATTCTGGAGATCTATGTAAATGACACAGCGATGTTAAATCTACTTCTTTGCATCAGTAATCAGGATGGTAGGAGATAACAATGCTGAATGTGAACTATAGTCATCAAGTACTACTTGTGTACTTATTCTTTTCTTTCAGGAACAACTTGATGACCTCCAAGAGCAGTGGAAAACAAAGTTTGGAGGTTTTGAAACTTCAGGAATGTTTGTAAGTAACAATATTGAAAGTTCGAAATACCAAACATTTGTCATGGCACTGGATTTTATTAAATTGATTGAAACATTCATGAAAATCTATTTTTAGATGGCACAACAGAAAATTGAATGCTATGAAATGCTATCCTTTGATCTGGATATGAGTACAAATCTCTCCAATTTTTGTTTTGTCTACACAACATTGCTCACATATATCCATCCACCCCTCCCACCCCTCTCACCAGTCTTCTATGACATGAGAGCCTTCTGTCTGTACCCCACCACTCTCACCAGCCATCTATAACATGAGAGCCTTCTGCCTGCTGCCTCCCCTCTCACCAGTCATCTGTAACATGATAGCCTTCTGTCTGCTACTCTCACCTCTCACCAGTCATCTATAACATGAAAGCCTTCTGTATGCTACCCTACCCTCTCACCAGTCATCTATAACATGAAAGCCTTCTGTCTGCTACCCTCTCCTCTCACCAGCCATCTATAACATGAGAGCCTTCTGTCTGCTGCCCTCCCCTCTCACCAGCCATCTATAACATGAGAGCCTTCCATCTCCTGCCCTCACCTCTCACCAGCCATCTGTAACATGAGAGCCTTCTGTCTGTACCCCGCCCCTCTCACCAGCCATCTGTAACATGAGAGCCTTCCATCTCCTGCCCTCAACTCTCACCAGCCATCTGTAACATGAGAGCCTTCTGTCTGTACCCTGCCCCTCTCACCAGCCATCTATAACATGAGAGCCTTCCATCTCCTGCCCTCACCTCTCACCAGCCATCTGTAACATGAGAGCCGTTTGTCTGTACCCCGCCCCTCTCACCAGCCATCTGTAACATGAGAGCCGTTTGTCTGTACCCCGCCCCTCTCACCAGCCAGCCGTAACATGAGAGCCTTCCGTCTGGTGCCCTCCCCTCTCACCAGCCATCTATAACATGAGAGCCTTCTGTCTGTACCCCGCCCCTCTCACCAGCCATCTGTAACATGAGAGCCTTCTGTCTGCTGCCCTCCCCTCTCACCAGCCATCTATAACATGAGAGCCTTCTGTCTGTACCCCGCCCCTCTCACCAGCCATCTGTAAGATGAGAGCCTTCTGTCTGTACCCCGCCCCTCTCACCAGCCATCTGTAACATGAGAGCCTTCCATCTCCTGCCCTCACCTCTCACCAGCCATCTGTAACATGAGAGCCTTCTGTCTGTACCCTGCCCCTCTCACCAGCCATCTGTAACATGAGAGCCTTCCATCTCCTGCCCTCACCTCTCACCAGCCATCTGTAACATGAGAGCCGTTTGTCTGTACCCCGCCCCTCTCACCAGCCATCTGTAACATGAGAGCCTTCTGTCTGGTGCCCTCCCCTCTCACCAGCCATCTATAACATGAGAGCCTTCTGTCTGCTTCCCGCCCCTCTCACCAGTTATCTGTAACATGAGAGCCTTCTGTCTGCTACCCACCCCTCTCACCAGCCATCTATAACATGAGAGCCTTCTGTCTGCTGCCTCCCCTCTCACCAGCCATCTGTATACATAAGAGCCTTCTGTCTGCTACCCACCCCTCTCACCAGCCATCTATAACATGAGAGCCTTTTGCCTTCTGCCTCCACTCTCACCAGCCATCTGTAACATGATAGCCTTCTGTCTGCTGCCTCCCCTCTCACAAGCCATCTGTAACATGAGAGCCTTCTGTCTGCTGCCCTCCCCTCTCACCAGTCATCTGTAACATGAGAGCCTTCTGTCTGCTGCCTCCCCTCTCACCAGCCATCTGTAACATGAGAGCCTTCTGTCCGCTGCCCTCACCTCTCACCAGCCATCTGTAACATGAGAGCCTTCTGTCTGCTACCCACCCCTTTCACCAGCCATCTATAACATGAGAGCCTTCTGTCTGCTGCCTCCCTCTCACCAGCCATCTGTAACATGAGAGCCTTCTGTCTGCTGCCCTCCCCTCTCACCAGTCATCTATAACATGAGAGCCTTCTGTCTGCTGCCTCCCCTCTCACCAGCCATCTATAACATGAGAGCCTTCTGTCTGCTGCCCTCCCCTCTCACCAGTCATCTATAACATGAGAGCCTTCTGTCTGCTGCCCTCCCCTCTCACCAGTCATCTATAACATGAGAGCCTTCTGTCTGTACCCCGCCCCTCTCACCAGCCATCTATAACATGAGAGCCTTCTGTCTGCTGCCCTCCCCTCTCACCAGCCATCTATAACATGAAAGCCTTCTGTCTGCTGCCCACCCCTCTCACCAGCCATCTATAACATGAGAGCCTTCTGTCTGCTGCCTCCCCTCTCACCAGCCATCTATAACATGAGAGCCTTCTGTCTGCTGCCCTCCCCTCTCACCAGCCATCTATAACATGAGAGCCTTCTGTCTGCTGCCCACCCCTCTCACCAGCCATCTATAACATGAGAGCCTTCTGTCTGCTGCCCTCCCCTCTCACCAGCCATCTATAACATGAGAGCCTTCTGTCTGCTGCCTCCCCTCTCACCAGCCATCTGTAACATGAGAGCCTTCTGTCTGCTGCCCTCCCCTCTCACCAGCCATCTATAACATGAGAGCCTTCTGTCTGCTGCCCTCCCCTCTCACCAGCCATCTATAACATGAAAGCCTTCTGTCTGCTTTCAGGAGGAGAGTGGTGTAACCACCACCAACATCAGTGGCAGTATTGTCACCAATGACAGGTTTGACCATGAGATCCACATCCTCCGTGACAGCGTGAACCAACTGAAGCTGAAGCAGGAGGAGATTGCAGACCGTTCCCGCCGTGACATGAAGGCCGTCAAGATCCTGCTGCAGCAGCTGCTGAGACAAGATGGGGGAGGGGACGGAGATGGTGGAGGTGGGTCCCAGAGTGTGTGTGAATGTATCCTGAATGTGTGTGAATGTATCCTGAGTGTGTGTGAATGTATCCTGAATGTATCCTGAATGTGTGTGAATGTATCCTGAATGTGTGTGAATGTATCCTGAATGTGTGTGAATGTATCCTGAATGTGTGTGAATGTATCCTGAATGTGAATGTTCCTGTGTAATCACCAGGATGGTTTTGTGTATGACTACATGTCTGTATTGAGAGTATTGGTACTTAGCTCTAAGATAGATTGTCAAATGGATAATACCTAACTGTAGAAATGTCAAAGGAAGAGGGTCGGTGTAGATTATATATTGGGGGCGGTGCAATATAACTAGAAAACCAAATTCATGCTTTATTAAAATTATTATACAGACATGGAGAGAATGACTCACTGTTTTAACATTTTGCATAAAAAAGGATATGTAGTAGATATACAGTGACCCCCTTGTTAATCTGGATTCCTTGAGAACCTATTCATATTCACAAGTTTCCAGATTAATGCAATGTTGATGTTATAATGCCAACTGTAAGTGTTCCAGCCATAATTATCCAAAGGCATGGTGTCCAGTTTACAGGGACTGAAACAACGAGGTTTCACTGTAAAGTGTAGAACATTGCAGATCCCTGCCATGCGTAGTGTAGGGCAAACCCTGCATTGTGTGTTGTATACTTTTGTCTTTGGGTTGACATCATTTGTATTGTGTTGTGTTGAAATGATGATGCATACTTCACTGGCAGCCATTTCAGAGTAATGAATGAAACAAAGATGACAGCTGTGTATGTTTCTGTTTCTGTGATAAGTGCCTTGTTTTTGTGATCAGGTTTCACTGAGCTGGAGATTCGGGACAGCAGGATGTCAGGGGAGTTTGGAGGGTGAGTGACTTACTTGTGTCTGCAACCATAGACAGTCAGTCATCCATGTTTGGCATAAAAATCCCTCACACAAACAAATCAGGTTTGATTATTAGCAAAATTGTTTAATATCAAGCAGACCAACATGGCTCAACATGGTCAACATGGTCAGGAACTGATAACTTGCCAGAAGATCACAATGAGAAATATGTTTGGGAACATTTAGTCAAGTTTAGAAATTATTAGAGGAAGGGGCTACCTGCACAGACTAATGTATCTATATTTGAATTCATTGTGTCAGAATATGTCCTCCCTGGCAAGCTGATGCACTATGAGTGAGTGAGTAAGTATGATTTTACGCCGCTTTTAGCAATATTCCAGCAATATCATGGCAGGGGACAACAGAAATGGGCTTCACATATTGTACCCATGTCGGGAATTGAACCCGGGTTTTCAGCGTGACGAGCGAATGCTTTAACCAATACACTACCCGACCTCCCCTGATGCACTATGAGGTTCCTGTTGAAGCACATCCAATGTTATGTTCTCCCCACAGAGAGGAGGCCCAGCCTGGCACCAGTGTCCGCAAGATGAAGAAGAGGAAGAAGGCCCCCAAGGGCCCCTACCAGCACGAGGACCTGCTGGTGCCCCTGGAGGACCAGGCCGCTGCCGATCCCAGGAGGATAAGGATTGGTGGTGAGTCCTTGCTTTCATTACATGGTTTACAGACCTTCTTCTCTCAAACCAAGGGTTGGTGGTTTCAATACAAACATCAAAATAACACTTAAAAACATATTTTCCTTTAAAGTGATTTTTTTATTAAAAGTCGGTATTGTACAATAGCAAAAAAAATGGAATAAAAGAAGAGGCCTGCATCACTTAGGGACTTCCTCCTACATTAAAGAGAGGCTAATTGGCATTCCTTTGAATATCACTTTGTCAGCTGATTCAAGTTGAAATTGTGCATATCAGTTAAGCGGTTAATGATGCTATACAATGGATAATGTTCGGGGAAATGGGCAGCAGATACCACCAATATACAGGTGAAAGCAGCACTAAAATTCACTCCCTCACTCACTGCAGGATGGAGACAAGTGCTTTAGTTTAAGAATGGGTATAAGTTGCAATGGAAACCGATCAGTATGATGGTTCATATTTGAATTTGTATTGTAGTTGTCTGCTATGTTGGCATTTCTGTTGCAGGGCAGAGAGCAGATATCTCCACAATCAGCTTCCCGGATTCCGAGACGGCCGAGCATGAGGTAGGTGGTTACACACTACAGTTACAGCACTTCATGGAGATGTTGGATTCCAATTTTGATGTCATTTTCAAATTCTGCATTCTGATCGTTCCAGCGGTGACAGATCTACGTTAGACCATGATTTTGATTGTGAAAGATCATGTTTTTTCTTTAGCACATTTCACAAACTCATCCAGTGTACTGATTTAAATTGAAAAATTATTCAAAATGTCATCATTTGGGCAAATATTGCAAAATTCATTAACATCAACACAGCTTTACATTTTGCTCCTTGAATCACATACTATGATGTCACAATGCTTGGCCATCTGTCCGTATGACATCATGAAAGTGGAGTGTACTTTTGAACTCAACGTTGCAAGGGCTGCAACATCTCAGATGGGATTAAAACTGATTGATTTTGTCTCATATATATATATATATATATATATATATATATATATATATATATATATATATAAGTATAGAGAACATTGCAACCTGTCAACCTTCAGAAATATTAGACTCAACTGATGCCGCATTATTTATCACTTCCTCTATGACAAAATAGTTGGAGGTTTTTTTCCCACTTTATGATGGTGGACATAAAAATACTGCATTTTCCATTTAGAGCTTATGAAGCTTAGAAGCTTTTTGGAAGCTTCTCTGGTATTGAATTTGAAAACAGTACAGTGTGTGTCTTTCATACAGTCAACAAACATGGGTATGAGATTTGTATTGTGATGTCAATTAGTGGAAAATCAAAGACACCCTGAAACACATTTACATAAATAACAGCTATAATATAATCATGACTTGTTTTTCAGTCAATGTAATAAGTACCTATCTGTCATTAATTACAGACAGTTAATAAGCGTGTGCTAAAGGCTAATACTATAGCATATACAATGCAATGTTTACATAAATAACCCAAGGGAAATAACTCTTTTACTTTGACTATATAAACAAAATCAATTCATTAAGCTTACACAGTATTGTATAAACATATACTGTACTTTAAAGACAGAATGATATTATAAGGATTAATACATTAGGCTGGGCTCTGATATTCTGTGTGAACTTGAAATTAAGACAAGAGATGTTATTTGCATGAAATGGTCGTGGAGGTAATGTGGACTGCAATCTTGAATAAACCCTTGTTAAGCGACCCCAATGCAGTAAGCACTGTCCACTGTGACACAGAATGGATAAGATTGGTTTCTGATGAAAAGTGGCCATCCCTATCCTTTAAGTTAGAATTTTGGATGTATCCCAAGATGCCAAATGTACCCCACACCCAAAACCAGTCTCACTTATGTACACCCACCACGTTATCCTATAGAGAAACATTACCTGTACTGCAGACAAGGAGCTAAGAACAATTTGGATGAAGATGTCAAGTCTGGATGAAGACAAATGAACATCATCACGCAGATACAGCTATTAATCCTGCCGGGTGATGGCAGGTGATGAAGACAAATGAACATCGTCACGCAGATACAGCTGTTAATCCTGCCGGGTGATGGCAGGTTAGGAAACCTGTTTCCCCAAAAGCGTGGGATGCAGATTGGCTGCTGGAGCTGTGTTACAGAATTGTTCCCTCTGAAATCTCAACAAAGCATCTGTGATATTATTGTCATGTGTATTTATACTTGCCCTGAACAAAATGTTTTTGCAGCACAAGCTGCCTTGTCAGTGACAATTCTGGGTGCCTCTGAAGACAGCTTGGTTATGACAAAAGAAAAGTACTCTCCTGATAGCAAAGGCTGTGCCCCAGAGACAAACTGACAGCACGATCACAAGTTTCAAGTGGCCAGAGACCATTTGGCCAGTTCCTGTTACAGTGTGCCCGAACCCCATGGTGCAGGGCAGATATGTATTGTCAGCTCACAATTGATTCTGAATAACTGACACCATTTAAAAAAACAGGAACCCTAGCCAAACCTCTAGGCCTTCCCACACTACCCTGCATGATGTGGATGCGGTGTGATTGATGACTTACTAGTGTCGAGGGCAGAACAGTCGACCCATGGGTATGGCCTGGCACATGAAATTCAACTTACCCACCAGTGACTGCCAACTCTTCAGTTGACTTCATGCTTACCTAGAACCAGCAAATGATGATGGTACTTACAATCTCTTCCTGGGGTATTTCTGACCTGTATCCTTTGAGTGTCGATTTCAAGCCCTAGTAACATTAAGCATGACACAGGACCTACTGTCTGCTCATGTGCAACAGGTACACCTAGCTCCTGGAAGGTATTGAGGCATTTACCAAGGTTATCACAGCAGTCTTTCGTCCCTCCACTTCCGCCTGTCAGAAAATCAAGGTAATGCAAAAGCTGCGAACACCATTGCATAAAAGTGCTGAATTTTTCAAACACTGAGCATGATACGGAGCAGCCAAATGGCAAGCACTTATCAAAGTAATATTTACCTTGAAAGGACAAGCCTATACACTCAAAATCCTGAATTTTGCAAGCAGTGCCTTTGAACCTAGTTGCTGCACCATACTGACAGCCTCGACGAACTGTGCATGAGACCCCGAGCATGCTTCACTGTTAATGTCGTTGACTGATCTGTGAGGATAAGAAAGGTGATGTATTAAACAAAAATCATCCATCTTAGGCAGGCACTGACTCTTGCCTGTCTGCTTGTTTGGGGACGAGACGGACAGGTAAAACTTGTTAGAGGAAGGGCATTGAAAGGACCTGCAACCCTACCTCAGTGTACTGCCTTCTTCAACTTGGCAGCTACTATCTGTCGTAAGATGGGATCCCTGGCTGAACGCAGATTGTTAGACCAACAACTCAAGTGGGGACCACTATATTCCTGTTAAAAACCTGATTCAAGACCTTGTAATAAATAAATGGCATTGTTAGATTACTTGTACAGTTGCCAATGGAGCATTATCTAATGAACAACCCCCCTTGGCGTGAAAAAAATAAGCAGGATGTGGTTCATCGCAGTTATGAGCATTTATGAATAAGCCTGCACTTTGACCTGGAGCACCTTGACCCAGCATGAGTTGACTGTGAAGTCATGGAAAGGGTCCCGCATGGCCTGAGTCTAACTGCTCAAAGACAACATGTAAGGATTTGTCACCACCACCTATACCATTCCCCCCAGATTAATTGTACTTACCCCAGGCATGGCCGGGAAGTTCTCACAGGGATCTTGGGACACTGTTTTGCTTAGCATCTCCAGGATATTGCTGAGCTGGATGGATAAAGTCACATCGACAATGCAATTAAATGTGATCATAACATTTGAAATACACATTAAGTCTTAGAGGGCATGGGTGGCCCAGTCGTCTAAGGTGCCACGATTCGCTGTGCAGAGTTGCGTCACATGGCCACGCCAGAAACCTATGATTGTGGGTTCAAATCCAGGTTCGCCCTGATTATGTTTCTAGGTTTGTCAGCACCATACCCGTGCTCCTGGGTTTCACTGAAGTGGTAAACGTCTGAGACCTGCATCACTTCGGGCTTTCCTCCCACATTAAACTGACACGCCGCAATATTACTGGAATGATGTTTAAAGCGGCGTTAAACCTAACTCACTCACTCACTCACTCATTAAGTCTCAGACAAATATAAACAATTTGATGCTTACCCTGTAGGTTACACAAAGGCATGATTCCGAACTGTCACACTTATGGCAACATCAATATAATGGAATTATACACAGACTAACTACAGTGTTAGACTATTTAATATTCTGAACACAGTAAAACACACATTCTACTTACGTACATGTACGTCTGAATCTGTATATTACAAACAATGTTCAGAAAAACTTCAGGGTTTGATTTAAGGAACTTGATTTGAACCAGGTACATATTGACTTGAAAACCAAGTTGCACTAGACAAACCAGGTTGCACCAAAGCATGCAGTTTAAAAATAGGAGAACTCCGGTGTTAGCTTGGAAATCAGCAGATAGAGCTCCTGGGCATGGGGCAATGAGCAGAAGTACAGATACACTGTCAGCTGACTGATAGAACATAATGAAACTAGCAACTAATTATATATAATAAATATATGTAAAAAGCCCGGAATACGCTACAAGTCGGAAAGCGCACGTAAAATCTCCAATGTAAGTAAGAAAGGAATGAAATTAAAACAAATATATACAAAAACTTCTTCGACCACATCTATTTGGTATTACATTTGAGTCATGATATCACAACCTTTGACCCTATGTTTTTGCATCAGTATTATCAAAAGCAAAACTAGTTCTTTGCTCATATAAGACATAAGCTCCTTTAGATTCAGTGACATATAAATTGCTTATATGTGTTTTTTTACAAAGAAAATCACCCTCTTATTTGATCACCACCACACACATTTTTTACCATGGACCTTAATAGATAATTATTGATAATTATGTGTTGTAGCAAATTAAAGCTTAAACCATTGATTAAGAAAAATTAAATAAATATTCAATGATGGATTTTTGTTTTTATTACAGACTGATCTCACAGAATGTTAAAGGGGAGACAACTCTGAACCAAACACTGAAGAAACGATTAAGTTCATGAATGGATTGTTGCTGTTACTGGGATATGGTTAAAGCATTTTACATACATCATAGTTTTTTGGGATGAACCCTTTTTCAAACATATGTTTGATTTGTTTAAATTAAGTCATATTTGAAATTCGTAATTGTAACATTGCTCAAACAGCGTTATACCATTGTCTTGTTATTTGGCCAAATTATGTTTTACATGTGAATCATATTGTTTTGATGTTTATCATTTTGCTGTACGTTACATATTAAGCTATTTTCTACTACAGAAATTTCAAGAAAATTGCATTTGTAATACTTTAACTTTTTTTTATGAACCTGACTTCATGTAATAACAAGTGGTGTGTTACAATTTAAGATGCCATAGTGTTAGGCGTGTGTTCATCTGAAGGTACTTTCATGCACTGTTTACTTTTATAGTGTATGATTACACTAAACCACACTATGTTTAACTTTTAGTTCTTATTTAACCATGTTATTTATTTTTATTATATTGCAGCAGGAATTCAGTTTCCGTAAAATGTTATCATTGTTTGCTAGCCACATGTTCTTAACATTTTGTCACTCGTCTTGTCTTCCTTACGTTTATTGTTTCACCTGTAATCTGTTGGTCGTTGTAATGATTTAAAACCTTGAGGAATACACACACACATGTATGTTGCTGCCATGCTTGCTTCTTCCTTATAGAAACAGAATGAGTTTTGAATGAAATTCTGCAAAAGAAAAGATGAAAAAAAGGAAGATGCTGTAGAATATTACTTTACAAATGATGTTTTGTTTTCAGGCGTTATAGTCATTTGATGAGATACATCAAGTGAATGCATCTTCTGGATAACCTTATGCTTTTAGAAAATATTTTACCTCCACTCTAGTTTTTGAATAAGCTCTACAACCCGACCTTGGAAGCAGTGTTTGAAATAAGCATCTGCCCCTAGGCCCGTGGCATGTAGAGCTCAAGTCGGGCCCGTAGTTTCAAATTTGTAAGTGTCCTTATGGCCTGCTGTAACATTTTGTGTTGATTTATTTGTCACAATTAACAAAACGTTTTTTTTAAATGAGGGCCTGAAGAGTTTCGTCAGGGCCTGCAGCTTCTAAAGTGTGTAGGTCGTGATGGCGGCCTGGCAATTTGTTTATTTCACTGCTTGGAAGTGGTTTCCGATGTACTTAAGACGAAAGAGATGATCGGACATGTACTACGTGTGAATGTGATGCTGTGTTACTGTGACACTACTAAAGTGCTATTTGTTGCTCTGCTTCACAGCACAACCCTGACAAAGTCCTGACCTTGTTAATCTGTATCTGTGGAGATGTGACATTGTCTGGAGACATGAGTTCCCCGTGTTGATTGTATAATGGTTCTGACATAAGGACACAGTGGGTCACCCGACTTATACAGAATACATTGACCTTTCTTGAAGTCATCTGCAATGTAAGGATTCTCTTGGAACAAATTGATATTTAGCATGACTTTAACATTGTGTTAATCAGTGCTGTATATTTTGTGCTCCTGAACACATTGGTTCTAGCATATTTGTGTATTGATATGAGACAAGAATTATTTGTTTGTTTACAACATGGACAAATCTATCTCACTGACTTGATCCATCAATAATGGGATGTACAATTCTCACTAAAATGTATTTCTTAGAATATCTGCTCAGATGATAAGGCATGGCGACTCAATGGTATTCAGACATCTGTATTTGTAGGGCTAAGTGTTGGCTTTGCATGAAGGAGGGTGAATTGGATTGTTTCCCTTGACATTGAGTGATATATCTGCCGATCTTTTACCTACATCATATGCCTTGACAAAATTTTAATCTTCCAATATATTTTCATGATGCAAATGTATGTGCCATGAATGTGTATCAGGTCTGGTTGCTATGACAACATATAGTGCCAGTATTACACGTTATTTATGAAGTAGGTGCCTTGTCACCGGAAGAACTGTGATATTCTCGTGATATTAGTTTTTATACATGTATATTTGTACAGAAACAATAAATTTTGTAGTATACTTTTGTAGATATGTAGTTAATGATATATATGTAGTTTATGATATATATGTAGTTAATGATATATATGTAGTTTACACTGGTAGTTACAATCTTACCTCCCCTTGTTAGGACAGCAGTCATGTAGCACTTGCTATCTGTCTCAGTGCTTCATACAAGCTTTGAAAGCAGCAAATAACAAAACAAATATTGTTTCAATTATCTATATATTTAATCTCTTTTTGACAAATGAAAGACTTTCACATCTGACAACACATTTTTACAAGATAGAAATAATTAAATTTATACATTACATTATTAGTTTGTGGATAATTGGTTGAAAAACATGACACAAAATTTTTACACTCTAATGCTGATCCTCAGAAAAGGTGACTTTGTTCAAAAGATTATTGCTGTATGTAGCACTCATAGATACCCTTCTGCTGCCCGACCCTGCTTCATAACACTGTGGCTGTTTGTGACACTCATCTTTGAGCATTCAGCCAAGTTGTCTACATGTAGCTGTGTGTCATGGGTTGAACATTCAGCCAAGTCGTCTACATGTAGCTGTGTGTCATGGGTTGAACATTCCTTCAGCCTTCTGTGTTGCTATATATATTATATTTTTAGGTGAATACAGCATGAAATTTGAATTTGATTGATATCTTTTTATGAATCTGTTTATGTATACAGAAGGCAATTTGTGCATGTGTCAGCAAGGTATTCTTTGCTATTGGTTTGAAATGTCTGAAAATGAACAAAATTGTAAACAGTTTCTTAATCTTACCTATGACATTACAAATGTCTCTAAATGTCAATTTCCTGCAATCATGGAAGCAGTGGGACAGCTACAAGTGAAGGGCTCTTACACCACAGTACATGCTCCTCTGTGTTCACTATGGAGAGAAACAGGATTTCTTTTGAAGTAAATGTTAAAATATATTTATTATTTATGTTATTTTTATATATCAAATAAATGAGGAAAGATACTTGTTTGTCAGTTGTCTTGTATAGTGAAATATACCCTGCCAAAAAAAGAAACGCAAAAGTCCATCGCAGTTGTGGCCATACTCTGTGGCCTTGACACCATTGATGTCGTAGCCGACGATGCAGGTCCATCAAAATGACACCTGGAACTTGTCATTTAGCACGAATACCTTCAGCTCGTAATCGGTGCCTTACTGTCAGGGCTGATGTCCTACACAATCCTGGTACTGCCGTAGTTGTAGAGGTGGCCGGGGTGACATAGCCATATGAATCTGTCCTGTGCTCTAGCAGTGATACGTGGAAGTCCTGTGATGTCTTGGTCTTGTAATGGTGCTTGTTGCTAGTGGAAAAACCTGGCTGCAGCTGCAGATGACTGATGGCGCTGTTGCGTTGGGCTTCGGTCTGTTGTGACATTTTTATGCTGTTCACTTGCTGTAAGATTGTGATGGCATGCAAATTAAAACCCAACGTTTTTATAGCCCTACAAGTCATGTTGCATGTGCATGCCATGTTGGTGTGTTTCAGCGCCAGGCATGGTTGTGTTTTTGCGATTTTTCCATCTTTTCAACAAATGTCTGCAGTACCTCATTCATTCCACACAAATCAATCCCAACCTATGCAGAAATCACCAATTCATATTTAATATTAATTTTGTATGCATGTCGACAAAACTGTCAGATATTGATGATTTTACTACTTTTGGGGTTTCTGTTTTTGCAGAGTATATGTACAAAGAACCCAATAGATATCACAGTATTCAGCAACAGCATGGTGTCATATCATGGACATGGTAACTTCTGTCACACATTATAGTGAAAAACACATGTATGATAAATAGTGTATTATGATCATCCCCCATGAAGTCAGGGTACAATGGTACATAATAACGAGGTCACCGACCCTGATCACTTTGATCTCCTCATGACAAGCGTATGTAGTTAGGGACCTATTCTAACCAGCATCCCCATGGGGACATTTGTCTTCATCAACAACACTGCTCATATGGTGTGATGTAATTGGATTCAGATACATTCTTCCCATGAGCCGGTGCAGGTTTATTGTAGAATTAGATGCTCTCGGTTGAAGTGGCTTCAACAAGAAACATGTCAAGTGTCACACAATATCGGACATCGTAGCAGTATCTCTACAGATATCTCCACCTCATCATGGTACATGCTGCATCGTGATGCTGATACACTACCGCTTGTACACCTGGACAAAGCATTAACATCTAACAGGTAAGGTAACATCACCAGGTGCAGGTGTGAATGAGGATCATCTTACAGTTCAGAGAGCAGGTACAGGGAGTGCTTTGTAAACATCAATTTTTTTCTGAAATATCTGTAATTGGTGTAGCAAGTTTTGATGTTAAATTCTCTTCAGTTCTGTGTACAGCTGACTCAGTTATATATCGTTTTGTTTGTTGTTTAACGCCGCACTCAACAATATTCCAGCTATATGACAGCGGTCTGTAAATAATCAAATCTGACATCATCAGCATTGATCTATGCAATTGGAATATGATGACATATCAACCGAGTCACTGTGTCTGACCACCCAAGTTTTATACCTGTTAATTATATTACTGATTGTATGATGTTTGTTCATGAAACCTACTTCAGCAACGGGGCGGTCGGGTAGCCTAGTGGTCCAAGCGTTCGCTCGTCACGCTGAAGACCTGGGTTCGATTCCCGACATGGGTACAATGTGTGAAGCCCATTTCTGGTGTTTCCCCGCCGTGATATTGCTGGAATATTGCTAAAAGCGGCGTAAAACCATACTCACTCACTACTTCAGCAACACTCGTTTTGTTTTTCGGTTTACGGATCCCATCAACCAGACCCAAGAGTTACAATCTACCAAACACATTCTACCAAAGTAAGGTAACTATCGAGCAAAGTTAATTTTCACAAGTTCCTGCTGAATCAAACCTCTCTTGTATTTATCAAACAGAATACAGTTGACTCCAGTTATATGAAGGTTGAGGCTGAGGCTGAGGCTGAGGCTGAGGCTGAGTCAGTTAGGACAAATTCAGTTCCATTCCCACAGATGATGTCATAAACCTTAAAGTATATGTCAACATAATTGTGATCAATATAATTATTTTCATTGTTAATAAAATCTTTTACTTTCAGTGGAATATTTGCAGTCCAATAAATATGTTTAATTTCATGTATTTGGTTTCAACCTGTTGCTGCACATGTAACTTTCTGGTCTCTGCATCAATCGTCTTTCTATATAATTAATGAATTCATTGTTTACAAATAAAATATATTGCAGTCATAGCACATTTTCCTGATTCAGCCAAATCCAAATTAATAAAAATAAATACAGATTTTAGGGGATGGAAAAATATGAAATAAAAATAACTCTTAAACTAATAAAAATTATTGACTGCAATTATTTCTGCATTGTGCCTATTACCAGAGTTGCTTGGGAATAATTCACACCACTACATTTCTGGGGTCATTTTTAGCGGGAAAATACTGTCCTTTCACGGCAGGGGGAAGTCTGTAATGGGATCAGTTGGAGCACCTATGAATAAAAGTCATAATTTAGAATCGGTCTCAGAAAAAACAGCATAAACTGGTTTAATGTTGGCAAAGCAGATTTTGCTGAGTGAACCTGAAGATTTCTGAATAGTTTTCCTCAAAGCAGAATCTGTAGCTAACATATTAAAATATAGGTTATGTGAATGCAAACCATCTGTATGACCTGGTCGGATATTGCCAGGTGACCCTGCATGTTGGTTGCTAGGCTGACACATTCGTCTGTGTTGTCTTATTGCAGGCAGTAAAAGTGTCAGTGCCAGTGAGAGAGCTACTCAGGGTGGTATACAGGGCTGTGATTTGACCCTGCAGGTTTTATAAGAAGTATTACAATACAAGAAACAACCGTTTAGTCTGTTTTGGAAGTGTAAACGATACTGAAATTGAAACTTGACACATTTAATACTAATGTTACATTGTGGATAATCTGGATTATATTATGGATAATTGACCACCGTTGTATAGACTTGTCCAGCTGCTTCAGGGTTGTTGAAGGTTATGGAAGGGTTATAGTTCAGTATATATGTAATATAGTACCTGGGGTACATATATGTGGTAAATTACCCCTCCAACATTAATATCACCATGGTGATACTATCATTGAGTCCCTCTGTCTGCCCACAACCTGACACTTACCTACAATCTCACCCTACCAACAACCTGACACTTACCTACAATCTCACCCTACCAACAACCTGACACTTACCTACAATGTCACCCTACCAACAACCTGACACTTACCTACAATCTCACCCTACCAACAACCTGACACTTACCTACAATCTCACCCTACCAACAACCTGACACTTACCTACAATGTCACCCTACCAACAACCTGACACTTACCTACAATCTCACCCTACCAACAACCTGACACTTACCTACAATCTCACCCTACCAACAACCTGACACTTACCTACAATCTCACCCTACCAACAACCTGACACTTACCTACAATCTCACCCTACCAACAACCTGACACTTACCTACAATCTCACCCTACCAACAATCTGACACTTACCTACAATCTGACCCTACCAACAATCTGACACTTACCTACAATCTCACCCCTTCCACAACCTGACACTTACCTACAATCTCACCGTACAAACAACCTGACACTTACCTACAATCTCACCCCTTCCACAACCTGACACTTACCTACAATCTCACCCTACCAACAACCTGACACTTACCTACAATCTCACCCTACCAACAATCTCACCCTACCAACAACCTGACACTTACCTACAATCTCACCCTACCAACAACCTGACACTTACCTACAATCTCACCCTACCAACAACCTGACACCTACAATCTCACCCTACCAACAACCTGACACTTACCTACAATCTCACCCTACCAACAACCTGACACTTACCTACAATCTCACCCTACCAACAATCTGACACTTACCTACAATCTCACCCTACCAACAATCTGACACTTACCTACAATCTCACCCCTTCCACAACCTGACACTTACCTACAATCTCACCGTACAAACAACCTGACACTTACCTACAATCTCACCCCTTCCACAACCTGACACTTACCTACAATCTCACCGTACAAACAACCTGACACTTAACTACAATCTCACCCTACCAACAACCTGACCCGAGCTACAACCTCAACCATCTACAACCTTACGCAACCTACAGCCTCATTCATACCAACAACATCACCATACACACAGCCTCAATATCTTTTATATATCTATATATAACACAACACAATGGCCACCTAGAAGATGTTATAATTTTTATGTACAACTGTTTGGAGCACAAGGCCACTATCATGTACAATCTGATGGCTCTGAATCTACGCAACTGATACCCTGTCGACACATGTGTTGATGATCTCCTTCACTTTTTAAGTTAAAGTTTGTTTTTCATTTATAAACATGGGGCGGTGGAGTAGCCTAGTGGTTAAAGCGGTCGTTCGCCACGCCGAAGACCAGGGTTCGAGATCCGTGCTTGCGGTAAAAGTCGACTATGCTTGCCGTATGAGGCGACTAACGGGTTCGAGAGGTCAGGCTCGCTGACTTTGTTGATGCATGACATTGAATCCCAATTGCGTGGATTGATGCTCATGATGTAAATAACTGGATTGTCTTGTCCAGACTCGTTTATTTACAGACCGCCGTCATATACCTGGAATACTGTCGAGTGTGGCGTTAAACAACAAACGAATGAACGAACGAACGAACCAGGGTTCGATTCCCCACATGGGTATAATGTGTAAAGCCCATTTCTTGTGTTCCTCGCCATGACATTAATGGTATATTGCTAAAAGCGGCGTAAACCATACTCACTCACTCACTATCAACATGGACTGTTTATAAAACTGTTTCAACCACTGACATTGACTTCTTTGCCAAACTTGGACAATGCACGTCAGCTGCGTCCTGTAGTGGTGAAATATAACAAGGCAACATTGGCATGCAGTGGCTCTCAACATACTCAAGAGGGAAACATATTTCTGTTCACTATAGTTGTGCAAGTGATTGAGACATCATAAATGGTTTATTGTGTCGCTGATAAGACCATGTCTATTGTGGACTTGCCTTCAAATACCTCTTATGCAACACCATACATATATTCAGATCCTGGTTTTGGGAAAAGAATCTGGATCTAAGAAAACTGAAGGTACCTTTCCTTCTTGTTGTTATGGGTAGTTTGTTTGCAATCTGTTGTACACGGTGGCTGTTAACTGGGGATTCTGATAGGCCACTGTGTTCCACATGTTCAGGGGGTATCCTCTGTTGTACATGGTGGCCGTTAACTGGGGATTCTGACAGATCACTGTGTTCCACTATGTTCAGGGGGTATCCTCTGTTGTACACGGTGGCCGTTAACTTGGGATTCTAAAAGGTCAATGTGTTCCACTATGTTTAGGGGGTATCCTCTGTTGTACACGGTGGCCGTTAACTGGGGATTCTAAAAGGTCAATGTGTTCGACTATGTTCAGGGGGTATCCTCTGTTGTACATGGTGGCCGTTAACTGGGGATTCTAAAAGGTCAATGTGTTCCACTATGTTCAGGGGGTATCCTCTGTTGTACACGGTGGCCGTTAACTGGGGATTCTAAAAGGTCAATGTGTTCCACTATGTTCAGGGGGTATCCTCTGTTGTACATGGTGGCCGTTAACTGGGGATTCTAAAAGGTCAGTGTGTTCCACTATGTTCAGGGGGTATCCTCTGTTGTACACGGTGGCCGTTAACTGGGGATTCTAACAGATCACTGTGTTTTACTATGTTCAGGGGGTATCCTCTGTTGTACACGGTGGCCGTTAACTGGGGATTCTAACAGATCACTGTGTTCCACTATGTTCAGGGGGTATCCTCTGTTGTACATGATGGCCGTTAACTGGGGATTCTAACAGATCACTGTGTTCCACTATGTTCAGGGGGTATCCTCTGTTGTACATGGTGGCCGTTAACTGGGGATTCTAAAAGGTCAATGTGTTCCACTATGTTCAGGGGGTATCCTCTGTTGTACACGGTGGCCGTTAACTGGGGATTCTAAAAGGTCAATGTGTTCCACTATGTTCAGGGGGTATCCTCTGTTGTACATGGTGGCTGTTTACTGGGGATTCTGACAGATCACTGTGTTCCACTATGTTCAGGGGGTATCCTCTGTTGTACACGTTGGCTGTTAACTGGGGATTCTGACAGATCAATGTGTTCCACTATGTTTAGGGGGTATCCTCTGTTGTACATGGTGGCCGTTAACTGGGGATTCTGACGGATCACTGTGTTCCACTATGTTCAGGGGGTATCCTCTGTTGTACATGGTGGCCGTTAACTGGGGATTCTAAAAGGTCAATGTGTTCCACTATGTTCAGGGGGTATCCTCTGTTGTACATGGTGGTCGTTAACTGGGGATTCTTAAAGGTCAATGTGTTCCACTATGTTCAGGGGGTATCCTCTGTTGTACATGGTGGTCGTTAACTGGGGATTCTGACGGATCACTGTGTTCCACTATGTTCAGGGGGTATCCTCTGTTGTATTTCAGATTTTGTTTAAGTGTAAATCAAAGGATAAGGAAGAGACTTTATGGATGACAACCTTTTTATTATGAGGAACACAGCGTTTTGGAGTATATACTTACAAGTGATGAAGGAGTAAGTACGTTGTGTTCCTTATCATAAAAAAGTTGACATCCATAAATTCTCTTCTACATGTGTTTCACTTCTAAATGCCTTTCAAAGACTTAAATCAAAGCACATATTGTGTTTTTCACCAGGTCAGAGGAGACAACTCGGGCGAAACCATATATTCTTTTCCTGTTTCTTTTCATTTTCTTGGTCAGTATACCAAGATGCAGGAGCCAAAACTTTGTTAAGTTTTTTGTCAGTGTTATTGGAAGCTAATTACTAAAAACAAAGCTCTTTAAAAAGGAAAAGGATAACCAAACCAATCATTTGAAATAGGGCACATTTTCATTCAAAAACAGCTTCATCTTCTTAATGCTTCTTGTTGCTTTCTGTGACCAAGCTGTGCAAGCTAAAATAATAATACCTTTTGTAAACATGACATTTAACATCTCTGAAAGACATTTAGAAGTGATACAGTTAAGGAAGAGAATTTATGGATGTCAACTTCTTTATTATGAGGAACACAAAGTGTTGGAGTATATACTTACTCCAAAACTCATTCACCTGATGAAGGAGTAAGCATATACTCCGAAACGTTGTGTTCCCCAAAATAAAGAAGTTGACATCTACAAATTCTCTTCCTTATAATATATATTTTATTTACCAGCAAATATCAAAACGTCACAAGATAAAAATGATGTTTGAATGATTCATGTGTATTTCTTCATTATTATCGTCGGATCATATGTTTCGAGCATCATGCGTTTTTGGACATCCATGTTTATCGCGATCACTCACGCTATAACGAGGTATGTGGGGTCACACGACATTGTAAATACTCAGGTGATGACTTGTCTTGAAGATAAAATCGTCTTTTGTAAGTGTGTGAGATGTTTTAAAGTTGATCTTGTGATATGCGAGAAAACTACGAAGCGTCTGAAAACCCATAACACGGTATATATATAACTTAATTTCTTTTACAGTAAATGACTGTAAATACATTTTCATTTTATTACCAAAATACATATAACAATGACACATGGAATCAGATCTTCCAACTCTCCGGTGTGAGTAGACATGGCTGCCACCCAGAACAAGGCCCTGCTGCGGTACTTCTCCAAGCTGGGAGGATCACGAGAACCCGAGCTGCTGCCTGATGTGCCTGACATAGATGAGCTGATTTCTGCAGGAGCTGACATCAACTGCAGAGACAAGTACGGACAGACCACCTTACACGAGGTATGCAGAGTACCACGCGTCCATGTCATCGCTTTCCAAAGGATGGGGTACATTATGTACAAGGGTTATGTTGGATACTCGAACTGTTAAATTTGTTTTATTTGAACATTAAATTTTTAACTTTGAAATAATGGTATAGAGATTTTTTGATAACTAGCCTTTCTCCATTCTTATATTTGCAAGTTTTGTTTTGCAAGTATGGTGTGATCAAAGATGATTTGCTTAACTTCAAGACAAACGTAATAGCTATGAATAAGGCCATGCTCCAAGATAAATTTCTTTACCCTGTGTATGTGTGGTGCTTACTTGCCTCTCCAAGAAAGTAAACTTACGTCAAAGACTTACTAATGTTGAAATATGAGAAAAAGGTTTCCTAAAAGCATCCAACATTGTAGCCTTATTTTGACGAGTTGTAAGAAACAAACCACGTAATTAATGAAAAGTCAAAAGTAATTTAATTCATATGAACACACCTTTTCATACCTCTAGGTAGCCCGTCAATGGGATGTAGACGTTGCAAAGTATTTATTGAAACTTGGAGCTGCAGTAGACATGGCTGACAAGTATGGCCGCACTCCTCTACATGTTGCTGCAGCTAGTGACTACCCTCAGATGATCAAGCTGCTCATTGACAGTGGAGGTGAGGATAGACACTGACCACTGGATGGTTGCATGATATGTACAGCTTGAGGTGGACATAACTCACCCTAGTCGTATAAGGGTGGTTAGAGATTCTTCCATCAGTGAGTGCGCTTTCAAGAACAATGATCCTGGCCTAACAGTACCGTATTCGACGTAATAAGCACCCAGGGCGCTCTCAAAATTAGAAATAGGGGGCTCATATTAGAATATTATTTTGGTGGAAAAAACAGAGTTGAAAGATAAATTTCGTGGTTTATGCTGACAGCCTGAAATGTATTAAGGGTGCATATAACACACGAGTGCATATTATACGTGAATAAATAAGTCTTGTGTACGTTGATCAATCGGAAGGGGTGCTTATTGGGATTGTTCACTAGTCAATATGTTAGCAATTATCGCCGTGGGCGCTTATTAGAGCGGGGCGCTTATTATGTCGAATACAGTAATCTGTATTTTGGGTATCTCCTTATTTGTTGGGTAGAGCCTTTTGTCTGCTTCATCTTTTTTCATGAATGTCTCCAATCAAAATAGTTGGATTTGGATTCAAGCATTCTTTTACTGCAAATCTAACCCATACTTAACAACAAGCAAGGATTAAGTGGCAACTAAGTGTGATAGTTTTGCCTTTACATAGCTTGAGCTCTAATTTTTCTTCTATTAGTAATTATTTCCAATGTAAGAATGAGTTTTCATTTATCTCAACCCACAGCTGATAAAGAGGCTAGATCTAAGGAACAGCTTCAAACTCCTGTTCATTTTGCTGCCCGGAATGATGCTTGCAAATCCCTGGTCATGCTCATCAAACTTGGGTGTCAGTATGATGATGTGAAGGACTACAAGGGCAGGACACCACTACAGCTGGCCGCCGAGCTGGGTGAGTTGGTCAAACTGCAGGCATACATTCACATATAAGCCCATGTGGAGGTACAGTATGATGATGTGAAGGACTACAAGGGCAGGACACCACTACAGCTGGCCGCCGAGCTGGGTGAGTTGGTCACACTTCAAACATATAATTCACATATAAGCCGATGTAGAGGTACAGTATGATGATGTGACGGACTACAAGGGCAGGACACCACTACAGCTGGCCGCTGAGTTGGGTGAGTTGGTCACACTGCAGGCATACATTCACATATAAGCCCATGTAGAGGTACAGTATGATGATGTGAAGGACTACAAGGGCAGGACACCACTACAGCTGGCCGCTGAGTTGGGTGAGTTGGTCACACTGCAGGCATACATTCACATATAAGCCCATGTAGAGGTACAGTATGGTGATGTGACGGACTACAATGGCAGGACACCACTACAGCTGGCCGCTGAGTTGGGTGAGTTGGTCACACTGCAGGCATACATTCACATATAAGCCCATGTAGAGGTACAGTATGATGATATGACGGACTACAAGGGCAGGACACCACTACAGCTGGCCACTGAGCTGGGTGAGTTGGTCAAACTTCAAACATACATTCACATATAAGCCCATGTAGAGGTACAGTATGATGATGTGAAGGACTACAAGGGCAGGACACCACTATAACTGGCCGCTGAGTTGGGTGAGTTGGTCACACTGCAGGCATACATTCACATATAAGCCCATGTAGAGGTACAGTATGATGATGTGAAGGACTACAATGGCAGGACACCACTACAGCTGGCAGCTGAGCTGGGTGAGTTGGTCACACTGCAGGCATACATTCACATATAAGCCCATGTAGAGGTACAGTATGATGATGTGAAGGACTACAATGGCAGGACACCACTACAGCTGGCAGCTGAGCTGGGTGAGTTGGTCACACTGCAGGCATACATTCACATATAAGCCCATGTAGAGGTACAGTATGATGATGTGACGAACTACAAGGGCAGGACACCACTACAGCTGGCCGCCGAGCTGGGTGAGTTGGTCACACTTCAAACATACATTCACATATAAGCCCATGTAGAGGTACAGTATGATGCTGTGACGAACTACAAGGGCAGGACACCACTACAGCTGGCCGCCGAGCTGGGTGAGTTGGTCACACTGCAGGCATACATTCACATATAAGCCAATTTAAAGGTAAAGTGGAGATGGTTATGCAGCTCCAAACAGTTGGTTGAGGGCATTGTGTAGAGTTGCTTCCTGTACATGGCTTTCTAAAGAACTCAAACACCATAAATGACAGAATTGCATGAGGGTCTTACATTGCAGATTACTACAGCAAACCTTCAGGTAAAAGTGTGTTTCCCTCTAATATTTCCTGTATAGTTAACTGGAGACTTACTGGTGCACTTTGGTTCTTAAAACATCTGGAATAAAATCATCCACTGAACACACATTGTCAGAGTGGACTCTGAATCACATCTTCTGTGTTTGATACTGGACTCTATCTCACCACATCTTCAATGTTTGACCTCGTGTCTATCTGGCCCACGTCTTCTTTGTTTGACACTGTGTCTCTATCTGACCCACATCTTCTGTGTTTGACACTGTGTGTCTATCTGACCCACATCTTCTGTGTTTGACACTGTGTCACTATCTGACTCACATCTTCTGTGTTTGACACTGTGTCACTATCTGACTCACATCTTCTGTGTTTGACACTGTGTCACTATCTGACTCACATCTTCTGTGTTTGACACTGTGTCACTATCTGACTCACATCTTCTGTGTTCGACACTGTGTCACTATCTGACTCACATCTTCTGTGTTTGACACTGTGTCACTATCTGACTCACATCTTCTGTGTTTGACGCTGGGTCACTACCTGACTCACATCTTCTGTGTTTGACACTGTCTCTATCTGACTCACATCTTCTGTGTTTGACGCTGGGTCTCTACCACGCCTGTGTTGCCAGATCGAAGTCATGCTGCCAGGTACCTGCTGGAGAAGAAGGCCTCTGCTGCTGCCAAGGACCACGATGAACAGAAAACTATAACATGGATGATAGCCAAGATGCCTCAAGTGGTCAGTTCAACTTTGTGTAGAATGCAATACTAAGATCTCATTTTCAAACATGGACATAGGTTGGCACTATTCAGGGACTTTGTGACATTTCCGTTAAATTGAAGTGCCTTTTAGTGACAAACATGCAAATGCCTTGTGAAAACAATTTGGAGAGCTGTTTGCTTATGTCCATCTATTTACTTTTTAATGATTTTTACAAGTGACATTATATAATATATTAATGAATATCCCTTTGTGAACTCATGACCTTGGCATTGTTCAGGCTCATGAAGCACTTGCACAGTTCCGACAGATTGACAGCCAGAACAGGAAACAGCATCATCTGCTGCAACATTTGGTGCCTGGCAAAAGTAAGAATCAACCTGATAGCATCAGGAACGTCATGTTGCCAGGAACCAACACAATTAAAGACATAGAAATCTTTGAACAGTAAAAACGTTGTTTCAAATATTAAAGTTCGCTCATAAAATACTCAATAATACCAGCAATTCTGAAAAGGCATAATTTCTGCCGATATTGTAAAAATATACAATGTATTGAAATACATTACAAAATATTCATCATATTTAAAATATACATATTCCATTCTACCAAGGCGATTGCCACATTTTCAAATATGGGATTGAAATAAGACAGACACTTATCAAGAAATATATTCATATGCAGTAATTGTGGTAAAACGAGTATTTCCAATGTATTATCATGGTTATTAATATGCGTGTAAGTCACATATTCAATATCATCCAATTACAGACAGGAATACGCATAGTCACTCACCTGTAAGTATATACTGAAATTATGAACACTAGCAATGTTTCTTAAATAAGTAATGTATTAACTTTTATTCTCTCAAGATCTTGTCAGATTGCTGATTGGGTAACCTGGTGAATATTCATAAATTAATTATGAGATATGGCACATTTTCACTAAAGTATGAAATGTGATGCTGAAATGAGGTCCATGGTGCCTGATGTCTGTAAGCTTTTCTGGACATACAGGTTATCACCTCATTGCCCTACTGAATTTGGTCGTCTTGGTCGGAACTAGAACTGACTGCACAGGTGTTGGTGGTGGATGGTACCTTGCCTTGCTGCATGCTGTCACACAAGGCATTGTTCTGTAAAATACAATATTTTCATCTCCCTTGACTTATTTTGCACTGATAGCAGTTGTATTAGCAGTTTTGTATATTCACTGAGAGATTATGTTTTTAATGCCTCACAGTATATATTTTATAATTTTATATCAAAGTTCTTAACTGTTATCAATGTACTGTCATCTTCTTGATATTTTGTCCTTTTCTATTGTTCACTATCTAGTTGCAAGTGGCGGTTTTGTACAATCAGTTTCATGTAGTCAATCACCCCTGTATGACACGTCTGCTCCAGGTGATGTGGGACAGATTTGGTCTGTAAGTATCTCTCATGACATGTGTATAGTCAGTCACCCCTGTATGACACGTCTGCTCCAGGTGATGTGGGACAGATTTGGTCTGTAAGTATCTCTCATGACATGTGTATAGTCAGTCACCCCTGTATGACACGTCTGCTCCAGGTGATGTGGGACAGATTTGGTCTGTAAGTATCTCTCATTACATGTGTATAGTCAGTCACCCCTGCATGACACGTCTGCTCCAGGTGATGTGGGACAGATTTTGTCTGTAAGTATCTCTCATGACATGTGTATAGTCAGTCACCCCTGCATGACACGTCTGCTCCAGGTGATGTGGGACAGATTTGGTCTGTAAGTATCTCTCATGACATGTGTATAGTCAGTCACCCCTGCATGACACGTCTGCTCCAGGTGATGTGGGACAGAATTTGTCTGTAAGTATCTCTCATTACATGTGTATAGTCAGTCACCCCTGCATGACCCGTCTGCTCAAGATGAAGTGGGACAGATTTTGTCTGTGAGTATTTCTCACACTCATCTTTCATATGTCAACCTCACGTGTGTGACCCTGGGTTAACTGTACCGTTGTGGACATTGTCTGTGATATACGGTTTTGATCTACAACTTCTGTGGTGTTCTAAAATGTTTTTTCAAACATTTTAAATTTGATTATCAGGGTAAGTTTTAACTTACTTTTAACTCTTGGTTTTGAGATAACCAGATATTGTACACATCCAGTTAAAATAGTGATAAATATAGTATTAAAAGAGTTTGTCACGACCGTACTGTGAGTACAAGGATTGAGGGATTCCACACAATCTAAGGCAGACTTAGGTGATTTTAACTTTTAACCTGACATTTCACTTAAAATAGTCTGAGGCCGAACAAACAAAAATCCTTTGTGTGTAGATTTGGTGCATGCCTGAACCTCCTCCTCAACCTTGTGTACATCCTGCTGTGGACTGTGCAGGGAGTCCTGATAGAGTACGACCAGAGACACATCTACACCTTGCCCCAGGACTGGTGGAGGATTGCCCTCTTTGTGAGTGTGTATTGCCCAATGCCCAAAGTGTCCAAATTCCTTGATATCTGTGCCGTTGCAGGATAATAAATATCATATTTAAACATTTGGTTCTCATAAAAGCTTGAGCTTAACACTTACTTTGACCTAGCCTGGTCTTCTCTTGTGATGATGTCAGTGATACTGTCTGATCATACCTTGTGTATCGTGGGTACCAGGTAGTTGCTGTTGGCTTCACGGGGTGGCTGGTTGTGGAGGAGATTCAGGAGTTCTACAGGTCAAGGAAAGCAAACAAGGTAAGTAGCTTAAGTGGTGGATCTGAAACTGAACTACCGAATCTTCTTCTCCACCTGAACTCTCTGAATCTTCTTCTGCACCTGAACTCACTGAATCTTCTTCTGTACCTGAACTCACTGAATCCACTTCTGTATCTGACGTCACTAATCTTCTTCTGTATCTGACGTCACTGAATCTTCTTCTGTATCTGACGTCACTGAATCTTCATCTGTATCTGACCCCACTGAATCTTCTTCTGTACCTGAACTCACTGAATCTTCTTCTGTACCTGACCTCATTGAATCTTCTTCTGTACCTGAACTCACTGAATCTTCTTTCTGTACCTGACCTCACTGAATCTTCTTCTGTACCTGAACTTGTTGAATCTTCTTCTGTACCTGAACTTGCTGAATCTTCTTCTGTACCTGACCTCAGTGAATCTTCTACTGTATCTGACCCAACTGAATCTTCTTCTGTACCTGAACTCACTGAATCTTCTTCTGTACCTGACGTCACTGAATCTTCTTCTGTATCTGACGTCACTGAATCTTCTTCTGGACCTGACGTCACTGAATCTTCTTCTGTACCTGAACTCACTGAATCTTCTTCTGTACCTGACCTCACTGAATCTTCTTCTGTACCTGCCGTCACTGAATCTTCTTCTGTACCTGACCTTGCTGAATCTCCTTCTGTACCTGACCTCATTGAATCTTCTTCTGTACCTGAACTCACTGAATCTTCTTCTGTACCTGAACTTGCTGAATCTTCTTCTGTACCTGACCTTGCTGAATCTTTTTCTGTACCTGACGTCAGTGAATCTTCTTCTGTACCTGAACCAACTGAATCTCCTTCTGTACCTGACCTCAGTGAATCTTCTTCTGTACCTGAACTCACTGAATCATCTTCTGTACCTGACCTTGCTGAATCTTCTTCTGTACCTGACCTCACTGAATCTTTTTCTGTACCCGAACTCACTGAATCTTCTTCTGTACCTGAACTCGCTGAATCTACTTCTGTACCTGACGTCACTGAATCTTCTTCTGTACCTGACGTCACTGAATCTTCTTCTGTACCTGACCTCACTGAATCTTCTTCTGTACCTGACCTCACTGAATCTTCTTCTGTACCTGAACTCACTGAATCTTCTTCTGTACCTGAACTCACTGAATCCACTTCTGTATCTGACGTCACTAATCTTCTTCTGTATCTGACGTCACTGAATCTTCTTCTGTATCTGACGTCACTGAATCTTCATCTGTATCTGACCCCACTGAATCTTCTTCTGTACCTGAACTCACTGAATCTTCTTCTGTACCTGACCTCATTGAATCTTCTTCTGTACCTGAACTCACTGAATCTTCTTTCTGTACCTGACCTCACTGAATCTTCTTCTGTACCTGAACTTGTTGAATCTTCTTCTGTACCTGACCTCAGTGAATCTTCTACTGTATCTGACCCCACTGAATCTTCTTCTGTACCTGACCTCACTGAATCTTCTTCTGTACCTGACGTCACTGAATCTTCTTCTGTACCTGAACTCACTGAATCTTCTTTTGTACCTGACGTCACTGAATCTTCTTTTGTACCTGACGTCACTGAATCTTCTTCTGTATCTGACGTCACTGAATCTTCTTCTGGACCTGACGTCAGTGAATCTTCTTCTGTATCTGACGTCAATGAATCTTCTTCTGTACCTGAACTCGCTGAATCTGCTTCTGTGCCTGATTGATTTCATACCAAAATGGAATGTGCTTAATATAGGAAGTTAAGGTACAGAAATAAACACACAATGGAATCAAGACATGGTGTTTGATTCCACCTGAACTTTTTGTGACGAACTTTGGTAAAGTAGGAGTATATGTCACCAATGAAACGTGACTACTACCACAGTTGTAGTACATAACCAATGCTATCGGCAGAGCAGGACATGCTGACTCTTTTCGTTATCACCTGGTGACATCAAGTACTTTCAGTGATCCATTCATATAATTTACAACACTGTTTTGACTTTTGCGGCCAATGGAATCTGTTTCAACATAGAATCAAGACTGATTATTATCTGGTGTGGACATTTTGTATTTATATCTTATATTATAGTAAGGACAGATATATTCTGGCTGGGCATGGGGCTTTTGTTAGATACAGGAATATGTCGTCGGTCACTGCTTCAAGACATACAATCATTTCTCTGAAAGGAGGAACAGACGACCTTTTTTACATATGTTTTCAGGACATCCACAATATAATTTTCAATATATTTCCTGGAACAATTTTATTCAATTCAAGACATATCAGTCTTGTGTGTGGACGGTAGGATTATAAAATGTTATTTTTCCTTCCAAGTTAGATCATATCAAATGTTTGGCTGCCAAACAGATGGCTGAATCCATAAGAACCAATTGTTAATTTGCTTGCAGCTGGTCATCATCAGTTCACACATCCACTGTTCTGTCCCCGTTCACACATCCCCTGTTCTGTCCCTGTTCACACATCCACTGTTCTGTCCCTGTTCACACATCCACTGTTCTGTCCCCGTTCACACATCCACTGTTCTGTCCCCGTTCACACATCCACTGTTCTGTCCCTGTTCACACATCCCCTGTTCTGTCCCTGTTCACACATCCACTCTTCTGTCCCTGTTCACACATCCACTGTTCTGCCCCCATTCACACATCCACTGTTCTGTCCCCGTTCACACATCCACTGTTCTGTCCCTGTTCACACATCCACTGTTCCGTCCCTGGTCACACATCCACTGTTCTGTCCCTGTTCACACATCCACTGTTCTGTCCCCGTTCACACATCCACTGTTCTGTCCCTGTTCACACATCCCCTGTTCTGTTCCTGTTCACACATCCACTGTTCTGTCCCTGTTCACACATCCACTGTTCTGTCCCCGTTCACACATCCACTGTTCTGTCCCTGTTCACACATCCACTGTTCTGTCCCTGTTCACACATCCACTGTTCTGTCCCTGTTCACACATCCACTGTTCTGTCCCTGTTCACACATCCACTGTTCTGTCGCCGTTCACACATCCACTGTTCTGTCCCTGTTCACACATCCCCTGTTCTGTCCCTGTTCACACATCCCCTGTTCTGTCCCTGTTCACACATCCCCTGTTCTGTCCCTGTTCACACATCCACTGTTCTGTCCCTGTTCACACATCCACTGTTCTGTCCCTGTTCACACATCCACTGTTCTGTCCCCGTTCACACATCCACTGTTCTGTCCCTGTTCACACATCCACTGTTCTGTCCCTGTTCACACATCCACTGTTCTGTCCCTGTTCACACATCCCCTGTTCTGTCCCTGTTCACACATCCACTGTTCTGTCCCTGTTCACACATCCACTGTTCTGTCCCTGTTCACACATCCCCTGTTCTGTCCCTGTTCACACATCCACTGTTCTGTCCCTGTTCACACATCCACTGTTCTGTCCCTGTTCACACATCCACTGTTCTGTCCCTGTTCACACATCCACTGTTCTGTCCCTGTTCACACATCCACTGTTCTGTCCCTGTTCACACATCCCCTGTTCTGTCCCTGTTCACACATCCACTGTTCTGTCCCTGTTCACACATCCACTGTTCTGTCCCCGTTCACACATCCCCTGTTCTGTCCCTGTTCACACATCCACTGTTCTGTCCCCGTTCACACATCCACTGTTCTGTCCCTGTTCACACATCCACTGTTCTGTCCCTGTTCACACATCCCCTGTTCTGTCCCTGTTCACACATCCACTCTTCTGTCCCTGTTCACACATCCACTGTTCTGCCCCCATTCACACATCCACTGTTCTGTCCCCGTTCACACATCCACTGTTCTGTCCCTGTTCACACATCCACTGTTCTGTCCCTGTTCACACATCCACTGTTCTGTCCCTGTTCACACATCCACTGTTCTGTCCCCGTTCACACATCCACTGTTCTGTCCCTGTTCACACATCCCCTGTTCTGTTCCTGTTCACACATCCACTGTTCTGTCCCTGTTCACACATCCACTGTTCTGTCCCCGTTCACACATCCACTGTTCTGTCCCTGTTCACACATCCACTGTTCTGTCCCTGTTCACACATCCACTGTTCTTTCCCTGTTCACACATCCACTCTTCTGTCCCTGTTCACACATCCACTGTTCTGTCCCTGTTAACACATCCACTGTTCTGTCCCTGTTCACACATCCACTGTTCTGTCCCTGTTCACACATCCACTGTTCTGTCCCTGTTCACACATCCACTGTTCTGTCCCTGTTCACACATCCACTGTTCTGTCCCTGTTCACACATCCACTGTTCTGTCCCTGTTCACACATCCACTGTTCTGTCCCTGTTCACACATCCACTGTTCTGTCCCTGTTCACACATCCACTGTTCTGTCCCCGTTCACACATCCACTGTTCTGTCCCTGTTCACACATCCACTGTTCTGTCCCTGTTCACACATCCACTGTTCTGTCCCTGTTCACACATCCACTGTTCTGTCCCCGTTCACACATCCACTGTTCTGTCCCTGTTCACACATCCACTGTTCTGTCCCTGTTCACACATCCACTGTTCTGTCCCTGTTCACACATCCACTGTTCTGTCCCCGTTCACACATCCACTGTTCTGTCCCTGTTCACACATCCACTGTTCTGTCCCTGTTCACACATCCACTGTTCTGTCCCTGTTCACACATCCACTGTTCTGTCCCTGTTCACACATCCACTGTTCTGTCCCTGTTCACACATCCACTGTTCTGTCCCTGTTCACACATCCACTGTTCTGTCCCTGTTAACACATCCACTGTTCTGTCCCTGTTCACACATCCACTGTTCTGTCCCTGTTCACACATCCCCTGTTCTGTCCCTGTTCACACATCCACTGTTCTGTCCCTGTTCACACATCCACTGTTCTGTCCCTGTTCACACATCCACTGTTCTGTCCCTGTTCACACAACCACTGTTCTGTCCCTGTTCACACATCCACTGTTCTGTCCCTGTTCACACATCCACTGTTCTGTCCCTGTTCACACATCCACTG